GCTACGGGAACAATGTGGGCGGGGAATCTGGCGAAAAAGTCAGGAATTGGCTACGAAGACAAAAAGAAACAGAGCTATGTCGTTGTAGGCCGCCTTTTAACCTTTTCTGCCCGCAAGAACTCTTCCAGCTGATCTCTGAGAATCGAGCTGTCTCCGACCTACATAGAATGCTCTTGAAATAATTCATTGCAGCGCTGCAGCCTTTTCCCGGCTATTGCCCCTAATTGTTCCTTAAATGCGAGTTAGGACACTTTATCGAATCTGTGGCTGCACTCAGGGCTACGGCTAGGGGGGCTTGAGGATGAAAGGGGAATTGGCTATGCATGCCGAATACAAAAGCAACAGCTGAGAATCACTGGCCCTAGCCCACCGTTTCTTATGCTTACTGTCGAGGTTTCTCTAATCACTGAGAACGATTCAGCCTCAAGGCTCAATAAACGGCAGATAAATTGCACAGGCATTCTTGACAAGAAGTATCATAGCATGTATAGAGTGTTAATAAAACATTCAGTGTAGTCGTGGAGGGGAAAACTAAAAGGGGCAATTCTTACCTCGCATTCGTTGTTAATCCCAGAGTGGCTCCCCCCATGAGGAAAAAGTGGAAAGACCGGAACTATCATGACCCGCCCTTCCCACACGTAACGCTTTTTCCTCCTCAGTCCAATTAGGTTTCTCGTATCTCAATCACTTGTGGGCACAAGTATACATAGGGAAGATTACAACTCACCTTGTTAAGTGAACGCATCAAGCCGGTTTTCGCCAACTACTCGTCGACGTACAGGCATTGTTATGGGCCCTTAAGGCAACCCCAGTCCTTCCGAATCTCATATGAAGATTTTTGTGCTGCATTAACGGACCCCAAGGGCGCAGATACGTTACAGAGCAGCTCGCTCGAATCCACTTGATTGTGTCACCCTCCAGAACGGCTATGGTTAGTATTCCACAACAAGCGTGCTTGAGCCCTCGAATAATCCAAAAGCGTATTAATAAAATGCGGCATGTAGGTCTATAGTAGGCAAAAAAGCTGCGTCTCTTGGGCGAACTGCAGCTTCGTGGAGCTTGGCAGTAATTGCAATTATTGTGCCACAACACATGCAGGGGATAAATAGTAGCAAGCAGTTTAGCCTATAGGCAGCATTTCGCAAAACTAACCATGCTATCCTTGGCAAAATCAGCGGCAGTCACTTGAACTCAATTCCTCGCTAGGTCACTGGTTTCACTTTGCAGAATCAGCAAGGAAGCCAGGTTGTGCCAAATTGCAGACGATTCCACACGCCTGAACCCCAGAAGGGCTGCTTCCCAAATTGCGCAGTAGAGGTGATGAAACATGGAACGATTGATCAAAAGTACAGTTGCATCGCTGTACGACGTTCTCCCCATGTGTTTGGGGTGTGGCAATGCGTTCATGTGGCTGTTAAAAAGAAGGCATGGATATTGCCAGCACACGGGCCTATGTGCAGCATTTAAGAAGAATACGAGCCATAACTTAGTCTCAGAATGAATGCTGAGCAGACAAAGTAATCGTGCTTTGGGAGAAGTTGGTGTAAGCTGCGCGTCTGTCGGCGCAGGGGCTCCAAGGGGACATACGTGGGCCGGCAGCTCTTTTTTGTGCTGGCGTCTCTCTTTGCTCCCTTGTCTCATTTTCCACCACAATTCAAGGGTAGCTAAGAATATCTAATTCTGAACGTAACAGGTCCGCATCCCGCATATGGCATTTTACGCTGTGTGCTACGCACCCGGTGCCCTGCTCGTCCTGGTGTTCTGCCCGGCCCCATCACCCGTTCAGATAAGCACCACCCGCAACTTGCCAATGCGAAGAAAACCTCTCTTTTGAACCATTTTCTGCTAACAGAGTCCATTTGTGTGCATCTCCGAACTGATGCATTGCAGGGCAAGAAGCATTGCATCGCGCGAATGCTTTTCGGCAAAGCAGTATTACTTCACTACTACACAAATGCCCACTGCAACGTATCGACATAGATGACCCTCAGTCAAACAATACAGGAAAGAATAAGGTGGGGCACACGGGTATTATCTGTCGACGTTTTCCCCTATCGCTAGCTCCAGAATGCCTACACGGCGTTCCATTGAAACACTTCCTTGAAGTTTGCACAGGAAAAGACGTGCCTTGACAAAAGCCTTTCGATTCGGGCCGACCTCGTATGAGGAGGCCCAACCTCCAAACAGGCAGCCATGTTGTATGCCACCATTACTACGTTGATGTGGCCACATATACCAGAAGATAGTAGAGAATGCGGGACATAAATGTCTGGAGAATGTCGAAAGTGACACCTGGCACCACATGGCATGCATCTGCACCACCTAATCGTGGCAGCCCTCTGCCAGGGGCATGAAAAGCTCCCTCTTCCGCACTCTTCGAACCGTAAAGTACCACAACAACCCTCTTGGTCGCGCATGCTCGACTATCTGTCCCACGAGGCGGGCAATGGCATTTCCATCCAGTTCCCCTATTTTGCACAGCAACTAAGAGTTTAAACGAGACCATAGGCAAAAGTTGCCAGTATGACCCCAAGTGTCAATGAGGGCGTGACTGGGGAAATCCCACTGCTCCCTAGAGCACGAACAATCTTCTTCCATTCATCTTCCCTGCAAGTCCAACCGCACGACACGGCATTAACTGTAGACGGGAGAAATCGATACATACACAGACTGCAGATGAAGCTAAGCTTTCGATTCACTCTGGGATGCATCCAGCGAACTCCGTAACCCTGAAGTGTTTCCTCACGTGAATGGAGCTTCGTTAGGATCCAGTGCTTCCGGGTTGATCAAGCACATAACGGCTGTAGTTATTTTGGATTCCTCTTGAAGGCTCCTTGATGGCCCGCTGTCAGGGTCTTCAGGCTGCGCTGGGGGAGCAGTTGCGTTTGCGCCCGGTGTTGTACAGGTAACAAAGGCGCAGCTAGCTACAGGGCTTTCCTTGGGGCTATAGAGGGCGACAAAGGAGACAGCCTTGTCGTTATAGACATCTCGGCTGCTCGACGCCGTGTATGCTGGGGGAATCTCATTCTTGAAGAGGGAAAAGCCTTCATTCCAGTACTCCACTGCCGCCTCGCAGTTTTTCTCGCCAAGGTAGTGCGCGGGCGTTCCCACCAATTTCAGGGTTTCCTTGGGTTTGCTTTCTTCCTTTGCATAGGATAATCGAAAACCAGACAAGCATGTCATCTCTTGCAGAATACGCTAGAGTCTACATGACGTTAATTGGCTAGGTGCTCCAGAACTTGGAAGGGCACTGAGCCTGCGGCACGGCTTACCCCCACTAGGTTTTGGCAGATTTCGTTCCATAAATCAGAAGCTACTATCTGTCGTTCTTCAGTAGAATATTCCGGGAGCACTTGCCCTTCCTTTGCTGCCTTCTCAAACCCAGCAAGCCCAGCAGCTGCTCTTGCCTCGTTCATTTCAGTTAAGCAATCAAGTGTTTCTGAGAGGAACCTTCAGCACATACAGGAGCCTCGTAAATTAAGGGAAGTTGCAATTTAAATTAGTGAGCTTCTGGAATCAAAATGCAAATACACATCCGAATAATCCGTTACCTGCTTTGCCGGTTGTGGCAGCACTTGCTGTCCCGTGTTCGCAGAACGCAAGCACAGCAGCGAGTGAAACAATAACGAGGCGAATCATCTTTGGAAAATGAAAAGGCAATCCTGCATTAAAAGGGCCAAGGGAACTGATTTTGAAAGAAGTTGGTGAAACCGCTTCCCCGTTGAGGAAGAGACGCGAAGCGGCTGCTTCTCCTGCAGCTCTTTCTGCGCCTCCTTCAAATTCAATTAACTTATCAAAAAGCAAAATAAAATCTGTAGTTCTCATTACATGCTTTTTAAATCTCCATCTGCACTTCAAGAAGGAAAGTTACGGCGCAGGGGCTCTGCCGCTGGAGCAGCACAACAAGCCGCTTCATGAGCTGTCTTTGGTGCTGCTGCACATTTTGGTGCTGCTGCTCCTGCTGCACCTGCTGCACAGTCTCCTGCTTCCGCACATTCTGGTACTGCTGCTGAGTTAGCTGCTGCACCTGGGCGTGCTGCTGCTCCTTTGATGGATCTCTGCTGCTGAGCAGACCAAACATGCGGAGACAGTGAGTCGACGAAGTGGACTTCTCGCATTGTTGACACCCTTTCCTTTATCCGTTATCCCCGTTTTAACCATATTTTAAGGGACACAGAAATATCGAGCTGCGTCAGTTACTGTCCCGCAGATGTTGTTTCGCTTCTTTCGGTGTCCAGTGCGTGCTTCACCAGTTCTGGTGTTCTGCGCTGCCGATCACTTAGATCTGCAGCTCCCAGAACTTGCCCAACGCAGGGGAAAGTTTCTCTTTCGAAACAGCTTATGATAACGTAGCGCGCTATGCTTGTGTGAGCTTTTGAATTGACGCATCACAGGACGAGAGACATTCCACGGCTCAGACGTTTTTCAGATTCCACGGCGTTTTTCAGTTATGCATACGCAACTGTCCGCCGTAACCTATCTACGGAAACGATCCTCAATTAAACAAGAAATCATATGGTACGGCACAAGGAAGTTATCCGTTGACCCTTCTTCCCCAAACCTACGCCTCAAAACTACGTCCACAATGCCTGAAAGGCGTTCCATTGAATCACTTCCCTGATCGATAAGAATAGAAAAAAACGTACCTAGACAAACGCTCTCCCAAGCAGACCGACATGAAAGGAGGCTCAACCTCCAAACAGGTAGCCATGCCATATAACACTATTGCAACAGTGATATGGCCACACATGTTGGAAGATACAGCGGAACGTGGGGCATGAACACGGCTAGAGAATGTCAGAAGGGTCGCCGCCATGTGCCTGATAGCACATGGCATGCAGCTCCATTACCTGCTGGCGGCAGGCCTCTGCAAGACATATAAAAACCTTCATCTTCCGCGCTCCCCAACAAAAGCTACAAGACACCACAGCATGGTCTCGTACACAGACGGTCAGTGGCATTTCTGCCCAGTGTCTCCATTATGCACAGACCCTAAAAGCCTACAGAAGAGCTGAGGCAAAAATTGTCGCTATGAACCCAACTGCCAATGATGGTCGGATTGGGGAAACCGCGCTGCTCTCTTCAGGAATAATTATAGCGTGAACAATCTTCTGCCATTCATCTTCCCTGCCGACCCAACCGCAGGACAAAATATTAATCACCTAACTAGGTGGGAACAAGAGCTACATATGAAGGCCACACACTACGCTAAGTTTTCGACGCAGTTTGGGTCTTATGCAGCCAAGCCCATGGTCCTGGCGTGTTCTCACTTGAATGGCTTCTCTCTATCGGTCAGTGCTTCCGACAAGCAGATAACGGAAGTTTTTGTCTGTGCATCTTGAAGTCTCCTTAATGAGGGACTACTGGGGCTTCTTTCTGCGGCAGCAAACGTGCCTGCTGTTGTGTAGGTGACAAAGGCGCAGCTAGCTACAGGGCTTGCCTTGGGATTGTAAAGGGCGACAAATGAGACGCCCTTGTCGGTGTAGATATCAAAATCGCCCAACACCGTGTACGTAGTGGGCAGCTCATTCTTTAAGAGAGAAAAACCGTCTTTCCAGTACTGCATTACTGCCGTGCAATCCTTCGCGCCGGCGTAGTTAGCGAAAAGCCCGTCCAATTTTTTGAATTCAGTTCTGTCGCCTTTGTCCTTTACATCATAGTTGGAAAACAAAACAAACGTGGCACCCCTCGCTACATACGCCGTTGTGTGCGGGATTTTTATAAGCTGAGTATGCCAGAAACATCAGCAGCAATGCTTTTGTGAAACTACCGACCCCGGTTATTTCCTGGCAAATTTCGTTTCACAAGGTGTCCGCTGTTATCTCTTTTAACGAAGGGGAGCTTGGCGGCAGCACTTGTGTATCGTCAGAGGCCTTCCCAAACGCAGGTAGTCCTGCGGCTGTCCTCACCTCATTCATTTCGGTCAAACAATCAAGTGTCTTTGACAAGAACCTTCAATACACACGAGAGCGATTTGGAAAACAAAACACGTCAACCAGTAACAAGGTTTCCGCCTCAAAACTTAGAAAAGGCGGGAGTTAAATGCTTGCCTGCATATCCAGTCGTGCTAGCACTTGCTGTTTTGTGTTCATGAAGCACAGACGCAGCAACGAGCACAATAAAAGCGAGACGAGGCATCCTTAGTAGCTACAAATATTGCTAGACAGGAAAAAAAGTGGAGGAATAGTCTCTGAAAAGGGTTGGCGGGCCTCTTTTCTTTGTGGATGCATCGCCGCGGAGGGGCCATCTGTGAGCGGGGTTGGACAGACCGCGACGGACCACATTGATTGTCGCTGTCTTGTTCTTCTGCATTAATACCCTTTTCACGATTATTCGGCTCAAAAAATTTTTGTGGCTCCCGCAGCGAGCATGATGATCTACGGCACCGAGAACATGTCCAACGCATAGAAAACTTTCCCCTTGAAAAGCCTTCAACGGATAAGCCTGCTGTAATTGTGTGTCTTTGAAGTGCTGAAGAACTAAAAGCACTGCATCACCAGAACACTTGTCGGTAATGCGCTACACACCAACTGGCTTAAACTCATGGCCAAATGAATGTTCACAACAGCAAATCTAAAAATAGGTCCCTTGCACTAATAATATGGGAAAAAGAAATTTGGAGAATCAAGAAATTATCGATTAAATTTCTCCCCATTCAAATAAGGACGGCAAAACCATGGCGCCTCAATGCATGAGACGGCCGGTAGGATATCTGCACACAATACTATATTCAAAATACCTACAATGTGTTCCACTGAAATACTCTCTTCGACAATAAGCACAAAGAAGTGTTTTGAAAAAGCCCGCCTATTCGAACTGTCATTGGGAAGGGAGACTCAACTTCCCCAAACAGCCAGCCACCTTATACACCACCATTATACCGCCAGTACAGCCACACAGACCTAGAGAGAGACACAGTATTGACAGTCAGTTGAAAGGCACTAAGGAGCAGTACGCATAAGTACGGCTGGAGATCATCGAAAATGGCAGCTGACACCACAAAGCGCGCAGCTCCTCCACCTGCTCGTGGAAAGCCTCCGCAAGAAATATAAAAAGATTCATCTTCCACACTCTTCAATGCAAAAGATAAAGCACTAAAAAAATTCTCCTGGTGTCGCATGCTTGATTGTCTATTTGACGAGATGGTCAATGGTATCTGTTTCTCTGTCGAGTGCCCACATCCTACAGAGACACCGACAGCCTACAAAAGACCGTGGGCAAGAATTGTCACTATGAAACCAACTGCCAATGAAGGTCTGATTGGGGAAGCCCTGTTGCTCTCTTCAAGACCAACTATAGCGTGAACAATCTTCTGCCATACATCGTCCCTGCAAACACAAACGCATGACAAGATATTAATGATCTCGCCAGATGAAACAAATCTCTGCATATGAAGGCCTCACACCATGCTAATTTTTCGATGCATTTTGGGTCTTATGCGAGCAAGTCGGTGGCCCTGGGGTGTGTTTTCACTCGAATGGCGCTGTTCCAGGAGCCAATGCGTCTGGGTTTGTCAAGCAGATAACGGCAGTTTTTGTTTGGGCTCCGTCTTGAAGTCTCCTTAATGGGGAACTGTCATGGCGCCTAGACATCTCTTGGGCAGCAACCGCAGTTCCCTTCGTGCAGGTGACAAAGGCGCAGCTGGCTACAGGGCTTGCCTTTGGATTGTAAAGGGCAACAAATGAGACGGCTCTATCGGTATAAACATCAGGGTCGCCCAACGCCGTGTACTTTGGGGGCAGCTCGTTCTTAAAGAGAGAAAAGCCATCCTTCCAGTACTGCACTGCCTCTTTGCAGTCCTTCGCGCCGGCGTAATGAGCAACGGTCCCTACCAGGCTTCCGGCTTCAGTGATCTCGACATTTTCCTTCGCATGAAAGGATAAAGAGCGAAATAAATGTTGCACATTTTGCTACATACGGCGTAGTCTGCAAGGCGCTGATTGGCTAATTGTGTACCGGCAGTGTGTTCGTGGCATGGCTTACCCCCATTAGTTTTTGGCAGGTTTGCTTCCATAAGTTTTCAGCTGATATCTTTTTTGTTGTTCCGGGATATTCCGGTAGAACTTCTGTTTCTCTAGATGCCTTCTCAAATTCAGAAAGTCCTGCAGCTTTTCTCACCTCGTTCATCTCGGTTGTGCAATCAAGCGTTTCTGAGCAGAAACTCCAACGCACACAAAACAGTTGTAAATGAGGAAAACTCCTGTCACAAAAGAAATGAGGGTTACGTTGAAATTATGAGATATACTGCTAGCATGCTTACGTGCTGTCCCGGTTGTGGTAGCGCCGTCTGCCTTGTGTCCACAGAACACAGACATCACAACGGATGCGATAAACCAGAGACGAAGCATACTTGGTAATCTAAAGGCCACGCAACAAAAAAGGGATTGAGGAAATTACGTCTGAAGTGGCTTGGTGAACACTGCTTCCATCTGGACGGATGAGCAGGCTAGGGACGTCCGTGGGCCGTCGGCGAAGTTGCATATGCTGTTGGCATTATTTCTTCCTCCTACAACTATTTTGCACTATGAATTCCTCTGAAAGAATAGAAGTATCTGGCAATGCGAGTAACTGTTCTACACATGAATTTGTGCCTTCCGTGATCACCAATCGCGTGTCCCACGTACTCTTGTTCTGAGTCACCGGTTGCCACCAAAGATCCACATAGCCAAATGCATGTACGGCGCGAAGATAATTTTCCGTTTTAACCACTTTTCTCTAGGCTGTCCTGATCTACCTGTGTGCGTTTTGGAAGTGACGTAACACGTGACAAAAAACATGGCAACTCACAGATGGCGAAAGTCATCTGCAACAACCGGTTCAGATTCACTTACATAACCTCCGATCACACCTTATCTACAACCTGTGTCCTCAAAAGGTCCCTTCGTTTGGCAAGAGAAGAAACAACAGGGTGAGAGCACGAAGTTATTGATCGACTTCCCACTTCAAACGATGCTGGCAACAGCATGGGTTCTAAATGCGTCAGACAGGCAAGACAAGATGCTTCTTCACAGCATTACATTGAAAATGCCCTCAATAAGTTTTTTTTAGACATTGTATTGACCAATATGAGCACAAAAGCATGCTGTTACACTGAAACCATCTACGGAGACGTAGTATCAGGACGTCAACCTTGTGGAACAGGGACGCACGCCATATGCCGCCAGTACGTCATCAATGCGGTGACACACACCTAAAGATAGACACAGGATCGACAGTCATTCGGAAGATATTAGGGACTCGCGGGCACTTATGCATTTGGAGAGTATCGAAAATGGCACCCGAGAGCAAACGGTGAATATCCTCAACGCCTGCTCGTGGCATCCCTCTGCAGGGGCTAGAAAAGCTTCATCTTTCGCATTCTTCAATGCATTCAACAAAGCATTAGAAAAGTCTTCTTGGTCTCACATGGTTGATTATATGCTCGATGAGACGGCCGACAGTAAGTTTTCCAGCGCCTGCACACTGCACAGACACTAACAACTAAAGAAGGCCGTCGGTCGAAATTGTCACAGTTACTGGCGTTTCATTAGCAGTCAGTGCCACATGATACGCCAAGCAGACAAAGGCAGTAGTAGGTTTCTCTCCATCTTAGAGTCTTCTTAATGTCCAACCGTCGTCACTTTTAGACATGGTTGGAACAGCAAACGTGTCTACTGCTGTACAGCTGACAAAGGCACAGTTGGCTACAGGGTTCCCTTTGGGGTTATAGAGGGTGACAAAGGAGACAGCGTTGTTGTCGTACGCCGTCGGGCTGTCCAACGCCTGGTACTTTGCCGAGGTCTCGTTATTGAAGAGAAAAAAGCCGTCTTTCCAGTGATGCACTGCCAGTTTGCAACGTAGCAGTTCCTGCTACATTCGTTGTAGTCAGCAAGATGCCTGCTGATCGGCCGTATGCAAGAACTGTCGATTGCGATTGCAGTGCTCTTGCAACGCACCTTTACCCCATTTTTTCCTTGCTCACTTCATTCCATAAAGTTCCAGCAGCGAGCGCTGTTCCCACATTAGAGTGTTTGTTCTTCATTAGTTGCCTCTCCAAACTCAGGAAATCCGCGGCTGCCCACGTCTCACTTGGCTGAGAATAAACTTCAACACAGAAAAAATTGTGGGAAAAAGCAACTCTGAGTCGAAATGGCAAGATGCTGCCCCAAAAAAGCGGAAAAAAAAGAGTAAAGTGCTTACGCGCTGCTAGCCGAGGTAGCACCTTCTGTCTTGTGGGCACAGAACGCAGAAAAAAGGCGACTGTACTAAAATAGAACTTAAAGAAAGAAGAAGCATCTTTGTTGGTACAAAAAATCTAAAAAATCAATAGAATAAGTAATTCCTGAAACGGGTTGGCCGACATTTTCGACGAATCGTTCGTGGGCACGCCCAACTTGGCGCGGCTGGGCTTGATTGCTGACGCATTTCTTTCCTCCTTCGACTTCCTGTTCACCACAATCCAAATTAGACAATGAAACATTGACTAGATTTAGAAGCTTTATAAACTAGATTTGTGCCTTTCGTAGTAACCACTGCGTGCTTTGAAGGCTCTGTAGTTCTATGACACTGCAACACCTGGAAAGATCTACACCACGAAGAATACGCCCAACAGAAATAGGATTCCCTCTTGGGAAACCAGTCGCTACGCTGTCCTGCTCTACTAGTGTGCTCCTTTGAAGTGATGTATCAGTGAGCAAGAAACGTCTAAGGACATAAACACTTGTCAGCAATGTGTTACACACAAGGAGGTTTCTGCACATATCTTCACAATGTTCACTACAACCTATTTATACAGGCTTACTTTCGCCTAACAATATAGGAGAGGTAGAAGATGGGGACAAAGAAAGTGTGTGTCGAGTCGTTCTCTTTAAAGCAATAGTAGCAGCACCATCTTGGCTCGGTGTGTGACGGCGGTAACAGGACACTTCTCCGCAGTAATAGACTCTAAATGCCTACTTTGCATCCCATGCATAAACGATTTCCGTTTAGGTGCTTCTTCGGTCACTAGGGACGCGAAAACGCGCCATGACATTAGCTTGTCGATTTGAACTATAAAGAAGTATGGGGAGGTTCAAGCTGCCCAAACAGGTCGCCATGGTATACACAAACATTACGTCACCCACATGACTGCATCTTCGACACGCACAACACTGGAAGTTCTTAGGAAGATACTGCGGATTTTTAGGCATAAATGCTGCGTGCAAGATATCAATGGTGGGACCTGACAGCACATGGCGAGCATCAACCGTACGTAAATGCAGCAACCTTCTGGAAAGGTTAAAATGAGGGTAGTATTCCGCACTCTCCGATACAAACGATAAAATGCCATAAGAATCCTGTTTGTCCCACATGATGCACTATTTATTCGATAAAACAGGCAATGACATATCTGTCCACTGCCCGCATCCTGCGCAGCGACTGACAGCCTATAGAAGACCGTAGACGGAAATTGTCATTATGACCCCAAGTGCCGATGACGGTCTGATCAATGAAATGCCGTTGCCCACTTCAGTACCAACTATAGAGTGAGCAACCTTCTGCCATTCATCTTCCCTGCAAATCCAGCCACAGTAGAAGGTATTTATCACTTAGCCGCATGGACACAAGCGTATTAAACGAAGGCCGCACTTATGCTAGATTGCAACAGCGCTTTGGTTGGTATGTAGGCAAGCCCGTGGTGATATTCCCACGTGAATGGCGCTTCTTCAGTAGTTAGTGCCACTGGGTTCGTTAAGCAGATAACTGCAGTAGCGTTTTGATTTTCACCTTGGAGTCTTCTTAATATCGGGCTGTTGTGGCTTGTAGAGGTCTTCCCGGCAGAATATGTGTCCGCAGTTGTGCAGGTGACAAAGGCGTAGCTGGCAATAGGGTTCGCCTTAGGGCTATAGAGGGCGACAAAGGAGACAGCCCTGTTATCATACACTTCAGGGTCATTCAAGCACTTGTACTTTGGGGGGATCTCGTTATTGAAGAGACAAAAGCCGTCTTCCCAGTGCTGCACCGCCGCTGTAGAGTCCTTCTTGCCGGGGTAGTATGCAAAAGTTCCCCCTAGGTTTTTAGCTTCAGGGGTCTCGCCGCTTTCCTCCACAAAATAGAAGAGAGAGCAAGACAACAGCGGCGTCTCTGGCTACATGCACTGCAGTCTGCAAGATGTTCAGTGACCCGCTGAGGGCACCAGCGATAGCAGTACGGCAGTGGCAGGACTAACCCCCTTTATTTCTTTACATATTTCTTTCCACAAAGCAGCGGCGTCTATTTGTCTTCCCGAAATGGGGCTTGGTGGCAGCACTTTTGTATCACCGGATGCTTCCCCAAACGCCGGTAGTCCTGCGGCAGTCCTCGCCTCGTTCATCTCAGTCAAACAACTGAGCGTTTCTGAGAGGAACCTCAAACCCACACAGCACTGTTTCGATAAAGGGAAGGTTCCAGTGTGCAATAACATGATGTCTGTGTTGAAACGAAGAAATGACCGGAACAAGTTGCTTACGTGCTTCTGCTGTCGTGCTAGCATTTGCTCTCTTGTGTTCGCCGAACACATACACGGCGACGACTGGAACAAAAGCGAGACGAAGCATCTTTGGCAAAAGCATGACACACGAATAAAGAATCAAGTAAAATATTTCTTAAGGCAGTTGGAGAAATGCTGTACCTCTGTCGACGGGTGGTCACGCAGGGGACACCTCCAGGCCGGCCTGGGAGGCTGCGCTAGTTGTTGGAGCTTATCTTCCCTCTTTCTTCCCTTTTTCACCATCGTTCAGGCTGAAATGAAAGAAAAAGTATCGGCTAATGCTAGCAACTGGTACGGGCCTCCACCTTTCGTTACCTCCGCCGCGTGCCTTACAGGTTCTGTTTTCGGTTGCCACAGCACTCGAGAACGTAGACACCAGCAACGGCACGCAGCAAATCAAACTTTTCCCATAGAACTTCCTTTACTATGCCAGCCTGATCTACGTGAGCTTCCCTATTTAATAATACATTGAGAAGTGAAAGCGTCGCAACATACAAGTAGTCGTCAACAGTGCGTTAAAGACCGAGTAAGCATTTATCCAGTTATGTATTTAGAGACATGGCTGGATAGATGTTCATTACAGACTATCTAGAAGCGAGCCCCTAGTTGCGAACAAAATGAGAAAGAATACGTTGGCTGATACGGGAATTATTGTTCGAGTTCGTCCCCTTCAAACAACCGTGGCAAGGCCACGGTGTATGAGACATATGGCTCATGGTCTTTCCCTACAGCACCACGTTAAAAATGCCTACACCGTGTCTCATTCAAACCTTTCCTTGAACAAAAAGAATATAAAAACGTGCTCCGATGAACAACTCTTTTGGAGGGAGCTAGTAAGGTGAGCCAATGCGACAAGGTTCAACATCCCAAAGCAGGCTGCCTAGACATAAACCGCGACTACATCACCGATACGGCTACACACTTAGGGACAGACATGGCATCAACAGCAATCCGGAAGAAGCTAAAGAGTTCTTGCAGAAATATATCTGGAGAATATCGAAAATGCGACATGACCCCAAACGGCGTGCACTTCCATCTGCACGTGGCAACCCTCTGCAAGGGAAATAGAAAAAAGTTAATATTCTTTTGTCTTGGGAACAATCGATAAAACTCTATTAAAATCCTCTTGGAATCGCAACCCTCTGCAACGGATACAGAAAAAGCTAAATTTCCTGCAATCTTCAGTCCAAACGATAAAACACCGTAAAAATCCTCTTGGAATCGCATGCTGGACTATTTACTCAATAAAAAGGGTAACGATATGTCTGTCCATTGATCCCATCCTACACAGCAACGAACAGCCTAAAAAAGGCTGTAGACCAAAACGGTCATCAGGAACACAAGTGCCGATGACGGTCTGACTCGTAAAATTCCGTTGCCCACTTCATTGCCAACTATAGCGTGAACGATCTTCTGCCATTCATCTTCCCTGCAAACCCAGGCACAGTACAAGATATCGATTGCCTAACTGCATCGTAGCAAGTGCCATATACTGAAGGCCGCACTTATGCTACGTTGACCATGTGTTTTGGGTTGTATGCAGGCAAGTCCGTGCTTCTGCAGCGTGGGTTCCCACTTGAATGGAGCTTCATTAGCAGTCAGTGCCACCGGGTTCGTTAAGCAGATAATGGCAGTAGTAGGCTTCTCTTGAAGTCTTCTTGATGCCCGGCCTCTGTGACTTTTAGACATGGATGGAGCAGCAAATGATTCTGCTGTTGTGCAGGTGACAAAGGCACAGCTGACCACAGGGTTCTACTTGGGGTTATACAGGGCGACAAAGGAGACGGTCTTGTTGTCATACACCTTCGGGTTGTTCGGAGCCTGGTATGTTGGCGGGTTCTCGTTATTGAAGAGAGAAAAACCGTCCTTCCAGTACTGCACTGCCGCTTTGCAGTCATCCTCACCGGCGTAGTACGCGAAAGTCCCCTTGAGCTTTTCTGCCTCAGTTCTGCCGCTCATAGTCTTCAGATAATAAAAGGAGAAACAGAACAAACGTGGTGAGTAGCTGCTAGGGGCACCATTGTTTGGAAAACTTTGATTGGCTTAGTGTGCTTGTGGCATGACTTACCCCTGTCATTTCTTTGCAGATTTCGTTCCACAGTGTTTCAGCTGTTATCTTTCTTCCCGGAGGAGAGCTTTTTGGCAGCAATTGTAGTTCATCAGTTGCCTTCTCAAACGCAGCGGGTCCAGGAGGTGTTCTCGTTTCGTTCATCACAGGTAAGCAATCAACCGTTTCTGTTCAGAAAATTCAATATACACAGGACAGTTTTAAAGCAAAATAAATTCCAGTCCTGAATAGGAATAATTCCGCCTCAAATGGGGCAAAGACAGCAGGAATACGCTTACCAGCTGTTCCGGTTACGTTTGCGCTTGTGCTTGCTGTCTTGTGTCCACAGAACAGAGACATTAGAACGAATGAAATGAAGAAAGCTTGATGAGACATGTTCGTCATTAATAGTTCCAATGACAGGAAGAACAACGGGACTATTTTCTGAGAGGGGCTAACGAGCGCTGTTTCTTTTTCGGCAAATCAAGGCAAATGGGGACATTCGTGGGCCACGTTCGCGTGGTTAGGGGTTAGGCTTGTTCTGAATATTCGTCAGCCAGGTTGGCGTTACTTCGCACGCTGTCGGGGCCTTTCGTCTCTTCTTCACCTTCTTTTGAATGATCACTCAAGCGAACGAAGAAAATATGTTGAGGAAAGTGGGTATTTGCGTGACCAAAAGGCTTGTGCCTTTCGTGATCTTGAGACCATCCCCCCAGAGGTTCTGTTGTTCTGCATTACTGCGAAACAGGCTAGTGATGCGCACCATCAAACGTACGCCCAACGGGATACATTTTTCTGTTGAAACCCTTTTTGTCGCGTTAGTAGCATACTAAACTTTTACACTCCTTTTTACTGGCATATCAGAGCCCCGAAAATTCCGAACCAACAATTGCTTAACAATGCGTTACACACCAAGCAGTCGAAATTCACGCCCGAAAAAACGTTCACTAGGGCTTATTTGTGATACAGAGCAAGGTGAGGCAGGGAATTCGTCGATTGAATTCTTCCTCTCCATATGGCAACACCGTGGCAGCCTCAGACTGGATATCTCCTCACGCAAGATCACATTTCAAGTGCCTACGATGCTTCCTATTCAAATACCTCCCTGAACGTTAATACGAAAACCTGCCATAACAGTAAACCTTCTCGAAGGGGCCTGGCCCAACAAAATGACGTAGCAAGGGAAGATTCAGCGTAACTAGACAGACACGCATCGCATAACCAAACACCACAGATACAAGCATTATTTTCAATTCGATATATGTGGCACTGAACTGAAGCACTTTCCCCATACTTGAAACTTCCCCGCGTTTGTTGGGGAGGCACCGGATGAAACAAGGACAAATGCTTCCGGAACAATCTGGTACAAAAGCATTACCAAAATTCTTTTCGTGGTGTTTCTATTGGAAGATTGAGAATTGAATTTCATGAGCTTCGTAAGGGATCGTCACATGCAGGTGCTGGGTGTGCACGCCATGTAATATCAGGGGTCATTTTCGAAATTCAGATGCGTATACGCCATTTTGAAACAGCAATTAACCTGCCTAGAGGTGTAGGAACAACAGTAAAATGGTGATCTACACCCCCCAGACTTGCCGGTACTTAATTGCATCCACAAACATAAGGCAGCAATAGACTTGTATGATATTTGGCGACTATAGTATGCTAGGAAAATTCATGCAAGTAGGCGATATGAGCGTTGTTTACCTCCAGGCAAAATGATCGATCAAGCTTGTTTGACACAGATACTGCCGTCTAGAAGTCGAACGCATGAAAATTTCCCTTAAAACCCTTACTATCTACTTTTGATGCGCTTTTTTCGACGTAGGAATTCCGACTACGTTTAACTTGTGGTTTACAGTCTTCCCTAAAAACTGTTCACCACGTATACTATCTACAATATAATCTTCGATTTATCAAGACAAGTTGAAGGACAAGAAATTATCAACCAAGTTTTCCCCTTCAAATGAGGAAGGTAACACCATGGCGCCTCAGTGGGTAGGGACAGCAGATGAGTATTTATCCGAAATACTTCAAAATATCCCCATTGTTGTCCCTCTAAAAGTAGCTTGGCCACACATGCCATGACACAAGCCACTTGGTATGAGGTTGTACCTGCCCAAACAGGCAGGCATGGCATGGCAGATACCACCGGCGGGTACATCAACGCCGAAACTTCTGGCTTGAGTACACCTAAAGATCGAGAATTTCATTTGGCAGCACACACTGCGCAACACTTGCACTCGCACGTGGCGACTCTCTGCAAGGGTTTTAAATAAAATTGCGCTTCCTCCCGATTATCCTATAAAAGGGCCCTACAAATGTAGCTTTTGCATACACTTCAAACAACCAAAGCACTATAAGCTGTCTTAATTCATCACATTTCGTCCAGGAGAGGTGCTCGTTTGTCACTCAAGGATTTCACTCAGGAAGGAACTTGCGCCGCCATATCTGTCCAATGCTGGTGTGTCACTAACAACCGGCGCCCGCCTAAAAGAGAGCGAAAGCGGAGATGACCGCCGCAGAGATGAGGGCTACTGAAGGGACGACTGGAGAAACTCCGCCCTTCTCTTCCTCTTCCTCAGAGAGAGATAGAGAGTCAACAATTTTCTTCCATTGCTCGTCGCTGCACGCAAACATTACAAACATTACAAACAAGTATTAGAAGATTGCGCTTCAACCAACCTCAGCACCCCCAGTGTAACCTGCCGCATTGATGCATGTTGCAGTGGCGACCAGCTGACTCTCACTCGAATGGTTGTGACCTTGCTTCCAAAGGAGCCGGATTTGTCAAGCAAATGACAGCGTCTGTCGTGCCTGCCGCAAGCCTGCGTCCACCAACACCTGCATTAGGGCACTGGAGGAGCACGCAACTGACAACGGGGCTGGTTTTGGGGTTGTATAGGGCGACAAAGGAAACAGCCCTGTCATTGTACACAACGGGGTCGTTCAACGCTTGGAACGTTGGGGGAATTGTGTCGTTGAACTGAGAAAGTCCGCCTTTCCAGTACTCCACAGCATCGCTGCACTCTTTTTTGCCGTCTGTGACGGGGTAGTAGGCAAAATTGCCAGTTAACTTGACAGCTTCAGTAACGTTCCTGGACCTTCCGCCCTGTACGTAACAAAAGATTAAAAATTCAAGGACAGTGTAGTTCCTTGTTCCACAGAACGAAGCTGCTCAGAACACCTACTACATCATGACGATGCAAGGCCGTGGACGGCTTACTCCTAAGACTTTGGGGCATATCTCCGTCTTCCAGAGAGTTTCAGCTACTGGTGCCGCCCTAGACTCTTCATGCGAGTATGCTGGTAGAACAAATGTGTCTCCCACAGCATCTTCGAATGCAGGAAGTCCTGCTGCTTTTCTCAGCTTGTTCATCGCCTCTTTACAGTCCAGCGTAACTGATAAAATTTCCGCACACAACATGCAAAAGGTGAATGCACCTCGTTTTGGGAGATGCTCCGATGCTATCGGACCAAAAACAGCTAGCGGAAAAGCCCACCTGCTGTTGGGTAATTCTGAGCTCTGACTGCTTGCTGCCCGAAGAGCAGTGACAGAGAAAGAAGAGAAACAAAAGAAAGACGAGCCATTTTGAGCAAATATGACTGTACAGTAATTGTATAATATGCAAAAGTGACTGTACAGAAACTGTAAAGTGAGCAGATAAATATGTTTTGACAGATATGGGAAGAGTTCTGGCGGCCTGTTGACAGATGACAGCGAGGTTGACAGCTGCTGCCCTAGCTGGCGCGCTGGTGCTGGCCATTGGAAGCACGCTACGGCTTGCTGCCTCTCATAGTGGGCAGGAAATAGTAGATAGAGGGTGAAAATACAATTTCGCAAAGAGTTTTATTTGAAATATCTTGCAAAAGTATGCAGATTTCTTTGGGCTGCGGCTCTAGACGTAAACGCTATGTTCAGGTTCTGCCCAACACCGTACGTCGTCATAGGTGTGTGCAGGGAATGCAATCGCAAACGAGACTGCACTTCCGAGAGCGGTCTCGGCCCACTTGAATGGATTTAAGGGCAAACGTGAAATTGAAAATTCATCCGTTTGACGCTGCTCTCAGCTTTCATTGTTCCATGCCTTGCGCCATTCCTGCCACCGCCCCTTTCCCAGGTTACCTCCAGGTGACGGTGTGACTCTCATGAAACTGCCAGAAGAACAGCTTACACCAGAATATTCCCCTCATTTACTGGCAAACTAATGTGATTACAAGAAAAATGGCACTTGAAAATGCCGCGTTTGCAATGAAAGCAAGAAAATACCAGCGACCCGCGGTCACTCCACTGTTTCTCCCTTCAGTTCTCGGGCACTCTGCATGAGACGTTGCTGTGACGAATCACTCTCACGAATTTGCATTTCATAGCATATATTTGGAGGTAGATGATTATTGCTTGATAGATCTAGAGCGAATCGGATGATTTCAGTCCGAAAGTGCTGGGGTTTGGTCCATTGAACACCTGAACCTTGCTGCCAGATTTTGAGAAGAGTAGCTCACCGGGGTCGCAGCCAAGTCCGGTGTCTACAAGTGTTACGTGTTACGTACGGACAAAACGGATACCTCTGTAAAGCTGAAGTGTAAGTGAAGATAAATTAGCAGCTCCATGCGGCAATCCTGCTTTGAGGGCAAAGAGTTCTGCAGTGCACGAAGGGTGTCCAGCTAGATACCACGGTGGCGCAGAAAACCCGCATTACAAAGAAAAGATCAACTCAAATGCAGAATATCAGTCAAAGAATTATCAGAAAGGTAAGGAAGAGACGGACCCCCAACAGTGTCTAGACACTGCACGCTCAGCTGCTCGAACCGGTGAGGCAGAAGTTCGAAGCAGTAGTGAGACAAACTGGGCACACACAGGGGAACAGCACGATCAAGCTTTTCCATAAGATGGCAAAAAGTGCGGCTGTTTCAGCGTTTGGTCCTTAAGGTAGTAAACACAAGAAGGGGCTTCAAGCAATCGGTAGGCTGTGGAGGAGCAACGACATCTGGCAGCAACCCTAGAGTACCGTCACCTTGACAAAAACGATGTTTTGAGGCAGCTGAACAAGTCAAGACGCCAATGAACGCCAGTTCCGGAGGCCCGCCAGAGGAAGTGATAACGGCTTATCTGAGACTAGAGACAGAAAATGGAGGGTTGGAGCTGCTTCTGGTATGAGCGGAAAGAACGGCCACCCTGGCTGGTGCAACAAGCAGCAATAAAAAGAGGAAAGCAACGCGTAGAAAGAGAGAGGCTGCCTGACTAGGCTCGTCTGCGCAAGCCCTGCCAGAACACAGCCATCAAATCGCGGAGGAAAAGGACCACTACACGAGTGAGGCAATTGTAAAACAGGGAAGTTTGGGGGTTGGGGGAGACGACTACGCTAGAGTACAGACGTCTGGTAAGCAAAGAACGTGAGCTGTGGGGTTACGATCCACTACTTTCACGCTGGCCAACTGGAGGCTGCACCTACGAGTGCTGGGGGTTATAGAGGATCATCTGCCTGACGGCATGGAGGTGCCCCCTCCCCCACTTACAGAAGGAAGCAACCACTACCCATAAATTCAGAAACATGAAGTATAAGGTGCCGAATCTAGTGATACGGGAGCGCAGCAGGGAAAAGCAAAGCAGAGTAAAAGTGGGGTTGCTCCTACGGACGCAGAGCATGTGTGCCGGGATGGTGGAACCAGATTTAGTGTAACGAAAGGGCTAGTGAAGGCTAGGATGTCCTCCGTAGCAAAGGCATGATACTAAAAATTCGGTCTGAGGTTCTTGAATACACTGCGAAGCTCTCTTGGGCACTGCCGCATCGCCTGGAGTTATTAGCCAAGCTGCTGTAGAACGGCTGCAGCTTACTCAGAGTGGGCAGACCTTCTACGATTCGACTTTTAAGCTTCGTAAACGAAGAAAAAATGTGCATCTACTGGGTGAATACTCGCTTAGCGATGTAGTGGTGGCGTCAATATTTCTGGGTTGACTTTCGTGTACGACATGCTCTGACGTTGCGATTCGACTTGTTCATGAGGCACAAGAAGGCCTGATATTTCCAATCTGATTAGCTGACAGCCTAATCTACTTGTGCCATATTTGTAGATGGTGTGGTCTGCTAGTAGTGTGCACCAGCAGAAGGGCAAGCAAAAGCCTTCAACCTGAGATGGCTTAGCCAAAAGCTCTATAAAGTGCTGAGTATTGCAACCACCTAGATAAGCCAGTGCCTAGCTTTGAATGTCTTGGGGATTGGTGCTTCCATCTGATAAATTCCAAGTGAAGGTGTTTGATAGAATTGCATTCATTCAATTTGGTGTTACAATCTGCCGCCTTTGTTGCCTCTGGATTTCGAAATCTTGTGTTATGAACTTGCATATAGTTCGTGCACCTGCAGATATGCACAAGCTAGTACAATGTGATAATTTAAATACTGGACTTGCAGAAATCCAGTGGGATACGCTAAATTTTGTTCTGACCCAGGATGCAGCGAATGCAAGCCTCAGCCAGTGTATGGCACTACCATGCCACGTGCAAAACAGGAGCTTGCGTATGATTTGCCGACTAAGGGTATCTTAAGGAACAAAACTTCAATTCTACATACACGCAGGAGCCTGCCAAGGGGAACGCAGTTCTCGTGCACTCCAGAGGCTATGGTACCAATGAAGAGTCGAAGTTGCCCTTAACCTAGTACAGGCAATTATATACATTGGTTCAGTGATCGTAGCGAGGCATAAGCGTATTTAGATGGCAGGAAAGTAACCTTAGTGGCCACCATTAGGGATATAGGCCTCAAGCGACGCCATTGATGGTACTCTGAGGTACCTGGTAAAAATGAGCAGCTTAGGTGCTTCTACACACAAAAACATACTTTTACTGCGGCCTTCTGTCAGTGTTAACAATTAAAATTGTTAAATGGCCAATAGCTTCTTCTCGGCTCCCGAAATACACTCGTGTTCAAGGGACACCGTCTCCAGGCAAGCCTCGTTCTTTGCTCATGCGAGGTACGAGTATGGTGGCTGCAGCAGCATGCAACTTCCTCGTCTTGCCCCAGCACCGGCGTCATGCTTTTGTCCTGAGCTGCACCTCCTCTAGGTACCGACGACGTGGGGGAGATGCAGGGGCAGAGACGGCTCGACGACGTGGGGGAGATGCAGGGGCAGAGACGGCTCCTCTGCCCCTGCATCTCCCCCACGTCGTCGGTACCTAGAGGAGGTGCAGCTCAGGACAAAAGCATGACGCCGGTGCTGGGGCAAGACGAGGAAGTTGCGTTCCTTTGTCTGATCATGGGTGCAACACTTGCGCTTCTGGAAAATAGGAATTCACACACGTGCGGCCCATGCGAGGTACGCAGCTACTTAGAGGCCTAACTTTCGAGAAGTGATGGCACGCCTATCCATCAAAGGAATGGGTTCACCTGTTTCGCTAGAAAGAGGGGAGGATAAAGTCAAAGGGAATCTTTGAAGAGGATGCTTTGCTATAACGCCGGGAAGCGCAGAGAAGCTTCACGAAGCGGCAGGAAGCGCTCCATCTGCGTGACTTCGTGAAAGAAAAGGGCAGCCTGTTTCTTCTTATTCTTTTCTAACAGACCAACGTTTCGACAGTTTATATATGTTCTTTGGTGCCTCGAGCAATAAAAACATATAAAGCATTTTTGGGTATGTCGAGCCTAGACAAGCTGGCAGGCGTGAAACAGGCAGCCTAATGCACACTACGCGCTCGCGAGTCAGGCTGCACTGCTGTTAACGTCTGCCTGTTTCCCGTGGGCCATAACTCACGGCCCACAGAAAGAGAGGTTGCTGCTGCCTGTTTCCGGCTCAGGTTAGCAATGAGCCTAACAGTTAACAACAATGCAGCCCGACTCGCGAGCGCCTAGTATGCATTCGTCTGCCTGCTTCGCATGGGCCATAACTCTTGCCGTTGCTGTTCTTTGACCGAAAGCCCTTTTCCATGACAGTGACCAGCTTCTTTCTTCTTCAAGAACTTAGTTCAAATTTAAGTAAGCAGCAGCTTCTGATGCTTTGTTGCCCAAGACCGAGCAGACACCCTGATTAGGTCTCAATAGCATATAACCGCTATCTAACCTGCAGCGTAACTCCACGGCAGGGTCCTCCCACATCCGCAACTGTGCCTCTTGGCACAAGAACGTCCCATGCCAAAATGAACTTCCATTTTTTTCCACTGGATTTAGCTGACTTACTTCACAAGAAGAAGCAATGCAGTAAGCCTTCAGAAAAAGGTGAAGACAGTGGGAATTACCCTCAGTGTTGGAGTCCAATAATTCACCTCCTTACTAATGGAAACAGGGGATAATTTGCCACACTTGAAGAACCAAGGAATATGAGTTGGAGGTTTAAGCACGAACTCGTCTTCAGCAACCAGTAATAACTGGGAATTCTCGCATGCGCATTTCCTGTGCATTAATTTGCACTGCCATAGATGCGATTCCGTATATGTCATCGTTTTTATTGCAGGCCTGCATGCATATAGTAACCATACTTCTGAAGAAGGCGGAGGGAAACATGCTTGGCACTGAAGGCCTAGCTTTTCACAAAGATCTGTGCTGCAGCGCTCTTCACTACGGAACAATGTAGGGCTTTACAAGTTCTTTCTCCCCCATTGCAAATAATTTGCATTTCAACAGCTGACTCCTGACCTTACGTTTTGCCGTGCATCTCACTTGCGCGGTTAATTCGTATGCTGTGCGGTGCTGGGCAAGGTCCCGACAACCGTAGAACTTTGGATGAATCTTTCCTGACTTGCCCATATCTAGGTTTATAAGCTTAAGCCGAATCACGCAAAACTTCAAATCTGATCCTTCGCGGCTCTTTCATCTCCATCGGTGTATAATTTCTCTGATCGTTGGGTTTCTCTCTTGAGGCAGACGGGGTAACATTTCCAGGAATGTGTTTGGGCAAGGCGCAAGTGGAAGCAACATAGACTCATTATTTTCTGACATTGCTGTCAAACCTTGACAAATCGGTTTGCCGTGCTCAGCTGCATGTAGTCTTTCAATGGGCTTAACTTGTCAAGCTAGTACACGCTAGGCCTCACGGAGCATTCATAGTTATTTATTTCCATAACTTTGCGTATTGTTGGATTGATAGCGAAGCGCTACATACTCTGAAACAACCAACTCATTTACAAGACCAAAGTCAGCCGGTACATCTCACAGCGCTTATGGGAAGGCCACACGGCGCGCAAAATGTAGTAGGAAGCATATTCCCAGGCTCTGCAGAATATAGAGGAAGCTAACTGGCGTGTCTACAAATTTGCATCCTGACAGAGCAGCATCGGCAAAGAAGGGCTGGTTAAGCCGCTCCGCTCCCTGCCTTGCCGTGATCATAGTCGCCTGCGTGCAATTGTTATGCTATATGTTCAGCCAAACAAATTTGTGTCTTTACGGCTATTACATCTGTAAAATAGTACACATGCTCTGCTCCCTAAAAGCTATATCCGTTCATGAATTCTTCTTGCTGTCAATTTTCGTGACTGACAGCCCCTGGAATTGGTTGCTGCTGTAGGGCACGAGATGCATTAAAACAGCGCAATTCATGCGTTTCATGATCTTTTACTGAGTACAAACCCTAAATTTCGGCGTTACTTCGCATTTTTCGCGTCTTTTCGCCCTTCCAAATGGAGCTAAGTCCGTAGACACACCGCGGACTTCGGCGGCGACGTGCAAGCACACCAGAGTATCCTTCAGTTGGTTGCAGCTGCTCATAACTCGCCATTTCGACTGTTTTAGCGTTATCTCCAGGGCTTGGGCTGCAGAGGGATGACCCTTACCACGCCTTTCATTCGAAACTAGAACCTCGAAAAACCGACCTCACGTTCTTCCATGGTGCCTCCAGCATACCCTGCACCAGTGACGGCTAGCATGGCGGCAGCGGCCAAGCAGCCTCGCAAGGCGGTTCAGTCAAATTACCACCAGAGCACGAGTCAGCAGCATGCAGCGGAGGTAGGTCAGGACTACCATCGCTATTCGGTGAAGTTGAGGCCCCTGCTTGCGAGTATAGCTAACAAATATTGCGAACACAGGCTCTCTGAGTAGCTTTGCACTGCGGCGCGTCTGGTCGCTACAAATTCGCTTAACTCAGCGAGCAACACAGCTCCGCATTAGCGCACAGGTGGAACCTAGGAATCCCAGGCTACAGCGTAACGAAGCATAGGGTCAAGCATAAGGTCACCCACATTCTGCTTGCGTTAACAGGACGAACAGATGTCCTTGAAGGACCTGTTGCAGCAGCTGCATGTCGTGGTGGAGGACTTGGCAGTCTTGGATAGCTCTCTTACTGCTCTTTTTGAAACTGCGCCAAACACGGACGTAACGGAGCATCAGCAGTTAGTCCAGGTGGGGCAGGCTCATTGTATCGTGCTGTTCAGAGTGCGTCGCATGAAACCAAGGAGCCCAGTGATAGGCTGTTCAGACTTAAGCAAAGATCTTGTTTGTCATGCTGCTGGGTGTCTTTTTAATCAGTTCCGGAGTCGTGTGGCGCGTCGCATAAGTCGCTATGGGCAGCTGTCAAAGAACTTGGCCCAAATTGTGGAAAAGATAATTTCCTGCAATTCATCTCAGCCCCTGGACGCTTCTCGTCATCGAGAATCCTTTCACCCCAGGCAGCTTCACGAGCTTGATGCCCTGCTCAAGCAGCACCAGCAACGCCTGCAAAAGTAAGCCTGCGAATGCTCATGCTACCGCCTTGCACTTTACCGTTCTTCTCGCGATCTTTCCGACGTTTCACATACCCCATCCAACCTGAAAAGAGTCTCATTTTCAGGTTAATGGACCGCTCTGCAGGCATCGAGCTGCAGCTGCTGATCTTCGAGTTATGGCGTTCTGTAAACCTCAGTGCTCACGTATAAGCTGTAAACCTCAGTGCTCACGTATAAGCTTGCGTGCAGCCTGTCTATACATGTATGCATGCGTGTGCATGTGAATATTTTTTTGTATGTACATTCTATCGCTTTAGATGCGCTTGGACATAGGGATTGTGCTGCAATCCCGATGCTGCATTACTTGCCTCGTTGCATCTTCAGTCATGTTCACATCTGCTTGTCGCGGCTCACTGGACTGCATGAGTGCAGGTACAAGTCACAGTTTGCTGCCTGGTGGCAGAACACAGAACGCCACTTCCACACGATGCGGATGGCGAATTATGTATGTTCGGTCCAGGAGAGGTAGGTAGAGCTGTAGGTGCATTGTCCCAACACGCAAATCTTAGGTTTGCAGAAGTGGATGTTTTGCTCTTGATATTTACGAGCATTTCCCTGCCAAAATTTATTCCCAATTCCTAGCAACCGGGTACAAAGAAAACTTTGTGCGCGGTACCAATGCACCGTGTCTCAGGTCACAGACTGCACTTGGGGTCTCTGCACGTGAAGGACCTTCTGCGGGACCCTCTCGCAGTGGAGGCCCGCGTGTGGAGCCTGTAAGAGCCAAGGCGACAGCTGGGGAGCAGCTGGCGTTTGCTCCTGTGCCCCCTAAGTCCCAAGATGGTGCGGTGAAGCCAGGAGGCGTGCACAGAGTCTCCCAACCCGTGTCACACAACCAGCAGCTACTGCAAGAGACTGGACAAGCAATGGTGAAGGAAGTGCAGCGCATGCAAGCTACAGAAGAGCAGCTGCAGCAGTCGTCTAGTGCCTTGGAACAAACGGAGTCGTCCTACAACGGTCAGACATGTGCTGCATACTAATACACGACCGGTGCTCGACTCGCCATGTCCCCAAATCTATCTTCATGTGCACAGGAAGAAAACTGAGTGGCATCGCAGCGCCTTCTGGTTTGCACTAAAGGGCTAGGGTTACTTGGGCTTTCAGTGGGTTGTAGCATCGTGGGCATCAAATTGACTGGAGGGGTTCGTTTTCTTACACTTTATGCACCAGTTGCGTATCTACGGAAACAAGTGCGAGTAAGATGGCTTCATTTGTGGCGCCAGGGCCTCAGTTCGCCTTGAGCCTTATGGATACTTAAAAATGAGCGAACGATGCAGCATGCCAATTGCAGTCGAGAGGGGCCAGATGGGAGAAGTAAGGGCTCCTATTCGGCTAAAAATTCTGGACAGGATCCGAAGGCTGCTATAAGTATTCTGTTCCGTGGGTGGAGCCGCGGATGTTGCACTGCCCAGTGGATGCGTCGTTCCAAGAAGAGCCAGAGTGGGCGGGGCAGAGCTCAGTGGCGCTTGCTGTTGCTGCTGCTGGTGCTGGTGCTGCAGTCTTTGGCGCGCGACTCTCAAGCGCGACAGGGATGCTGCAGGCTTTGAAGAAGAGGTACACAATTCCTTGGATGCCCAGCGCAGCTTCAGGGTACCAGGGAGAAAAAGCAGAGAGCAGCAGATGGCATCCAGGCACAAAACAATATATTGACGTCAAAAAGGTGGAAATCCAACAGCATGCACGCTCGCCTCTTTGTATCGACAGTGGTTTTTGCCTTATGTTGAGGGCTGCTTTGAGCGAGACCGCAGAGCGCTCATGCTGGCAATGCGTATACAGCAAATGCCCCTTTCTTTTCTTGGCGGTGAATGCACGCGCAATATACAAGCTCTGGTCATCTTATGAATAGCTATGTTGCTTCTTCATTGGGGCAATTGGGCAATGCTGCATTCAGAAGACTGAATACGTGTCTGTTGGAGGCCATGAGCTGCCTGCACTACTTCGTGTTCTTTGTTTCATCCTTGTGCTGATTTTTACGTATGCGCTGTTGCATGTGATTCCTTGTTGAAGTGGTGGACTAACTATGGGACTGCAGCGATCTACTGGAGTGTTTATGCTAGGATTTCTTAACTCTGGTGGACCGTCCCACAAAGTGACCGTGGATGACGAGTGGGGCTCAAGGCGAACTACGACGCATGGCATTTCCCGTTGCCACAGCGCGATCCTGCGAAGCCCCGCTATAAATATCGTACAGATTAGATTCTTTTTCTGTTTTCTTGGAGGCATGTTGAGCCTGGCTTCTGGTTAAGAACACAGAAGACAGGAGAACGATTTCAGATGGCGAATATCTTGCAGCACCGGATTTCGCGTTTCGACTGCTGCTGTAAAGCCTCTGACGTACTTGTGCCTCCTTACGCAAGGATGTCATCGAATTGTTTGATGCATGCGCAATTCAGCTCTTAGGACATCTTCTCATGCGTTTTATTTTTGTTCATGTCGCGACCGCAAAACATTTTGGGGAAAATTAACGGCAGGTAATGAAGCCAGTGAAGACCGATGAAATCTCTTAGTTCTTTTGTGTTCGTTTCGTGTTGGTCTGCTGTCTGCTACAGGTCTGCGTCTGATTCAGAGCTTATTTGGTTCGCGTTCCTCTTCTTCCTGGGGTGCTGCGCATTCGTCCTGCTGAGACGTTTGGGGCTATTGAAGCTTGTTTTGCGTGTGCGCGTCTCAATATAAGTTGGGTAGATTTGAAGCGAAAATCCTTTCCAAGGGCTTCTTTTCGTGGACACCGACGTTTTACTTGCGAGCCAAAAGTCGCATAGTCTGTGTGCTCCTAGTGGAGAGGACCATAGCGCCATTGCTTATTGATTGTGTTGTTCAAAGTTCTGTGCGTCTCCATGCAATTATGCTTTAGGTGGCTTTTTTTTCGCTCCGGCATTCTGTATCTCTGGCTCTCTGGACTGCAGATCGGATCACATTGGCCGTGGAGTGGGTGTGGGAAAAGCTGCTTGGGGGGTATAACGAGTCTGACGAGCTCTTGGGGTCTTCGGATTTCGATAACTTGAGCATCATTTCCCAGCCTTCACCTATTACTTCCCCAGCTGTGTCAAAGCTGCTTGCTACTTCCGCCGCAAGCGCCATTGCAGCACCCTCCACACGGTCCAAACTCAACCCGACTCACGGTGCAGCTAGCAACCAGAGCCTTACTCTACCAGAAATGCACGACGAGAGAGAATGGATCCTGCAGTCACACTGGGGGAAGAGGAGCCAATGATTAATGTTTCGAATGTTTCTCGGCATCAAGATGACATGCGACATGACTTTCGAAAAGGCAGTGCGCTTTCGGGTACTTAACCGAGAGACAAAGCTCACGAATGGCATGTACCGAAGGGATTATGAGAGGAGGACATCAACAGGGCTGCAGCAAATGAGGTGGCAATTCCGAAACCAACACCGTATTCAAATGCAGCTCCACATGGCAAACTGAATAGGCAATTTGTTACTGCTCGTCAGCAGTAATCAGAAAAAGAGTAATATGTCTTGTACGTTGTACTTAACGCGATAGAGGGAAACGAAAAGCTGCTTCAGTGATTCTAGTGGAGCTACCTGAAGGAATTCGGCAGTGACTGATGAAGCAGCGCGGGCAAAAGCACCAGCAGTGAACGGTGGATTCTAGTCGAGCGTATACTGATTTGTATTTCCAGAATTGTGAAAGTTGTGTGTATGGCTACTGAGGTGCCTACCTACTCTCTGCAAGGTCTCCCAATCGGACTGTAGTAGCCGCTGGTGGTAAGAGCCATTACCTGCGGACGGAAGAGTATTTGCCTGAAGAGCTATTAAGGGTAGGCAAGGAAGCATCCAGTCTCATTTGCGCCGATCCAGCATGGTTTTGTCTTCATGGAGTGTAAGCACACTGACAACGGGGTGGTAGGCATCGTCGGAAAGTGGTGTGCTAACCCTGCTCCCTCGCAGGATCGGCCCGCAGCTGGCGGCTCCTGCTCTGCAATGTGTATCCTTGCTGGGTTTGGGGTGCCACTACATTGATTTTTACAGCTATAGGAAGAAACAGGGAAAAAGCACTGAGTACTCCAGCGAGACGTCTGCCTCATGGGAATAACCCAACGCAGGACAGTCCGATTCGTATTCGCGTAACAGACAACATAGTGCATATGCACACACGTTATTCGCATGTGCAGCATGAGTCTAGAGGAAGCCAAGGAGCTTCATTGTATCAGTAGTAGTTGGCGTGAGAGTCAGAAAGGCTATTGGTCCATGTCACGTAGAGAGGGCACGGAACAAGTACGCCATTTCTTATTTGAAGTATAACAGGGTTTTGTTGGTTCGCACACAGCAATGGAGAATTGCTGGAGGTTGTGTGCAAGCTCGAAGAAAAGTGTAGCAGGAAATTACGGTTAAGTCGTTGCGCAGTAAATTGCCACGTAGTACGGAACAAGTAGGCATTCCTTATTTAAAGTACGACAGGGTTTTGCTGGTTCGCATACAGTAACAAAGAATTGGTGGGGGCCGTCTGCAAGCTCTAAGGAAAATTTAGCACGGAAATAGGAAACCATTATAGAGTTAGGCCTACAGTGCATGAAGCACCGTATATTTCCACTCCTTCAAGACAACCGACTGCACGGGAATGTAGTACTGTGACTTGAATACGAATGCAAATTCGCTTAAAGCAGTGTAGAAGCGCGTATCGTGTACATCTTTTCTGTGTAGTGCCGAGAATTTTCCCTCCTGCTGACCTGCAGGGCTGAAAGAATCGAATGCGACAAGTTTTGCGATCACGTGCTTTTACCGAATAGAATACTGCCTTAGAAATAGGGATGAGGCATCGTTTTGAATCATAAATTCGTCGTGCAGCTCCAATACTCCCATGGGGTGGGAACACTTTCTATATGTCCCGGGGAAGCCTGGGAGGCCGCCTTTTCCATCACGCTTATTTCACTTTGTGCCTACAGTTTTCATATTTTCATATTTTTCCGAGCAATAGTTTGAACGCTGCCTCCCTTTCTTAAGGGAGATGCTGTTGTATAACCCACCACCTCCAAAAACCGAGTGTGCTGTTAATTTCAAAGCCTGTCAGACACTCCAAGTATTCGGCTAATCTTGCAAAAGTCGTAGCAGCGTGGGCAAAGATGCCAGAGGCCGAGGTGCTGGAGTACTACATGAGCAAACTATCGATCGAGTTGTACAAGGAATAAAGCAGGTGCTACCACACGAAACAACAGCTGCACTCACTACTTTACAAAGCCCGTGGACTTTTCATGCGGATGTGAGGAGGAGACATCGCAACGAGTTGTCTCTTAGCGTAGGCGCAGGAAGACCGCAGGAGCAACGATTCTCCGCCATGTAACCTCCATGTGTTATGAGTGCAAGGGAAGGGGCGTTTGTCCCAAGACTGCCCCGTACGCAACGGAAACATCCAGCGGACCAGAGAAACATGTCTGTGATGTGGAGCTGTGGATCACTACGTCAGAGGCTGTCCCACACCACCGAAGCCGCTTCTCTAGTACAACGCAGCCGCAAGAGGTGTCTCCTGACCGTCTAAGTGGACAGGATAACAGCAGTCACGCCTTGGAGCTATGGGAGATGAACGTCACAGGCACAGGGGACATGGAGGGGAGTTACTGTGCATTACAGCCACGGGGCCGAACGCTGTAGAAGTCTCCCCAAGCTGGGGGCAGAGCATGCTACAGCAAGAAAGAGGGGCACCCTCTTCCTTGCTTACCGAGTTAAGTCTACATATGAACCTAAGGAGAGTAATGAAGGAACAGGGCCCTGCCCAAAGGCGAAGAAGAGCGCTAACATGAGCACAGACTGCTCAAGGAAATGCGTTACTGCAGAGAGAGGGGAAATGCAGAAAACGGCTATCCTCGAGGGAACCTAAGCCACCCCAGAGTTACGGCGAGATCAGCAGAGTGCGGGGATAGTGGCCGAGGCCCACGGGACGTTGTGTAGCATGGGCATGATAGCTGTGCTTGTTTTTCAGATAATACGGAACAATTGTGAGGGGCTCCTGGACACGGTCGCACCGTGAAGTTTATCCCGTCATAGTTGAGGTCCTCAAAGACCTGAAGGTCTTCTGACACAACGTCCCTGAAGAGCTGCCGCCAAAGCGACCGTATGACCACCACATACTATTACTATCAGGCCAGCTCCCACCCAAGGCAGCCTTATACAGCAGGCCACCAGAGCAGCTCGAATTCCACAGGCATGAAATCTGGCGTTAAATCTCCATGCTATTGGCTAATGGGTGGATATATTCGACCTATCCACCTACTAGCCGACATTTTAGCGATTCTACCTTACGTGCCTCTATCATCATGCTTGACAAGCGCGACGACGATACTGACGGCGAGCAGCAAAAGCGCATGGCGGTCAACTACCAGGCTTTAAAGGCGCTTACAATGGCCCCTGCCTTTCCATGACCTCTCTATCCAAACTATTACAGAGATATTAGAGGGCGCTAAAGATTCACTTACTCTTAAACTCGACGCTGGCTTTAGCCAAATCCGGATGCCCAAGGGTCTGCCTTGGGCATCCGAATTTGGTGAAAGCAGCAGGTGGAAGGCGCCCTTTTGCTCTGTTCTGGGTTTATTGGAGTACAAGGTTATACCATTCGAGATCAGGCCTAGCGCACTGACGAACTCGCTGCTCCCACTGCGTGTACAGCTGAGTGCTTTATTAGGAGCATCCCGAAAATTCACGCGAAAATTCCTTGAATCCCATAATCAGCCCCAAAATCAAGCCTAAGTTCCCTTGATCCATGAACAGGAACCATCAAGATCTGGCCCCCCAACTCTGACCTCCTAAGGTGGGTCGTCTCCTCGCCAACTCATTCAGCCCCAACATCCTGATGGATAGTTTACGCTCGTAGTGTAGTGCACAGGCACAACAATAGGGATTGCTGGTTACCGTAAGAAGATAGCTAGCTGGTGAGCTGCCGACAACGCCGGCACCGGTGCGCGTCACATCCTCACCAGACGTGCAGGGCAAGAACGTTAAGAAACAACATATATGAGAAATACGGTTTTCAGAACTTGAAACAAAAGAACTGTTTAGTAAATTGGTAGATGTTACGCGACAGATGCGTCAGTAATAGAGAAGATTTCGTTGGACAGCAGAGTTCAGGGTTGTGCAGCAACGTAGACACTACGCTGTAGGTCACCAGCAAGCCCTATTGTAGTGTCTGCGCACTACAGCAAGAACCCTGGATGGGGGACTTTCAAGGAAAATGGGTTTAAGAGCTTGAGAAGATGACTACATCTAATGATATTTGGCTGTTTATTTCACAGAGATACGTCGAAGGTAGAAGGGTTTATAGGCCCCTTGTAGTGCACAGAGACTACAATAGGGCTTGCTGGTGACCTATAGACGGTAGCTAGCTAGCGACCTACAAGAGGTCGTAACACTGAAGGAGGACAGGACCTTCTTACTAGGATCAAAGTAAGGCAATTTGTCTGCGAATTAACATGCATACACTAAAAGTGCCTGTAAATACGTGGAGACTGGGGCTGGCGATAGCGCCAGCACCAGTGCAGGCCTCCTCCCCACAAGGCCTAGGAGGCGAGCACCCCGAGTGGGGCGAAGCGAACAACAACAGATTTTGGGAAAACTTAAGAATAACTGTATTTCGATATATATAAGCTACTGTTTCAAGGAAATGGGCCAACGTTACGTGCCGATCATAGGCCCTGATCGAGGGGCAGGTAGCAGCGTAGTCGCAGCAGTAGGCGCTGTGCACTACATTTGGGGGCTGTTCCGGGATTGAAATCTTTGTTCTTTCCGGACTTGGGAGAAGAAATACTATGTTTTAATGATTCACGCCTAGAAATCTTCGCTCGGTAAGGGAGGCATCTCCACAACGGACGCGTTATCGGCCCCACACCGCGGGAGACTTCTACAAGGTCAGTGAACAAAATGCCGAGCGGGACGCCAGCCCATCATCGCCATGCTACTCCGAAGCCCACCGTGGTAGAGCGGCCGCATGGACATAAGGAAGCGCCCCCGCAAGTGATACCTATGACCAATGTTATGCCAGGGGACAGTTCCTTCGTCACGTGGGACCAATTCCAGTTCACTATGAGTGTGATAAGAACTGTTATAGGGGTGACCGTGGAATCCGGCGCAACGATTCCCATACTACCAGGAGACAGCAGCACTATGCAGGCCTTTCTGCTGCGCATCGAGCCCCGGTACACCCAGATGGGATTGGAACCGCGCGAATGGGGAAATGCACTTACAGACCACCTTGTGGGCCCGGCTCTAAGGTATTGGATGTATCTACGGAGAACTATCGACCAAAGCGACTGGGCGACAGTACAGCGCAGGCTTTTGGAGCGGTTCGACAAAACAATGTCGCAGAGTCAATTGTCAACGGAGTTGGCTAAAGTACGGTGGAATGGTAACCCGAAGGAATACACGGACCGGTTCGTACGGTGGAATGGTAAGCCGAAGGAATACACGGACCGGTTCGCGGCTGTAACGGAGCGCGGTTTGGGTCTTGCCCCCGACGAACTCGCTGACTATTACTGCACCGGGCTACCGACAGACCTCCATCTTCTAATAACCAATAACGGACAGGTGAAATATCAGTCATGGGAACAAGCGGCGACAGCCGCAACACGGCTCTACGAGCCCAAGTAGAGTGTGCTGGAACTCCGAGGAAGGACCAGTCGAGCCATTAGGGCTGCTGTCAAAGCTGATGGACCCCGTGGGCGCCAGGAAATTGAAAATCGACCTGGGGGAACCCACGCGAACTGCTTTGAGTGTCAGGGTCGCGGACATCCGGCACGAGTCTGCCTCAATAAAGGGGAACGTACCAAACGTCCGGGGGAAATATGCAAGAAGTGCGGCGGTGTGGGACACTATTCTCGGGACTGTCCTACGTATGAACGAAACCGGCCCGAGCCGGCGGACAAGAGCAGTAGGGAGCCCACCAGTCCTAGCACTGAGAAGACGGAACAATTAAAAAGGGGGGCCTAGGCGTGGTTGGAGACGAGCGTTCTAGGCGCCATGGCAAAGGAATGATGTATCCGGTAGCGACAGGCCCTAATGCCATTCCAGTCTTCCTTGAGTGGGGAAACCAGCTCCTCAGCACTGCGGAAAGAACCAACACGAGCAATGGGCACGCGGAAGGGACTCAGCCGCTTTCGGAAACGCGGTGGGAGTCTGGGTCGGCGCCGATCCTGAGTGGAGAGGCTCCGGAAGCGACGACGGATAGCAGCAGGAAGCCTGCAGAGGCAACAGAAGACGGCTGTAGGTCAGATGCGACAGAGATTGTGCCACACTGGTGGAGGGAAACTTGCACGAAAGAGTCTTTCGACCAAGGGAGCATTGTGTTATGTGGATGCGACGGTGGTGCTTCGCGTTGAGCTTGCAGGGAGTCCTTGTAAGGGCCTCTTGGACACTGGGGCTTCGAGAAGTTTCATTGGTCCTAAAACAGTCGAACGACTGCAGCTGAAGGTGCGGAGACTTCCAGAAGAGCATGGGTTCACCGTAGCTACAGGTGAGCAATTACGCATTGATCGAGTTGTGACAGGATTGACGATGTGGTGCGGACGTGCACGTTTTCCCGGGGACTTTTTAGTGAGACCCGCTCCCTAAGACTTAGTCTTGGCTTTGCATTGGCTGACGGAACATAAGGTGGCCTGGTATTTCCAGTCCGACAAACTCCGAACCTATGTGAATGGCCAGTGGTGCGAGTTACCGGTCGTTCGGACTGGTGAAGCAAAGCTGCAAGATGACAGTACCACCGTAGTCTACCCAAGGACCCTGGCAGAGCAAGCGTATGAGATATTGGCCAAACAAGTGGCGGGTATGTCAGCCGAGGAGGCCGCTCTATTCCTACGCCCGCCTCCAAGGAGGTATAAGTCCCACGCGAAGACTAAGGGGAAGGCGCGGATAACATCGCTCGTTCGTCGGGCGGCGGCTGGCACAAAGAATCTCAGGGCTCCATTGCACGGTTTGCATCTCATACTGGCTTTGCCCGAAGCCGGTTCGGCGGTGCCCCTAAGGTTCTCAGATGAATGGCAAGGCGCGCGTTGCTGCGCGTTAATTCGGAATCAACCCACGCCCTCCGGGTGGGGTAGTCCTTTGGCCTCAACCGCCTCGGCGGCAGCGGAGAGTGACGAGGAGTCTCCCTGGCCTATGGCAAAACTCGAGCACACTCTGTTCGACGAATGGATAAATTCGACAGAGGCGCAGGATATTCCGTGCGATATTGTCCAGGTGTCGCAGGAGTATCGAGCGGTCTTACCCGATAACTTACCTAAGGGATTACCGCCGAAGCGCCCTCATGATCACCATATTCTACTTGTGCCTGGAAGACTCCCAGCGAAATCTGCGATATACCGTATGACCCCAGATCAGCTCACATTCCACAAACAGGAGATAGCTAAATTATCGGACAATGGTTGGATCGGACCGACCTATTCGCCTATTTGCTCTCCTACTGTAGTGCCAGGCACTACAATTGACCTTCGTCGCCACTCCTCGAGGCTTAGTAACGCGAAAGGGCATGAATAATATAGAATATTTTAAGGCATAAGGCACCATTGGATATTAGGAAATCATAAAAGGGAATAGAGTGCTCGCTAGCCAGCACCGGGTATGGGGCTGGATGCGAGGTTGGTGCCGTGACTCAGGCACTGACCCTCAGCGAGGGTCAACAGTCAGTTCTATTATTTTGGGTTTTTCTTACCTCTCAAGAATATGAACTCAGTTGTATATGGCCATTTAGGGTATACAGCAGTAGTTGGCGAGAATCATGGATTTTAGATAGTAGATGCAGAGTGTGCACTTAGTCAGACTAGCCCAGGGACCATACGTAGTAACAGTGCTCTCACGGTGAATGACACCCCACAGCTAACGCTACCCAGAGTCGCCCACCCCGACACATCCCGCTGCACAGCGGGGGATTAGGACAACAAGAAGCAGAAGCCCCTCAACAAATGGACCAAGCTGCGGAGTTTCCGGGTTAAATCGATAGTTGCAGCAAGTGCGCAGCATCCTTTATGTCGAGTGCCACACCATGGCGTCAATCAACAATAAAGACGCTGCCAGACGCAAGAGGCCGCAAAGTTAAATCTGTCCCCAATGTAATAGAGATGCTGTTTACCAAAGGTTCTGGGCCAGCGATACTGCGGAAGCAAGATACGGAAACGCTTAGACAAAAAATGCCCTCCTGCTTTCGTGCACTGAGCGTAGCTAAAGGCTACGGGCGCCGGCATGAACAGCTGGGCAGAAGTAAGGTGTGGAAAACTCCTATGCTTCTGCACCATTGGGTGCGTGGCCTGTATTCGGCAGATTGTAGCTAATCCAAGATAAGGGAACCAAGAAGAGCCCTTGGCTAAGTTTGGGAAGATCGTTGGTTGAGGGATGGGATGCCTGTGGCGGTTCGTGTGCGTACTACTTGGCTAACCCTTCACTCAAGCTGCCCAGGTGTTCGTTTCCTAACAAAAGGGGCCACCGTAAAGCTTAAGGACTGACTAACTATATTGCAAGGCCCAGGTGGAGCCGTGGAGCAACAGTGGTGGAGGCGGAGGGGAGGATCGGAACTATGCCTCAGTTGTTGTGCACTGCATCTACTGCTGCGAGTACGCTGCTACCTGCCCTCTCGAGCAGGGGCCTATTCTCAGCCTCTAACTTCGGCGCATTTCCTTGAAACAGCAACCCAAATATAACGAAATACAGTTATCTTGAAGATCCCCTCTACTCGGCGTTCTCGCCTCATAGGCCCTGTGAGGAGGATGTACTGTGTAGTGCACAGGCACTACAATAGGGCTTGCTGGTGACCGTAAGAAGATAGCTAGCTAGCGACCTACAAGGGGTCGCAACACTGGAGGAGGACAGGACCCTCCTACTAGGATCAAAGTAAGGCAATTTGTCTGCGAATTAAGATACATACGCTAGAGTTGCCTGGAAATGCGTGGAGACTGGGGCTGGCGATAGCGCCGGCACCAGTGCAGGCCTCCTCCCCACAGGGCCTAGGAGACGAGCACCCCGGGTGGGGCAAATTGAATGACAACAGATTTTGGGAAACGTAAGAATAACTGTATTTTGGTATATATGAGCTACTGTTTCAAGGAAATGTGCCAACGTTAGGTGCCGATCATAGGCCCCTACTCAAGGGGGCAGGTAGCAGCGTAGTCGCAGCAGTAGGCGCTGACCCTACAGAGGAGGCCTCTATCGCCAGCCCCAGTCTCCAAGTATTTACAGGCACCTCTAGCGTATGCATGTTAATTCGCAGGCAGATTCCCTTACTTCGACCCTAGTAAGATGGTCCTGTCCTCCTTCAGTGTTACGACCTCTTATCAGTCGCTAGCCAGTTATCTTCTATAGGTCACCAGCAAACCGGATTGTAGTGCGTGTGCACTACAACTTCCCCCCTTGCGGGACTGAATAGACCTACCCAAATACATTATTTTTGCATTTTCAATTTCTATTATCTTCTGAAGCTAACGCTGTGAGCGCATGCGGTGCGCAGCGCTCCCTCGCCCCTCCTCGTTGAAGTTGCCCGTCATGCAGGCGGCGGAAGGTGACGGACCCAAACCTCTACGCCTCGCAAGGACCAAGATTGTTTTGAGCCTGGAAACGTCTTCGTTGGCGGCGGCGCCAAGCGCGAAGCAAAGCCGGGCAGCCTGTAAGGTGGTGAGCGGGCTCCCATGTGGCTTGATCTTCAAGGGTCCCGTGCCACTTCACGAGGTACTGAGCTGCATCTCCCGAGCCGCGTTGGTCCATAATATAATCGACTTCATATTCCTCTGTTGGATTGCCTCCTGCACTGCGGATAGGAGGCCAGGCGGCGTTGGCTTCCGGGAGAACCAAATCGGGAGGTCGGGGAGGGTTGTGTAGTACTCTGCGCACTCAACAGCGTCTACGTTGCTGCAAAACCCTGAACTCTGCTGACCAGTGAAATCTTCTCTACTACTGACGCATCTGTAACGTAATATCTACTAATTTATTAAAAAGTTCGTTTTGTTTCAAATTTTCCAACCCATATTTCTCATATCTGATGTTTCTTATCGTTCTTGCTCCGCTGGTTCGGTGAGGATGTGAGGCGCGCCGATGCCGGCGTTGTCGGCAGCCCCAATCTTAAAGCATTCGCAGGCATTTTTAGTTTATACATGTTCATTTGTTATAAACTGCATCTCTATTTCACTAGTAAGAGGTTACAGGACTCAATCCGCGTATCAACCTCTTAACCGCTTATAGGTCATCAGTTAGCTATCCTCTATAGGTCACCAGCAAGCCCCATTGTAGTGCCTGCGCACTACAGGTGGGAAACTAGCTGCGAAACGTGGAAACCTTCGTGGCATTCGTAGGTGGGAGGCAGAGCGAGACGGTAAGCGACGGTCCCTATGCGTCCGATTATTTCAAAGGGTCCGCGGTAACGGGGCTCGAACTTAGGGCAACTGTTGAAAGGCGGTAGGTGATTGCTACTGAGCCAGACCTTGTCTCCCACTGCATACTCCACTGCTCGTCGCTTTGTGTCTGCGTAGTACTTCTGCTGCCATTTTGCCGTCAGGATGTGACTTTGTGCTCTGTCGCAGACCTGCCGGAAAAGCTTAGTCATCGGAGGAGTGAGCGTAGGAGCTAACGCGCCTATGATATCAACAAATTATCGCTAATCATGACCTCGAAGGGAGAGAGCTCGGTGGATGAATGACTTGTCGTGTTGTAAGCAAGTTCCAAGGCCAGAAGCAAACGCTCCCACTCGCGTTCGTCAGATTGGATGTAGGTACGAAGCATCTGCTCGAGTGTGCGGTTAACCCGCTCAGTTTGACCGTCGATTTGGGGATGGTAGGACGAGGACATGCACTGTTCGATGTTAAAGCGGCTACAGAGTTGGTTCCACAGATCCGACTGGAAGCGCGGATCGTGGTCCGGTATGACCACCTGTGGAAAACCGTGATGGCGGATAAGACAGTCTGCGAGGAGCTCCACGGTGTCTGCTGAATGACTTCTTTGCAGGAATGAAATGAGCCATCTTGCTGAGGGCGTCGACCATCACGAAAATCGAGTCGTGCCCTGTCGCCGTAAGAGGAAGCTCTGTGATAAAGTCAAGATTCACGTGCGCCCACCGACAAGAAGGGATGAGTTACTGTTGAAGAAGGCCTGCAGGTTTCTGGTTAAGGGACTTTGACGCTCGACAGTGAGTGCGTGATTCAACATAAGCAGTAGTTAGGCGCGCGCGCGCATTCCTCGCCATTAATAATGCTTGCTGAGAGGCGCAAAGGTCTTTTTCTGGCTTCGATGGCCAGCTGTGACATGGTCGTGATGTGATGTGAATGCAGAACTTGAGTAAGGAACTCAGGGAATTGTGGAACGCAGATGCGACACAGTCCATGGACGCAGATGTGCAGGTAAGACTGCACGTAGCGATAGGTGAATTGGCGATTACGAAACTCTATTTGCACAGCTTCTCCTGGTTGGTTTGTTCCGGCTTTGTGGGGAACGCGAAAAACGGGACACTTCACGTAAGCTTGCGGCCATTGGCGCACATCAGGAGGGTCAAAAGGTGTCTTCGTTGTGAGTGTAGGATGTCCCGCCTCTGGATTGGGTTCCGGCGGCGCAGGTGAAGGTGTGGGCGGCAGGCTGCGTCGTCTGGGTCGTCGCGAACGAATTCCGGCGAGCTCCCTGTAGTTGTCAGGCCGACCACGAGAGCCAGGAGCGGCGCGCGCTTGTCCTACTGCGTGCATCAATGGTGTCGATGGTGTGTCGTGCGAGCAGGTGTTAGGAAGACCGGGAAAGCGATACAAGGCATCAGCCACTTGACTGCGCACTCCTTGAACATAAGTGATGTGCAAATCCGGCAACTCGGCCAGGAAGTCTAACCACAGGGCGGTGCGTCCATCGGGCGGTGCGTCCGCGCAGAGGCTTCGATGCTTGGAGTTGTTGGAGATGGGTGAGAGCTTGATGATCAGTGTAAGCCGTTACCTTGGAAACGCGGAGCAAGTGTGACCACTTGTCCAGTGCCGTAACCAACGCTAAGAGTTCCTAATCGTACATCGAGTATCTCTGTTGTGTGGGGTTCATGACTTGGCTGAGGAAGCCAATGGGCTTGCCGTCTTGTTCCACAACTGCTCCAATCGCATAACTAGAGGCGTCCGTGTATAACTCGAAGGGTTTTGTGGTGTCAGAGACTTGTAGTGTAGTGAAGTCGAGTACGCGCTGTTTGGGCTGCCGCACCGCTTGCGTGTGAAGGTCTGTCCATTTGAAATTAACGTCTTTACGCGTAAGATTAACCAGCGGCCGGGCGACGTCTGCATAGTCCGGTCCCATGAACATGCGACAGTAATTTATGGTGCTGAGGAACTGAAGCACCTGCGTTTCGTTCTCCTGCGCCTCTGGCCAATGCCGGATGGCATCGATTTTGTCTTCTGTAGGTTTGATCTCCGCAGCAGAAATGGTATAACCCAAATATGTAATTGTTTGCCTTGCAAACTTGCATTTGCGGAATTTTGGGTAGAACTGATATCTGAGAAAAATACTTAGGACCTGGCGCAGGAGAGAAACGTGCCCACAGAGATCGGGACTATAGATAAGTACATCATCTAGGTACGCAATAACGCCCTGTCCCAATAAATGTTGTACATAGGCATTAATATTGGCCTGGAACGTAGCGAGAGCACCCTTAAGGCCAAAGGGCATTACTCGGTACTCGAATGGTCCGAGAACAGACAGGAAGGCCATCTTCCACCGGTCTTCCGTAGCCATACTTATTTGATGAAATCCTGCTCCAAGGTCGAAAGTGGAAAAATACTTGGCGCCTCCCAGCATCTCCAGAATGGTCTGAATGGGAGGTAGTGGAAAAGTAAGGGCATTTAGAGCCCGATAATTAGCAACCATACGCATCTTCCTCTCGCCCGAGCCATCATTACGTTTGTCTACCATGATCGTGCGAGAGCAAATAGACGAATAGGTCAGTCCAATCCAACCATTGTCCGATAATTTAGCTAGCTCCTGTTTGTGGAATGTATGCTGATCTGGGGTCTTACGGTATATTGCAGATTTCGCTGGAAGTTTTCCACGCACAAGTAGGATATGTGATCATGAGGGCGTTTCGGCGGTAATCCCTTAGGTAAGTTATCGGGAAAGAGCGCTGGATACTCCTGCAACACCTGGATAGTCTTACGTGGAATATCCTGCGCCTCTGTCGAATTTATCCGTTCATTGAACAGTGTGCTCGAGTTTTGCCATAGGCCAAGGAGACTCCTCTTCAAACTCCGCTGCCGTTAAGGCGGTGGAGGCCAAAGGACTACTCCAGCCGGAGGAAGTGGGTTGATTCCGAATTAACGCGCAGCAAAACGCGCCTTGCCAGTGACCCGAGAACCTTAGGGGCACCGCCGAACCGGCTTCGGGCAAAGCCAGTATGAGATGCAAACCGTGCAATGGAGCCCTGAGATTCTTTGTGTCAGCCGCCGCCCGACGAACGAGCGATGTTATCCGCGCCTTCCCCTTAGTCTTCGCGTGGGACTTATACCTCCTTGGAGGCGGGCGTAGGAATAGAGCGGCCTCCTCGGCTGACATACCCGCCACTTGTTTGGCCAATATCTCATACGCTTGCTCTGCCAGGGTCCTTGGGTAGACTACGGTGGTACTGTCATCTTGCAGCTTTGCTTCACCAGTCCGAACGACCGGTAACTCGCACCACTGGCCATTCACATAGGTTCGGACTTTGTCGGACTGAAAATACCAGGCCACCTTGTGTTCCGTCAGCCAATCCAAACCCAAGACTAAGTCATAGGGAACGGATCTCACTAAAAAGTCCCTGGAAAAACGTGCATATCCGCATCACATCGTCAATCTCGTCACAACCCGATCAATGCGTAGTTGTTCACCTGTAGCTACGGTGAACCCATGCTCTTCTGGAAGTCTCCGCACCTTCAGGTGCAGTCGTTCGACTGTTTTAGGACATGAACTTTTCGAAGCCCCAGTGTCCAAGAGGGCCCCACAAGGACTCCCTGCGAGCTCAACACGAAGTACCCGTCGCACCCAGATAACACAATGCTCTCCCTTGGTCGTAAGACTCTACATCGCGTTCACTCCCGCTGAGTACTTATATGACACTAGGTAGCTCAGTTGCATTTGCCTGAGCATCGAGCAGTAGCTCCTCTGTAAAGCACCTGGCCTTGGATTTATGGTATGCTTTGTAGTGTTTGGGAGGGGAGCTGGGGAACGTCGCCGCCTCTGCTGCAGCCACGTGGGATACTTGTTGGGCCGGCTAAGCTGGAGTCAGGGCTTGCAATTTCTGTGCCTGTTTGTCCTGCCCTTTTCCTCTTACGTTCTTCTGACTGGTGGATCGCACCATCAACCACTGAGGCATTTTCGTAGCTTATCAAACTGAACGTATCAGGCCACATTGTGTAGTGCACAGCGCCTACTGCTGCGACTGCGCTTGTACCTTTCCGACGAGTAGGGGCCTATGACAACCTTCTACCTTCGCCACGTCTCCTTGAAATAACAGTCTAAATATCATAAAATGTAGTTATTTCTAGATTTCCAAAATCCATTTTCTTGAAAATCTCCCCCTCGGGGTTCTTGCCTTCTTGGCCCTGTGGGGAGGAGGTGTCGTGCACAGCACGTACTGTAGTGAACAGCTGGCCTACACTGTTACTACGTATGGTCCCTGGGCTAGTCGGGCTAGTCTGACTAAGTGTACACTTTGCATCTACTATCTAAAATTCATGATTCTCGCCAACTACTGCTGTATACCCTAAATGGCCATATACAACTGAGTTCATATTCTTGAGAGGTAAGAAAAACCCAAAATAATAGAACTGACTGTTGACCCTCGCTGAGGGTCAGTGCCTGAGTCACGGCACCAACCTCGCATCCAGCCCCATACCCGGTGCTGGCTAGCGAGCACTCTATTCCCTTTTATGATTTCCTAATATCCAATGGTGCCTTATGCCTTAAAATATTCTATATTATTCATGCCCTTTCGCGTTACTAAGCCTCGAGGGGTGGCGACGAAGGTCAATTGTAGTGCCTGGCACTACAGTAGGAGAGCAAATAGGCGAATAGGTCGGTCCGATCCAACCATTGTCCGATAATTTAGCTATCTCCTGTTTGTGGAATGTGAGCTGATCTGGGGTCATACGGTATATCGCAGATTTCGCTGGGAGTCTTCCAGGCACAAGTAGAATATGGTGATCATGAGGGCGCTTCGGCGGTAATCCCTTAGGTAAGTTATCGGGTAAGACCGCTCGATACTCCTGCGACACCTGGACAATATCGCACGGAATATCCTGCGCCTCTGTCGAATTTATCCATTCGTCGAACAGAGTGTGCTCGAGTTTTGCCATAGGCCAGGGAGACTCCTCGTCACTCTCCGCTGCCGCCGAGGCGGTTGAGGCCAAAGGACTACCCCACCCGGAGGGCGTGGGTTGATTCCGAATTAACGCGCAGCAACGCGCGCCTTGCCATTCATCTGAGAACCTTAGGGGCACCGCCGAACCGGCTTCGGGCAAAGCCAGTATGAGATGCAAACCGTGAAATGGAGCCCTGAGATTCTTTGTGTCAGTCGCCGCCTGACGAACGAGCGATGTTATCCGCGCCTTCGCCTTAGTCTTCGCGTGGGACTTCTACCTCCTTGGAGGCGGGCGTAGGAATAGAGCGGCCTCCTCGGCTGACATACCCGCCACTTGCTTGGCCAACATCTCATATGCTTGATCTGCCGGGGTCCTTGGGTGGACTAAGGTGGAACTTTCATCTTGCAGCTTTGCTTCACCAGTCCGAACGACCGGTAACTCGCACCACTGGCCATTCACATAGGTTCGGAGTTTGTCGGACTGGAAATACCAGGCCACCTTATGTTCCGTCAGCCAATGCAAAGCCAAGACTAAGTCTTAGGGAGCGGGTCTCACTAAAAAGTCCCCGGGAAAACGTGCACGTCCGCACCACATCGTCAATCCTGTCACAACTCGATCAATGCGTAATTGCTCACCTGTAGCTACGGTGAACCCATGCTCTTCTGGAAGTCTCCGCACCTTCAGCTGCAGTCGTTCGACTGTTTTAGGACCAATGAAACTTCTCGAAGCCCCAGTGTCCAAGAGGCCCTTACAAGGACTCCCTGCAAGCTCAACGCGAAGCACCACCGTCGCATCCACATAACACAATGCTCCCTTGGTCGAAAGACTCTTTCGTGCAAGTTTCCCTCCACCAGTGTGGCACAATCTCTGTCGCATCTGACCTACAGCCGTCTTCTGTTGCCTCTGCAGGCTTCCTGCTGCTATCCGTCGTCGCTTCCGGAGCCTCTCCACTCAGGATCGGCGCCGACCCAGACTCCCACCGCGTTTCCGAAAGCGGCTGAGTCCCTTCCGCGTGCCCATTGCTCGTGTTGGTTCTTTCCGCAGTGCTGAGGAGCTGGTTTCCCCACTCAAGGGAGACTGGAATGGCATTAGGGCCTGTCGCTACCGGATACATCATTCCTTTGCCATGGCGCCTAGAACGCTCGTCTCCAACCACGCCTAGGCCCCCCTTTTTAATTGTTCCGTCTTCTCAGTGCTAGGACTGGTGGGCTCCCTACTGCTCTTGTCCGCCGGCTCGGGCCGGTCTCGTTCATACGTAGGACAGTCCCGAGAATAGTGTCCCACACCGCCGCACTTCTTGCATATTTCCCCCGGACGTTTGGTACGTTCCCCTTTATTGAGGCAGACACGTGCCGGATGTCCGCGACCCTGACACTCAAAGCAGTTCGCGTGGGTTCCCCCAGGTCGATTTTCAATTTCCTGGCGCCCACGGGGTCCATCAGCTTTGACAGCAGCCCTAATGGCTCGACTGGTCCTTCCTCGGAGTTCCAGCACACTCTACTTGGGCTCGTAGAGCCGTGTTGCGGCTGTCGCCGCTTGTTCCCATGACTGATATTTCACCTGTCCGTTATTGGTTATTAGAAGATGGAGGTCTGTCGGTAGCCCGGTGCAGTAATAGTCAGCGAGTTCGTCGGGGGCAAGACCCAAACCGCGCTCCGTTACAGCCGCGAACCGGTCCGTGTATTCCTTCGGGTTACCATTCCACCGTACTTTAGCCAACTCCGTTGACAATTGACTCTGCGACATTGTTTTGTCGAACCGCTCCAAAAGCCTGCGCTGTACTGTCGCCCAGTCGCTTTGGTCGATAGTTCTCCGTAGATACATCCAATACCTTAGAGCCGGGCCCACAAGGTGGTCTGTAAGTGCATTTCCCCATTCGCGCGGTTCCAATCCCATCTGGGTGTACCGGGGCTCGATGCGCAGCAGAAAGGCCTGCATAGTGCTGCTGTCTCCTGGTAGTATGGGAATCGTTGCGCCGGATTCCACGGTCACCCCTATAACAGTTCTTATCACACTCATAGTGAACTGGAATTGGTCCCACGTGACGAAGGAACTGTCCCCTGGCATAACATTGGTCATAGGTATCACTTGCGGGGGCGCTTCCTTATGTCCATGCGGCCGCTCTACCACGGTGGGCTTCGGAGTAGCATGGCGATGATGGGCTGGCGTCCCGCTCGGCATTTTGTTCACTGACCTTGTAGAAGTCTCCCGCGGTGTGGGGCCGATAACGCGTCCGTTGTGGAGATGCCTCCCTTACCGAGCGAAGATTTCTAGGCGTGAATCATTAAAACATAGTATTTCTTCTCCCAAGTCCGGAAAGAACAAAGATTTCAATCCCGGAACAGCCCCCAAATGTAGTGCACAGCGCCTACTGCTGCGACTACGCTGCTACCTGCCCCTCGATCAGGGCCTATGATCGGCACGTAACGTTGGCCCATTTCCTTGAAACAGTAGCTCATATATATCGAAATACAGTTATTCTTAAGTTTTCCCAAAATCTGTTGTTGTTCGCTTCGCCCCACTCGGGGTGCTCGCCTCCTAGGCCTTGTGGGGAGGAGGCCTGCACTGGTGCTGGCGCTATCGCCAGCCCCAGTCTCCACGTATTTACAGGCACTTTTAGTGTATGCATGTTAATTCGCAGACAAATTGCCTTACTTTGATCCTAGTAAGAAGGTCCTGTCCTCCTTCAGTGTTACGACCTCTTGTAGGTAGCTAGCTAGCTACCTTCTATAGGTCACCAGCAAGCCCTACTGTAGTCCCTGTGCACTACACTGATGCCGCGCTGGCAGGACAAGCTTAGAGGGGATGCAGAAGGGGTGTGCCTGCGGCCCTAGATGCTATGCTACAGTTTTTGGTGAGCTCTGCTCCTGCCGAAACACAACCTTATGCAATAAAAAGAGAGGCACAGTCCTGCATATTATGTACCTTCGCTACAAATTCCACTGGACATTCAGCCAAACCACGCTCTCTGTGACGGTCCCCTAGATACCCTCATCTATAACTCGTGGAAGATTCTCAGCAATAGTAAACTTTTGCATGCAGTGTCCCTGTAGTACTCAGGAACTGTAGTGCGCAGGAACTACAATGGAGCTTGTTCGTGGCCTTTAAAGGTTAGCAGCCCGAAAGAATAGAAGTAGCTTACTTCTAGTAATACAAAAAAACAATTTATACGCGAGATAGGGTGTGTAGGTGTGTAGACAAGGAATGCTTGTTAATATCCTGAGGTTCGGGCTGTCAGTGGCGGCGGCCCTGGAGTGGGGCACCGCCCCAACCTCCAACCGAGTCACGAGAGTCAGAGCTGTGATCCTCGATATTTTAAGAAGTCTCGATCGACAGACTCGAAGGATGGCTGATTATTGATTGCTTGGCGCTATTTCATAAGATATGCGTTGAAGGTAGAGAGTTCGTCGGAGGTGCACGTAGTGCGCACGCCAGAAAGTTGCGTAGTAGAGAAGATCGCTGTTCACTGCAGTACCGTTCCTCAACCATGACTTTTGTCTCTTGAATCACCACGGTCTATCTTTTTTCGAAGGCAAGTCAATGCTCTTTGTTAATGGTCCGCAGTTGGAGCCCATTATGGCACAACTGGAGTTGCTGGAAACAAAACAACAGAATATCAATCATTTTGGTGCATAGTTAGTCATGCACAAACCAGTTTCACGAGGATTATAGCAGGCGTCTCATTCCGAGACAAAACTCATTGTGTGTGTACACTTCCCAGCGCAGCCGGCACTGCTTGCTGCATCCGTCATTCCTCTTGTCAGAGCTCCCGTGTTCAATAGGTGATTCATACGTGATTCGTACGAGCTTAAAAGGTGTTTGGGGGGAAAATTTAAATGGCTTAGTTGTGCATTCATGCTGACATACTGTGTTCACCGGAAACATATTTTGTCAAAAGAAAATAAATATACTAGATTGTCAATGACGCCAAAGGTGCATTCAGTGCATTCACCAATGCAAGCAAAAGCATTTGCCATGCAGAGAACGCATGCTGGAGCAAGCGCGTCGACTGATTTTGGTTTTGTGGAACATCTCATGCGTTTGCAGAATCCCTCACTGAAGCAACTAAAGGCATACAAAGTAGAGGCAGCTCTGAGAGCCTTTTACGCAGTGTCACGCAGTACCAGCAGATGGTGTGCTCAGTACAAATGCAGTTCACAACGACTGTGTAGCGCGAATTCTCGGGGGACTGGGGATACCCGAACACTCCACAATGCACCATTTTGCGCACAGATGACCTTCGTCTGAAAACATCAATGCAAAAACTACAGAAGTGCTTTCGGTGACTCTACTTGATTAAAATGAGCCCGACTGGGGTCATTCTTTTCCTGCTGTGGCGTTACCCGTATTTTCTTCGTCACCTTTTCCTTCAAGCCTTTCTCGCTTTTTAAACACACGGAATGCACTTCATTTCACTGAAAAGACATATTTTAGGGAGTGTACCTAAGAGTGGGCATTTTATTTCTGGAATGCTAGAACTGGAGCACCCAGCGAATCGCAATCTGGCAGGCTGTAGTGCATTCAGCAAAAGAAGCCACATTCGTGTTTTTTTCGATCCCATTAGGCAAAGGAAGAAAGCGCAACCGGAGAGAAATGGTAAAATTCGTAGGAGCGCCCGCGTACTGTGCCGGCGAGAAGGACTGTAAGGCGGCAGTGCAGTACTAGAAAGGGCTTTTCTCCCTTCAATATGTAAATAAGCAGCTAGCCCTAAAGTACACAGTGACGAGCAGCACTGCTATGTATACGGCCAGGGCCTTCTCCCTTGTTGCCCGCTATAGCTCCAAGGCGAAGTCTGCGGCCAGCTGCGTCCGTGCCACTTGCAGAACAACAGGCGCAAACGCACTTGCTGCCCAGTCCCTGTCTAGAGACCATGATGACCATCCATCGGCGCGAATTCAAGATGAAGCCAAAATAACTACAACAACTGTTATCTGCTTGACGAAGACGGAAGCTCTGACCCTCTAGAGAAGCGCCATTCAAGTGAGAACACGCCCCAGAAACATAGAAGTGGCTGCATGCGGCCCAAGCTGCATCGAACGCGTGTCATAATCTGTGGCCTCCACATGTAGCGTTTTCTCCTATCTAGCTAGGTGATCAATATCTTTCCCTGTTGTTGGATTCGCAGAATGGCAGATTGTTCACGCCAGTTAATCCTGAAGAGAGCGACGGGGTTTCCCCAATCAGACTGTCATCGGCGCTTGGCTTCATAGTAACAATTTTTGCCTACAGTTTTCTGATGCCTTTAGTTTCTTTGCAGGATGGGGACACTGGACAGAGATGCCACTGCCCGTCTTATCGAATACTTAATTGAGCATGCGAACTTAATTGAGCATGCGAGGCTGACAGGCTTGTTGTGGTAATTTCTTGTTTGTATTGAAGAGTGTGGAAGATGAGGGCAAAATTCTTACAGAGATTTGCCACAAGCAGGTAGTGGAGATGCACGCCGCATGCTGTTAGATGCCACTATCGATATTATCCAAACATATTTATGCGAACGACTCTTTATTGCCTTCCGAATGGCTGTCAATGCTGTACCTGTTTGAGAATGTGTTGCCGTGTTCGAGTTTGCCAGCTGTAGTAGGCAGTTTTTCGCCAAAGTCTGGCTATTTTGTTTGCTCAGGATGCATACTGTTGCTTAGTTGACAGTCACTTCCGTCATTTTGGATGTAGCGGACAGACTGATGGGCTGGAGTTTCCTACGTCTGTTTCTCAAGCAGCCTCATTAACTTATTGCCGCACCCCCAAACATGGGGGAGGAACATTTTGAAGCAACATAACTGTATGTCCGGCCAATCATTCCCCTTGTCAATGCCTCTATTGCACCTTTTGGAACTTTTGGAGCTTTTGAAAGAAGGCATAGGTTCAGGATTTAGAATTGAGTTGCCAAAAATTCTCTGTACTTCACTGTGAAGCGACAAGCTAGCGGTTTTAATGATTCTGGAGAGTGAGATCAGTCACCTGCGGACAAGGGATTCGAGCTCAGGTGGCTGCCGTTGGTGTTGCCAACAACAACATGATTTGTTTTGCAGAATGCTGTACATAGGCTTTTGCGGAACTGTTCGCTAATATTTATACCTTCAAACGTGCTGTGGGGAGCACTAAAATTTGAAATTACTGCCGAGTGTCCTGCAGCACCAATCCGCCAGGGAAACGCATCCTTTTTTGCCCGCCCGATAGAGACCTAAACATCGCTTAATATTGTTACGTTCTAAATTATTTGAAGGCTTGCTTACTAACGCTGTAGCCAGCTGCATGGACTATCTCTCCCCAGCGCACAGGCCAGACAATTACGTACATGCCTCGGGAAAGAAGCGATCACTACATTTTTTACGTCCAAAGAGTCTGTGAACGCTGAAATCTGCTCTGTGTTTTGTGAAACACATCTCAGTGTCGGTGGTTTTTTGCGTACATGTCACGATGATCCCGTTTTGAGCACGTATACGTTCTGTCCCTTACTCAGCCGTCATTATCTCCTGCTGTTTGCATCAGGTGATGGAGAAGAAAGAAGTAGTCAAAGATGCAGAGATTTTATCTCTTCGTAACGACGGCGGCTCAGAAAAGCGTATTTTTGTTGTTGCCCTTTCATGCGCCCTTTGCGGGTCTGCACCGTGCGATATAGCGGCGTGTATAATTTCTTGCGTGCACATCTGACACGGCCCTAGGAAGGCGAGGGATGCCAACTGCCTCCTATGGAGTTTAGTTTTCTTCAGTGAAACGAGCAGAAGGCGATGCATCCCTGCAAGGCGTCAGCACGCCGTGGCAACTGGCAAGCAAACGCGTTTGCGAGCAATCTTGAGCCAAGAAAATGCTTCTCTTTTCACTCAAGTATATGGCTGTGGCTGTTTTTCCTTGAAGAATGGGGGACAGGGACTTGTTCCACAGTGTACGGCGTGGAGGGCCTCACTGAAACCGCCACTGCGCTTCGCACGTTCTGGAAGGGTGCTTCTGTTACGTCTGATGCCCCAGACGCTTGAATAGTTTAGGGGGTAGTTTCTCAATTAGACTTATCTGACGCATCAGCACAGTCATGGAATAGTGCTAGTAGGCTCTTCTTCCGAAAAGGCCTCTAAGACAGTGCAGCGCAACATAGATCCTCATGCGAATAGATCCTCATGCTGCTACTCTCAGGGTGAAGAAACGCGAGGTTCTTGTCTTTGCTAACATTTCAGTTAACTTATAAAAATTATGACTTTTATCGCCGAGTTCACTTTGTTTCCCTGCCTGAAAATGCCGGCGAAACAATGGAAAGTAAGCGGATCGGTCAGTCGCAAGCAGCAAGTTGCTACCCCTGGACTACAGCTACAACCTCGCTGTGACCTCTCGAGACGATACGAACACTCTCATCTCGAGCTCAAAAATACTTATGCTTTTTTTCCCAAATTAGTCTTATGTGCCATTGAAAATGGCTCACGTCGCCTTTGTTTCCGTCGTTTCGCTGTCACTGCTCATCGGTCAGGCTGTAGCTCAACAAAATGCCGTTACTGATCCAAAAGCAGGTGAGTTCCCTACCTGTCCTTGTTCTTGTTGGCTGACTTGAAATGGTGTTCTAATTCCGTCGGTTTATTTGCCTATCTTGTGTGCGTCGGAATTTCCCCAGAAAAATTGGACTGTTTGGAAACGATGAACACGCTTAGGACGGCTGCAAGGCTTGCTAAATTTCAGGATGCCTCAGCAGTTACGCAAGTCTTACCAAATTATGCAAAAGCTCAAAGGGTCGTGGAAGTGTCCGCTGAAACTCTGTGGAAGAACGAGATCTGCCCCAAAATTAGGGCGGTAAATTGCGCTCTGCACGTTGAAGTGGAGCCTCTCACCTCAAGTGTTCTAGGCTCTCGCTGAGCCTCAAACGAGCATTCTCAAACCAGCATTCTCTTGCCTTATCTTCCTCCTGTTGTATGCAGGGAGGGTCCCCGAGAAGTGGCGAAGCTGCTACATTAACTGGCACCTATGCTTACTTCCCCGTCACCAACGGGGAAAAAAACTGCAACACTGCAGTGGAGTACTGGAATGGCGGATTCTCTCTCTTCAACAAGGAGATTCCCCCAACATATGAAGGCGCCAATAAGCCCTCTGTGTACAATGACACGGCTGTGTCTTTCGTTGCTTTGTACAACCCTCAACCCGAGCCTGTTGTCAGCTGCGTATTCCTCCAGTGCCCCCCCTGTCAGCTGCTCCCCCTGGCACTGGACGCAGACTCTCGTCTGCCTCCACCACAGTCGATGCTATCATTTGTCTGACGAATCCCGCTGCACTGAAGGCAAGCGCCGCACCATTCAAGTAAGTTCTAGATGCAGTCCCACCTATGTCGAAACGTCGGTGCTGCTTTGGAATAAATACATCCATTTTGGGCTACACCGTATCACTGTGACTGTTCGAAATAGTCTTCGGTCATATTTGCTTCGTAATTTGTTTGTAGAGAGGACGAATGGAACAAAATTGTCCAGGCTATATCTGGAAACAAGGGCGGAGCTTCCCCTGTTGGCCCTTCAGTTGCCCTTGTTTCTGCGGTCGCCATCCCCGCCTTCCCTCTCTTCTAGGCGTATTCCCGGTGTTAGGACGCTAGCAATGGATTAATAAGGAAGCACTTGTTCCTGAGATCCTGAATGACAAATGGGAGTCTTTATAGGATAAGATCAAACCGGTTTTTTTGTCTTTCCTTTTTGAGGGAAAGGATGCAGAAGATGTCGGAAGAGTCCGAGAGTCGCACGTCGTATTTTATCTGGGGTATTTTATGCAGAGCAGCATGAAGCAATGACCAACCGGATGGTTGGCTTTGCTGCTTGCGTCTGAAGAGCCTTAAGCGCTTTGAGGCTTGTCCAGCTGTAGTAGCTGGCATGAACACATAGACGCGAAGCAGTCATTTGGATATTTCAGCAAGGCTGTTTTGCTCCATCCACTTAAAGTGGTACATGAGTGAGGTACATATGCACCTGCTGCGCCGGAAAATTCTTTCGTCACCTCCCTCACTTAAGTCAACGGTGCAGTTGCGGACGATCGTTTGAAGGGAGTGATAGTTGATTCCCATCAGAACCCGAAAAATGAGGCGACAACCACTTTTTAAGCTTTCTGTGATACTGTGCGTCGGGCAAACGTGTGTTTTACACTGTAGCAAGTCTTAGTCAACAGTATATCCAACTTACTATCAGCGAGCAGCCTGACGCAAGGGATTGTACCAGCTCTCACCAGATGACTGACTTTTCGTGGCACGCAAGTTTTGTTTTCGATAAATGAAGGTGAGCCAGGGCGGTCCATGTAGGGCTGGTCGGTGTGAGGAATGTTAATGAGGCAAGTAGCGACGCTTTCAATTACTGTGGCAAGGAAGGAAGGTGTCTATAGCGAGGTTACTATATACGCAAGGGGATGCATCCGGAGGATAGCTGGGGCAGGTTGAGTGCTGAGACCACGACGAGAATAAATTCTCTATTGCACCAATGGCTGTTAGCTTCACATAAGGTGAGAGCAGACAGCTGTTTCTTTGGGAGGAACGGAAACACACTCCTCCAGTAACCTGCTGCAACACGGCTTCCTTCTCTAACAGTGATCGACCACTATGGTAAGTATCTTTTACTGTGATACTTTCAGCCACATATGTTAAAGAAGCACAATTGCACGACAGTAGAGTCGCTCCAGCATACACCAACGAGACGCATGCATGCTGCGGCGCAGTGGGATGCCTCAATTACCGACAGAGGAACAAATGGCAACTGACAAAACCTGCAACAGTACTATGTACACCACAGTGCGTATTGCTGTTGCATTCTTACCAATGATAATTCTTCATGGGAACTGCGTTCAAAGTGTTGCAGATATTTTGGACTGCGTTCAAAGTATCTGCAGTACCTTCGATTTAAGCACTTCGTTGACCCGCAAGGTGCAGCAACGTGCCATGACACAAGCCTGCCCATTTGTAGTGACATGGCGTGAAGAGATTCAGCCTGCTCAAGAAAACAGCCATGGTATGCACCACCAGTGCATCGCCGATGTGTCTATACGAAGTTATATAGAGGCACAGAATTGACAGTTACAGTGAAAAATATATATAGGGGTAGTGAGCATGAATACGTTTCGAAAATGTCGGAAGTAATGACTGACAGCACACGACGTACATCGCCAGCACCTACTCGTAACAATCCTTTAAGTTGTGAAAAAAAATCGTGTAATATATATGATCAAGGAACAAGGGAAACCTCTTGGTCTCGCGTACTGGATTGTTCGGTAAGGCAGCTGATGGGAAGTCTATCTAGCGACCGCATACTGCACAGAAATTCAGCTTAAACAGGACCGCACGAGAAAAGCATCATTATGAACCCAAGTGCCATTGACGGCCTGGCCGGCGAATCCATGTTGCCCTCTTCAAGACCAACCATAGCATGAGCATGGAAGTGTTAGGTCTAGTGGAAAAAAGACAGAAGTAGTGCGCCTACGTCCCGTTCCAGCTGCAATCCCCGGCTTTCGTCCAGAACAAAAACATAGCGACGAGCGCAGTAGAAACGAAACAGACCATGCTCGATTACAAGAATGCTGACAGTCAAAAAGCTGTCAAAGCAATAAACTATCGAAGTACTTGGTGAACGTTGCTTCCTTCGTGAAGGATGAACGTGTGGGAGACAACTATGGGCTGTGTTGGCGCCATTGCGCTCGTTGACTGCACCCCTTTTTCTCCTCCACCACCATTTCAGAATTATTCAAGTTTAGTTAGCGAAACAATATCTTGTTTTGTGGGTAACTGTGCTCTGTATGGCCTTACCTTTCGTGATTTCCACCATTTGCCCGAGAGGTTCTGTTAATCTGGGTCACTGCATAACCCCTAAAGATCTACAGCGCCCAGAAAGCGACGAACACAGAAAATTTCCCTAAGAAAGCTGACTACACAGGCCTGCTCTAAATTGTGTGCTGCTTTCTATTGATACGCCAGAGAGCGAAGAATATCACAATTCATGGATGCTCTCCGATAACCCGCCAGCCACCAGCCGCTCAAAATTCATGCTTGAGCAAATGATCACTAGAGTATATCTAAAAACGCGTCTACTGGCATGGAAAACGGAAAGAATACAATAAAGGACGAAGATATTGTCGGACGAGCCCTTTCCACTTCCACTCGAATGAGACCAGCAGCACCATGGACCATCGGCGCGCGAGACGGTCAACAAAGGATTTTCCTATAAGTCTCTGCGTTCAAAATAAATACAAAGCATCCCATTCAAGCACTTTTTTGACCAATACGGCCGCGCATTTGGGCGGGCTTGGAGTGTGGTTTTTGAACCTGCCCAAACGAGCAGCCACAGTGAATACCACCAGTACACTACCGACAAGCCTACACCCACATGTAGGCACAGCACTGACAGTTGGACGGAAACTGCTCGGGACTTGTAGGCTTCAATACGTTTGGGACACCTGACTGCACATGACGTGCATCGCGAGCATCTGCTCGTGGTAACCCTGCAAGGCTCATTAAAAGGTTCGTCATCTACACTCTTCGATGCAAACAATAAAACAAGAGAAACCCCTTAGGCACGCATGCTGGATTATTTACTCCGTTAGATGGCCGAAAACAAGCTTACCGAGTGCCTGCACCCTGCACAGAGGCTGACAGCTTAAAAAAGTCCGCAAGCGAAAAGCATCGTTATGAACCCCAGTGTTATTGACGGCCTAACAGGAGGAACCCTATTGACCTCTTCAGTACCGACAATGGCGTCAACAATCTTCTTCCACTCCTCTTCCCTGCAAACCCAGCCACAGCGCAATACACTTATCATTTAGATCCACGGAAGCAGACGCTACACATAAATGTCATACTTATGCTAAGCTGCCGATGCACTTTGGTCCTATGCAGCGAAGTCTGTGGCCTTGAGTGTTTGTTCCCACTTGAACGGCGATTGTCCCGCGACCAGTGCTTTGGGATTCGTCAAGCAGATGACGGCTGTAGCCGTTTGATTTCCATCTTGAAGTCTCCTTGGTGACTGACCGTTCGGGCTTCTAGACATATCTTGGGCAGCAAACACCGTTGCTTTTGTGCAGGTGACAGAGGCGCAGCTGGCCACAGGGTTCGCCTGGGGGTTATAGAGGGCGACAAAAGAGACGGCCTTGTCGGTATAAACATCAGGGTCGTTCAGCGCTTGGTACGTTGGAGGTATCTCATTTTTGCAGAGAGAAGAGCCGTCTTTCCAGTATTGCACTGCCGCTTTGCAGTCATTGTCGCCGGCGTAGTATGCAGGCGTTCCCACCAATTGATCGATTTCACTACTCTCGCCGGATTCTTTATCATAATAGAACCAAAAGCATAATAAAAGCTAGAGCGCTTGCCATAGGTGCCGTATTGTGCAGGTCGTTGATTGGCTAGGAGTTCAAGGACTACCGATGGGAGTGCGCTCCTGACGCGGATTACCCTGAATATCTTTTTGCATATTTGCCCCCATAAAGTTTCAGCTGTTATCTGTAGCACCAACGGAGAGTGTTCCGGCAGCGTTTGTCCTGCTTCCGTCGCATTACCAAACACTGGGAGACCCGCGGCTACCCTTGCCTCGTTCATCTCGGTCAAGCAATTAAGCGTTTCTGAGAGGAAAATCCAACGCACTCACGCAAAACTTATAAAAAGGGGCTTCACGCTGAAAGTACAGGAATTTAGCCTCAAAGCAAAGGAAAGACAGGAGTAAAATGCTCACCGGCTTTTCCCGTAATGGTGGCGCCCGCTGTTCTGTGTCCACAGAACACAGACACAACAAGCCCAGGAAAAACGAGGCAAAGCATCTTCTGTAGTTTAATAAAAGCAGTACTAAAAAGACAAAGAAAATAAGTTATGAAGTGAAGCAGTGAACCCTGCTCCTTTCTGGGCGCATGGGCGGGGAGGGGACAGTCCGGGCCAGGTCGGAGTGGCGGCGTTTGTTCTTGGCATCCTTCTATTCCTCATTCGTCTGTTTTTCCGCGATAACTCACATTAAGCAAAAATAACAGAGTCTGCTAGTAACTTTGTTACTCATAGATTCGTGCCTTTCGTGATCTCCACCAGGTGGCTTAAAGGTCTAAGTTCTTTTGTTCCGGGTCACTGCATCAACAATGAGTATCTGACGCATCAAGCATGTGAAACCTTTCTCTTAAAAAATCCCTCCCTAAATTGGCCCACTATGCTTATGTGCTTCAACAAACTGCTTCATGGGAAAAAAAGGATAGCATGGTGAGGACGCGCCTGATCATTGCATAACACACCATTGGTACAAATTGATACATATACCGATGCTCTCCACAATTTTTTTTGCAAACACACGATCCGTCTTGACAAGACGAAAAAGAATAAGAAGAGGGGAGAACAAATCGTCGATCGAGTTTTTTTCCTTAAAATGAGCGTGGCAACACCATGGCTTCTGAGTAGGTGAGAAAACCGAGAGAGGATATGTCCACACAAGCCTTCATTCAAATTGTCTGCAATGCATTCCGTTCAAGCATCTTCTTGATGCGCAGGCATGCGATGACACAAGCCCGCCGCTATAAGGCGACACTGTGAAGTGACCTGGCATGACGGTTTCAAACCAGGCCAAACAAGCAGCTACAGTTTATACCACCAGCACGCAGGACGCCACCGCTACAGCAACAGACACCGGGTGCTAGGCATCAGCAGCAATCCCGAAGATACCTAGGAGTAGTAGGCATTAGTGCTTCTGGAGAATACCGAAAATGGCAGCCGATAGCACATGGCATGCATCGCCAGCATCTGCCCGCTGCAGCCCTTCGAGGGTTATAAAAAATTAATTTTTAGCACTCTTCAATATGATCGATAAAACGTCGAAAGAAACCTCCTCGTCTCGAGCACTGGATTTTTTTTCAAGGTGGCAACGAAATGACTACCTATTGCCCGCATACTGCACAGGAGCCAATAGTTTAAAAAAGACCGTAGGCGGAAAGCAGCATTATGAAGCCAAGTGTCAGTGACGGCCTGACGGTTGAAACCCTGTTGACCTCTTCAGTGCCAACTATAGCGCGAACAATCTTCTGCCATTCCTCCTCCCTGAAAATCCAGAGACAGTATGATGTGTTGGTATATTGATCCCTCAGCTTCATGAAATCAAGCGCTGCATACGGAGGTGACGTGTATGCTAAATTTCGGTTGCGTTTGGGGTCGAATGCAGTCACGTTCGTGATCCTGCGGTGTTTTCTCACTTGAACGGCGCTGCTCCAGTTTTCAGTGCTTCCGGATTTGTCAAGCAAATAACAGCAGTAGTTATTTGGGGCTCATCTTGAAGTCTTCTCAATGAGTGGCCATCCTGGCTTGTAGACGTATCCTGGTCAGCAGAAGCGGTTGCTTTTGTGCAGGTAACAAAGGCGCAGCTGGCCACAGGGTTTACCTGGGGGTTGTAAAGGGCGACAAAGGAGATACCCTTGTCTGTATAAACATCAGGATTACCGATCTCTTGGTACGTAGGGGGCAGCTTGTTGCTGAAGAGCGAAAAGCCTTCCTTCCAGTACTGCACTGCCGCTGCGCAGTCCTTGTTGCCGGGGTAGTATGCGGGTATTCCCGACAATTGTTCAATTTCAGTTACTTCACCTTCTTCCTTCGCATGAAAAAAAGAACAACAAAGCAAGTGAGGAATCTGCCGTTACATGAGCCGTAGTAGGCGGGACGATGCTTGGCTAGTTGTGCCAAGAATGGCAAAAGAAGTGTATTTGTGTGACAGCCTACCCCCATTATTTTCTGGCAGGCTTGTTTCCACAAAGTTTTAGGTGATATTGCTCTTCCGGACTCAGTATGCTCTGGCAGCGTTTTTCCTTCTTCGGCGGTTTCCCCAAATGCAGGGAGTCCCGCGGCTCTCCTTGCCTCGTTCATGTGAGTCAAGCAATCAAGTGTCTCTGGGGAAAAATTCGACGCACACGGGAAAAATGTGAAAAGACCCAGATTTCACTCTGAAATATCAAGAATTGTGCCTCAAAAAGCCGAAAGACAGGAGTGCAATGCTTACCTGCTTTTCCCGTTATGGTGGCACTTTCCGTCCTGCCTCCACAGAACCCTAACACAACGAAGAGTGGAATAAAAGCGAGGCAAAGCATCTTTTGTTATTCAAAGGACCAGATAAAACAGGTAAGAAGGAATTAACTTTTGAAGGGGGTTGGTGAACGTTCCGCTGTCGGCAGACGGGTTCGAAGGGGACATCTGTGGGCTGGTTTGGCGAGGCTGCACTTGTTGTTCGGACATTGCTTTTCTCCGTCTTTTCATTTTTCACAATTATTCACACCAAAAAAAATAAAATACTCTAGTATTCCAGGCTGTTCTACATCAATTCTTGCCGTTCGTGGTATCCACTGCGTGCGTTACGGGATCACTTGTTCTGGTTATTCTACACCACGGAGAACATGCTTCTCTTCAAACAGCTCTCCCTAGATCAACTTGCTCCAGTTGTGTTATTCTTTGAGTTGCTTTGCCGGAGAGCAAGAACTATTTCACATCCTGAATGATTTTGAAGAATGAATCAAACTCCAAGCAGTTCAAGTCCATAACTGCAGAAGTGCTCACGACAGCGTGTCCACAAGTACGTTCCCTGTTTTGGAACGACAAAAAAGAATACGCCGCTGGGTTAAAATTATATACCTAGTTGTTCCTCTTAAAAACGTGGCAACACCATTTCGGCTGAGTTCGTGAGACAGCCAGGAAGTATACTTATCTTGAAGCCTATATTGGATATGTCTGCAACGCTTTCCAATTAAACACTTCCCTTGCCAAAAAGAATATAGAAACGTGCGACGACACGAGGATGACCATTTGTAGCCGCCTTTTATGGCGAGGCTCAACCTGTCCAAATCCGCATTCGTGGTGTACATCAACTTGTATCACTGATAGAGCTACAAACACTTAGAAATACACACAGCATTAACCTGTGGGCCAACAATATTCACGCCTGGTAGACGTAAGTAGGCCTGGAAAATACCGAAAAGCCTGGGGAATACCGAAAATGGCACTTGGCAACACATCGCATGCGTCGCCAGCACGTAATCGTGACACCCCACTTCAGGGGCTAAAAAAGATTATTCTGCAGCATCTTTTATTAAGAAATAAAAGCTAAAAGAAAGCTCTCGGTCTTGCCTACCGAATTATTCAGTCAATAAGACAAGCCACGACAAGTCTTTGCATTGCCCGCACACTGCACAGCGCTTCACACCTTAAGAAAGACCGTAGACGATAAGCATCATTTTTAACCCAAGTATCAGTGACAGCGTGACGGTTGCAACCCCGTTGCCTTCTTCAGAGTCAACCGTAGCAAGAACAATCTCCTGTAAATCCAGCCACAGCACAATACATTGATGAATTAATTCCATAGCGGGAGATGTCGCATAAGAAAGACAGCCATGCACGGTGCACGTTGGGTCCGATGCAGCCAAATCCATGATCTTAGGGTGTGTTCCCACTTGAGTGGCACTTCATCAGCGCTGTGTGCCACCGGACGCGCCAAGCGTATAACGGCAGTAGTAGCTTTCCCTTCTCCTTGGAGTCACCTTGGTGTCCGACGTTCGTGGCTTTTTGACAGAGCTGGAGCAGAAAGCTTGGCTTTCAAGTGACAAGTGCCCAGCTGGCTACAAGGTTCTCCACAGGGCTTTTTGGGGGGATAGTGTGTGAAGGCTCCCTCCAGCTCTTTGGAATCCGTGCCGTCACTACCAGTCTTTACATATTAGCATGAAAAGTAGGAGAAACACAAGAAAAACGTGTAGCGTCCCTTTCTACGTGCGCCGTAGTCTGCAAGACACTGTTTGACGGAGTGTACCGGAACTCGCGGTTACAGTGTGTCCATGAAATCGCTTAACTCTGCCAAATTTTTCAGATTTTGTTCCAAAAATTGCCTGCTATTATCCTTCTTCGAGTGGCGGGAGATTTCCGCAGTACTTGTGTTTCTCCAGATGCCTGCGTGAACTCAGCGAGCCCTGCACCTATGCCTGCCCTATTCACAACGTTCGATTGATTGATAATTTCTTAGAAAGAACTCCAACATACACAAAACGCACATGAAGTACGAAGTATCAAGAGCGTTGTCGGCTGTACACTGCACAAGACCCTGTCGTTCCCGTCGTGCTGCACTTGCGACCGCGTGTGCATTAAACAGAGGCACGAGGACAAAAGAAATAAAAACGAGGAAAAGCAATTTTTAAAAAATATTGGACAGCATGCGGGTCAGGTATGGGGATCGGGAGGGGGTTGGTGAGTGTCATTTCCTGTAGTTTGAATGAGCGCCCTGGGGACATATTGGAGAGGCCGGGTTCGAGCGACTGGGTTTGATGTTGAAGTCATTATTTTCTCCTTCATCTCCATTTTCCAGACCATTCACGTAAAAAATATGGTGGAATAATAACGAGAGTGCTAGAGGTGCATATCTACCTTTCATGATTTCTACCGCGCGTGTTGGCGTATTCAGCTGCTCCTGGGCACTCGTGATCTACGCCACGTACTACATATCCCGGACACAAAGAGCTTTTCTCTCGAAATGAAACTCACTAACATGCTTAAATAAATTTCAGCCTAAATCATCTGAAAAACGTTTTTTCGTCATAAAAGACGAGAAGGGATTACGAAAATGCTAAGGAGACTGCTGATCTGGCCTCTTCCCTTTAAATGGCGGCTGTAACGCCGTGGCACCTCGCTGCGTAGGACCGACGAGACTGGGATTTTTACAAATATTTTGAATGTAACGCTGTAGAAAAATATCCTGTCTCGTCGGTCCTACGCAGCGAGGTGCCACGGCGTTACAGCCGCCATTTAAAGGGAAGAGGCCAGATCAGCAGTTTCCTTTGTGCACTTGCCTAACCAAAAAGCACGCGAAAATGTGCCGCGAAACTGGCATGCCCTGGCGTAAGGATGTTCACCCTGCCTAACCGTGATATTGACCACCACTAGATCGGTGATACAGTTGCACACTGTAGGCCATAGGAGGAGCGTTGGAATTTCACGGAAAATAGTTAGCCAGTAGTAGGCATACAGATGTCTGGAGAACATTCTTGCTGCTCGAACCTAACAGCGGATAGAGTGCATCGCCAGCACCTGGTCATGACACCCCTCTGATACGAATACAAACGGGTCCATCTTCTGGATTCTTCGACTCATATGATAAAACAAAACATCAAAAGAAACCTCTCGATCTCGCGTTCTGGACTATTTATTCAGTGAGACGGCCGACAACAAGTCTGGCCAGTGCCCGCACGCTGAACAGAGGCTGTGAGCTTAAAAAAGACGATAGGCAAGAAGCGTCATTATCAACCATGTGCAGCGCATGCTGGCCTGACCCGCGCAGCCCCGGTGCTCGCCTCAGGGCCAACTATAGCATGAACAATCTTCTGCCACTCCTCTTCCCTGCAAATTCAGTCACAGCATAATACACACGACCACCTAGCTCCATATGAAAGTCTGTAACATATGAAAGATACAGTCATGCGAAGCTGTCGGTGCACTCTGGAACCTATGCAGCAAAGCCCTTGGCCCTGTGGTGCAGTCGCACTTGAATGGAGCCGCATCGGCAGTAAACGCCTCCGGATTCGTCAAGCAGATAAGGGCTGTAGTGGGTTTCTCCCCTGAAAGTCTCCTCAATGCTGGCCCGCCGTGGCTTTTTGATAGGGCTGCGGCAGTAAATACGTCTCCCTTTGTGCAGGTGACAAAAGCGCAGCTGGCTACAGGGTCTGCCTTGGGGTTATAGAGGGCGACAAAGGAAACGGCTTTGTTGGTATACACTTCAGGCTTGCCCAACACTTTGTACATTGGAGGCAGCTTGTTATTGAAGAGCGAAAACCCATCCTTCCAGTACTGCACTGCCGCTGCGCAGTCATCCTCGCCGGGGTAGTACAAGAAGGTTCCCTTCAACTTTTGGGCTTCAACTCCATCGCTGTCACTCTTCACAAAAATGCATGCAGATCAAGGCAAATGCGCCATCTCCTCCTACATGCGCCGTAGTCTGCACGGCTTTGTTTGGTCGAGTGTACCAGGACTCCCGACAGCAGTGCGCTCATGACACGGCTTACCCCTGCTATTTCTTGGCAGATTTCCTCCCACAAGTCAGCAGCTCGTATGTCGCTTTTAGCAGCCGGGTTTTCCGGCAGCATTTGGCCTTGTTCAGCTGCCGGCTTAAACTCTGCGAGTCCCGCGGCTGTCCTCGCCTCGTTCATCGCGGCCAAGCAATTGAGCGTTTCTGAGGGGAAAATCCGACCCAAACAAAACAGCTACGAAGGAAAACAAATTTAGACTTGAGATATCAGAAGTGCGAGGTCAAGTTGGGGACAAGACACCAGTAGTTCGCTTACTTGCTGTCCCAGTTATGGAAGCACCTTCTGCCTTGTGTCCACAGAACACAGTCACAGCGGCAAGGGCAATAAAAGCGAGATAAATCATGTTCAAGAAAATGATGGTCAGAAAAGGGTCAACGAAACAAATTATGGAATGAAATTTGTGAACGTTGTCTCCTCGACGGATGGGCTTGTAGGAGACATATATGGGCTGTGTCGGCGCGGCTGCGCCTGTTGACAACTCGTCTTTTTCCTCTTCATCTCCCTTTTGAAAGTCCTTCACGTTAAGCGAACAAATACCTTGTTTTGCCGGTTACTTTTCGCCATAAGACTTTACCGTTGGTGGTTTTCATTGCCTGTAAAGGTTCTGTGGATCTGGGTCACTGCATTACCGTCGAAAGCCTACAGCACCCAGAAAGCGTCCGGCGCACAGAAAATTATCTTAAAAACCCTAAGCATACTGGTCTACTCTAAATTGTGTACTTGTGTGTACTGGCGTGCGAGGGACTAAGATATGCCGCACAGCACGAGTGGTTATTAACAGTGCGTTACACTCCTTGGCGTTAAATTGATGCATGTTCAAATGCTCACTAAAACCTTTATTTTACGCAGCAATTCCTCTAAAGAAACTCTTACGAACAGGAATAATGTTATGGAAAAACGGGTCCGCTTTCGGATTTTTTCCCGTTAAATGACAGTATCGGCAGCCCATGGACGCTCAAAGCATGAGGAAACAAAGACCGGATTTTCCTCCCCACAGGTATATTCAAAATGTACTCAATTCGTTTCAATTAAACGCCTACTTGACAATACGGATACAAATGCCATGGCAAGCCTGTCCGTTTAAAGTGACCTCGTGAAGTGACCTACTATGAGGAGACTCAACCTGACCAAACAAGAAGCCAAGGCGATGCACCAGCAGTAGAATACTGTCATTACTAACACACCTGGACATATGCTTAGCCGCGGCAATGATCCTGGAGATGCCTAGGACTAGTAGGCATGAGTGTGTCTACAGAGTATCGAAAGTGGCACCTGAGAGCACATGATCGCCAGCATCTCCTCGCGGCAGCCCTCTGCAGGCGATAAAAAAAAAGTCCATCTTCTTCACTCCTCAATACAAGCAAGACAAAACCAAGGAAGAACTCTTGCAAGTCTGAACAGTGTCGAAATCCTGCCCAGAGGCTGAGAACCTAAGAAAGAATGTAGAGAAAAAACCTTATTATGAGTCGAACTGCCACTGACAGCCTGACCGGCGGAACCCCGTTGCCCCCTTCAGAACCGACTGTAGCATGAACAATCTTCTGCCAGTCCTCTTGCCTTCAGCTCCACACACAGCACAACATCTTGACAACTTAGGTAGGTCCTTGCGAAAAAATTTTGCATACAAGAGACAAAGTAATGCAAAGTTGTCGAGCATTTTGGGTCCTGTGCAGCGGAGTCTGTGTCCCTGCGATGTGTTCCCACTTGAATGGCGCCGCAACAGTAGTCAGCGCCTCCTGATTCATCGAGGAGATAACAGCAGTAACAGATTCCTCCCCAGCTTGAAGTATCCTTAATGTCCGGCCTTCGCGGCCTCTTGGGAGGGCTGAAGCAGCAAACGCGGCTCCTTTTGTGCAGGTAACAAAGGCGCAGCTGGCTGGTTCCGTCGTGCCAGCACTCCCGGTCTTTCAAGGCGAAGCATTTTAAGGAGCACAGATCAAGAAAGGATATGATGAATGTTTTATCGTTGGTCTCTCAATGTTTAATCGTTGTTATTGAAGAGTCATGAAGATAAGCCTGTTTATAGCCTCTGTATAGGGATATCACGAGCAGGTGCTGGCGATGCACGCCATGCATTGCCAGGATCCACTTTTGATGCTCTCTAGACGTGTGCACGCCTAGTAGAGCTAACTATTTTTCGCCTAACTTCAACACTCTGCTTATGTTATGGTGTGCGTAGCCGTGTCGGTGATCTAGTGGACGTCTATATCGTGGTTGCCTGTCAGAGCAGGCTGACATCCTCAGACCGGGTCACTTCAGATGAGCAGGCCTGTTTCATGGCACGCTTTTGCGTCCTTATTGATCAAGCTAGTGCACAATCTGAAGGTATTATGAATATTCTAAATGTAGTACTGTGGAAGAATATCCTGTCACGGCAGTTTCATGCAGCGAGGCGCCGAAGGAGAGAGGCACGATCAATGGCGTGTTCTTCCCTTAGTTTATTCTTTCTCTCCCATGTTGGCAAAAAAGGGTTCTTTTCGATTGTTCCCAATTAACCGTTGTTTAGGCACGAATTTTGACCCTTTGAAGTGTAGCGGAATGTGGGGAAAATTCGTTCATTGCGAAGGTTTTTGTTTTCTGATACAGCAATAGAATGAAGAGCATGCATTTCATGCGATGTTACTGAGTTGCGTACGGCTCCTATACGGCTCCCCGTCTTACTTAACTCCTTAGGCGAGCCAGAACACTTACCAAGTGCATAGCCTTCCAGATCCCACATTTCCTTGGCAAGGGATGAGCCACCCCGGCGCGAAGGCGCGAAAATCACCTGCCTTGGAAGGAAGCGGCCACATCTGAGACTTTTTTCATCAATTGAGTCCGTCAGCACTGCGACTGGCTTGGCTCTTCCCTTGCGCAGTTCCCTTGGAAAGAGATGAGCCACCCGAGCGCAAAAGTCGCGAAAATCACCTGCCTTGGGAGGAAGCGGCTACTTCTGAGACTTTTTCCATCAATTGAGTCTGTCAGCACTGCGACTGGCTTGCTGAAAGACTTTCCAACATCACAGATCATCTGTGCATACCGATAATGCGTCGTCAGGCATGTCTATGCTGGACGCTACTTTTAACCTATTCTTCTTCACCTTCTGTTTCTTGCCTCGTCTGACAGGAGAAAAAACGAGAAAGAGTTTCAAATTTTCAGCCCTTTGTATCCGCTCCTTTTAAACTAGTCGTCTTCACCTGCTGTTTCTTGCCTCATCTGACAGATCAAAAAATGGGAAAAAGTTTCAAAATTCCAGCTCCTTGTAACCGCTGCGGCTCAGCAGAACGTACTTCAGCGTTTGCGTTCCGATGTGTCTTCTCTGGCTTCGGAAGAGGCGAGCAGAGTGCACGCAAGGCAGCAAGTGACACAGGGGCGAGTAATTTTTCCCGCACCCACATCTGACACCGTACTAGGACGGCAAGAGATGCAAACTGCGCTCTCTAGCGTGTACTAGTTTTCACTGAAGTGCGCAGAAGGCTCTGCAACCCCCTAAGCCCTCAGCATGCCGTAACAAAGCCACCAGGCGCGTTTGTCAACAATGTGAAGTCCAAAAAATGCTTCTCTACTCAGCCAAGTACTTGGCTATGATCTTTTGTTTGCGACATGCGAGAAAGAGTGGCTTGCTCTACAGTGTACAGTGTACGACTTCACTGAAACTGTCTGTGTCCTGCCCTGCTCTGAGCAACAAGATATTATGTGTAAAGCCTTACACACATGCATAACTCGAAGGCTAATTAGTCTAGGAATGCCTTATCTGACTCATCTGCCTCATTATGGAACGCTGTGAACGTACCTGTTCTTTCGATAAATCAGGCCTCTAATGCAATGTGACATTACGGAGATCCTCATGGATATCAGAACAAGACTGCACGCTTTTGTCTCAAGCATGGCCTTTTGGTACAGTTAAAAAACTTTTCATTTTTTTTACAAGAATCTATTTGCTCTTCTGCTTCGAAATATTGGCAAAATGATATAGAGTAACGCGAACGGCCATTCGTGAACAGCAAGCTTACAGAGCCGCTGGACTACGGCGCGCGAGGTGAGCTTGAACCTCCGTGTCTCGCGAAGATGTCGCCAATACTCTCACATGAACCTTGAAGACACTTTCTTCGTTTGTTGAACTAATCTCATCTGTTATTGAAAATGGCTCGCGTCGCTTTCTTTTCCCTCGTTTTTGTGCCGCTGGTCTTCAACCAGGCAATCGCTCAGCAACAAGCTGCTACTCCAGACGCAAGTGAGGACTTTCTTGCACGTTCCTGTTCATGTTGGAAATGGCACCGTAGTTTTATCAGCTGATTCGCATTCCAGTATCTTATGTGAAATTTCCCCAGAAAAATTGAACTGCTTGGAAGCAATGAACGCGCTCAGAACGGCCGCAGGGCTTGCTGAATTTAAGGAGGCGTCGACAGCCACGCAAATTCTACCGGAAAAAGCCGTTGAAAAGGATGCAACAGTGAAGCCAGGAACTCTTTGGGAGGAGATTTGCCCCAAAGTTAGGGGGGTAAATTGCATTCGCTGCATCGCTGATATGAAGCCTCCCAATGTTCTAGGTTATTCCGGCGCCCGGAACTGCACCGGAATTATGTTTTTTCTCTTTTCCTCTTCTTGCGTGCAGACGGAACCCGACAACATTACTGAAGCCAAGAAGCTGACAGGCACCTTTGCGTACTATCCTGTTGCTGACGGCAAGAAGGACTGCAACGCCGCAGTGGAGTACTGGAAGGGCGGATTCTCCCTCTTCAAAAATGAGATTCCCCCAGAATTTACAGAGGCCAACAAAACTACTGTGTACAATGACAGAGCTGTGTCATTTGTCGCCCTGTACAACCCGAAACCCGACCCTGTTGTTAGCTGCGTGCTTCTCCAGTGCCCTACTGCGACTTCCCCTGGTGTCCCTGGCGCTGGACGCAGACTCTCGTCTAGCTCTACCACAGTCGAAGCTGTCATTTGCTTGACGAACCCCGCTGCCTTGACGGAAAATGCAGCGCCATTCAAGTATACATTCGTTACAGTCACCATTTATGTATAGCCTTCTGAACTGCTGAACTGCCACAACGCCCGTTTTGAGTTGCACTGTGGGGTTTTCATTGATTCAAATAGTTTCCGGCTATGTCCGTCCCGTAATTTGTTCGCAGAGAGGACGAATGGAAGAAAATTGTGGAGGCAATATCTGGCAACAAGAGCGAAGTTTCCCCAGTGGGCCCTTCAGTCGCTCTTGTTTCTGCGACGGCCATCGCCGTTTTCGCTCTTTTCTAGAATTTCGTCGACTATTAAGGAGTGTGTCAATAGACATGACAAAACGAGTCTATCTCAGTGGAACCTGGATGACAGATGAGGAACTTTCGAGGATGAGATGAGAACGAAACGACTTTCTTGTTTCTTTCTATCTCAAGGGAAAGCAAAGAGAAGACATTTGATGATCTGTTGCAGCAGGGTGTCGCGCTTCTCGTGATGCCGAGCATCATTTTATATGTGTGGGGATTTTATGCAGATCAGCATGAAGCAACAACCAATGGCTGTCCGTGCTGCCTTCATCTGGAGAACCTAGAGCGCTTTGAGGCCTCTTTAGCTGGATTAGGCAAACAAATGTTAAGGAACGAATACTTAGGCTCCAAGCAGCTACAGGCTATTTCTGAAGGGCTTGCTTCACGCACAGAAAGTGATGCATAAGTGATGTTTGTTTACAACCATTGCGAAAGAAAGTTCTCCCGCTGCCTTCCCCACTGAAGTTAACAGTGCAACTGTGGTGATTTATCTGAAGGAGACGAGAGCTTTTCCGTGCCCGAACCGGACTACTGAGGCACCAACTACTTTTTAAGGCCGCTCTGATATTTCATATGTTAATGAGACGTGTGCTGCCGAACACGACCCCGTTAGTAGCAGTGGACCTTAGTCGATAGTTCACTCAATAATAAGTGGCCAATAGCTCGAAGAAAGGGTTCAGACCAGTGGTTAAAAGTTCATTTGCATAGGAGGTTGAAAGTGCGCAGTTTAATCCTCATTACATCTTCAACTTCATCCAGCATGCTACAATTACTTTCGATTGCTGAAGTTGAGCTAGGTTCTAATGAGGTTTGATCGGAACGAGGAAAGCATCACCGAATGAGGCATATATTGAGCTTTTCAGTTACTATGGCATCCGGCAGCTGTCTATAGCGAGATCGCCATCTCCAGTAAGAACAGGCTTATTGTGGAGGAGAATGTGCCCATAGGTTAGTAAGCCTCATAGCCGGCATTTGGGGTGGACTGAGTGTTGACAAGGTGGCGAAAGTGAATGCTTTGTTGCAATGATCGCAAACATTTTCAAACCCGCTTGGAGCAGAAACAGCTACTTCAAGGGGATAGGAAGCTCGCCCCTTCAGTAGCCTTTTGCTTGACTACCTTTCCCTATTCTATCTTGGTGCAACTTCCTTTTCTCTCTTCTTTTTATCCCTCCCCATTCTTTGTTGCCTTGTTAGACCGGGGGACGTACGGGTAGATACGCTGTAGTGAGCGCTTTTGTACACTTGAAATTAAACTGTTTGGCGTCTGACGCATGCTTTACAAGCATCCATGATGTAGTGTTTATTACTCTGCGATATATCAATCCAAAGAAGCCCACATGTGGAGCAGGCTGGTCTAGGGGGAGTTGTTTCAGCAGAACTGTGTTGTTGGTAGTGTACATTTGGCATTGGTTTCCTCAGAACATGTGAGTCACTAAGGCGCGCAGTGAAGATCATGAAAGGCACCAATCCATGTAGCACAACCTGGACCACTGCCGGGCTTATTTTCATTGAGTGTGAATGACTCTGTAAAAAAGAAAGGAAGGAGAAAGGGAGTGCGTTAACATCAAGTACACGAGCGGCAAACCGGCCCACAAATATGCTCTCCGAACCCGTCCGCCGACAGGGAAACACCGTTCACCAACGCCCCCCAGGAAGTAGTTCCTTCCTACACTTTTTTTTGCACGTTTTTTATAACGAAAGATGATTCGGCTCGTTTTTATTCCACTCGTTGTCGTGCTTGGGTTCCGCGGACGCAAGAAGCATTTTACTCCTGTCTTTTCTCCTTTTCAAGGCGACTTTTCGAGGCGCCATTCCTGCTATTTCCGAGAAGAGTCTGCGCTTATTCACGAAGTTCTTGTGTGTGTGTGACATTTCCCCAGAATCGCTTGATTTCTTGCCTCAGATGAATGAGGCAGGAACAGCCGCGGGACTGCCTGCGTTTGGTGAGTCGACCAAAGATGGACAACTGCTGCCGGAACATGCTGGTTCGGGAAAAACGGTAATACCCGAAACTTTATGGAACCAAGTCTGCGAGAAAATAATGGGGCTAAGCCGTCTGTCGAAGGCACTGCTCTTGCCAATCTCACCACACGTATTGAAGCCGAAGACTATAGCGACTGTAGCGACAGATCCCCCATTTTCTTTGTGTCGCACTTTTCTGCGAAGGATGAAAGTGATACAGATGAAATCGAAAAACTGGTGGGAACACCCGCTTATTGCGCTGGAGAAAAGGACTGCGAAGCGGCAGTGCAACACTGGACGGACGGGTTCTCTCTCTTCAATAACAAGCTGCCGCCAAATTACGCAGAGCTGAACAACCCTGATGTCTATACCGACAACGGTGTCTCCTTTGTTGCTCTGTATAACCCCAAGGCGAGCCCTGTGGCCAGCTGCGCCTTCGTCACTTGCACAAAAACAAGTGCATTTGCTCCCCCAGCGCTCTAGAAGCCCCGATGTCCGGTCATTAAGAAGACTTCAAAATGAGCCCCAAAGAACTACTACTGCCGTTATCTGCTTGACAAATCCGGAGGCACTGAAGACTGGAGAAGCGCCATTCAAGTGGAAAACACCCCAGGACAATGGACTTGGCTGCATGCGACGCCAGGCCCATCCACAACTTAGCCGAAGTGTGCCTTTCATACGGAGAGCTTGCTCCCATATGACCTAAATGATCAATATCTTGTGCTGTGGCTGGATTTGCAGGGAAGAGGAATGGCAGAAGATTGTTCAAGCTATAGTTGGTACTGAAGAATGCAACGGGGCCTCACACGTGAGGACGTCATTGGCACTTGGGCTCATAATGATGATTTCTTCCTACGGTCCTTTTTAGGCTGTCAGCCTATGTGCAGGATGCTGGCACTGGACAGACATGTCATTGCTTGTCAAATTGAAAAAAGATCCGGCACGCGAGACCAGGAGGTTTTCTTTGGCCCTTTAGCATCTGTATTGAAGCATGCTGAACAGCTTTTGCTTTAACTCTTACAGGGTTGTCACGAGCAGGTGCTGGCGATGCAATCCATGTGCTATCAAGTGGCATTTTCGACATTGTAGAGACGTACTTATGCCTAGTAGTCCCAAGTATCTTGGCCATCACTTCCGATGCTTAGCCTATATTTATATGTGTCTAGCAATTTTGGTGATGTACTGGCGGTGTATACCATGGCTGCTTGTTTTGCCAGGTTTAGAGCTTCCTCGCGCCAGGTCACTTCACGAGGTCGCTTCAAAGGAACAGGCTTGTGTCATGGCAACCATTCGTGCCTTGATTATTCAGGAAAGCGTTTGGATGGAGCTCACCATAGTCAGTTTGCGCGAAATGTTTTGAATTAATATTGTGTTTGGGCTGTATAACGCATCAAGGGGCCATGTTGTTCCCATGCTCATTCAACAGGGAAATCTCAAATATAGTTTCTCTTTCCATTTTTTTAATTTTTTTCGTCTTGTTAAACCATGGTATATGCGTGCGAAAAAATGTAGTGAGCATCTGTTTATGCATCAAGTTGAACCAGTGGTGTGTTAGGCACTGCTCAGAATCTGTGGACTGTGTTGACGCGGCTTCGCTTGTTGACACTGCCACTCTTTCTCCTTCATCCCCACATTCAAGATCACTCAAATTCAGCGAAGGTGTATTTTCTTTTGTTTGTAACTGCACCCCGTATGGCTCTACCTTTCGCGATGTCCACCGCCTACAAGGTTCTGCCGATCTGGGTCACCGGATCACCCCCGAGGATCTACGGCACCCAGAACACGTCCAATGCACAGAAAAAATTTCCTAAGCAATTTGACTATACTGGTCCGCTGTTGACTGCGTGCTAGTTTGTAATGATATGCCAGAGAGCAAGAAACGCCGCACAGTACGAGTGTTTTCAAAAGTGCGTTATATACCAGCGGGTTAAATTGAAACATATGAGACAAGACACTTCTACGACATTCCTTCCTTCAACAAGACAATAAACACGCAGGTGAGGTGGAAAGAAGTATCATTCAAATTTTTGCCGTCATGCATGCGGACTCCCAAAGCGTGGGGAAACCGAGACAGCGTATATCTCTGAACAAGTATATTCCAAATGTCTTCAACGCGTTCTAGTTGAATGTTTTCTTGAAGAGGCGCGCGCAAAGGTGTTAAATGACACAAGCCTGCCCCCTCAAAGTTACCTTGTGTAACGGCCTAGTATGAGGAGGCTCACCCTGGCCAAACAAGCGGCCAGACGATACACCAGCAGCACGTCACCAACATCGCTAGACACAGCTAAACATAGGCAAGGTATCGGCAGCACTATCGAAGAAACTTGGAACTAGAGGCTATAAATACGTCTGGAGAATATTGAAAATGGAACCTGACAGCAAATGGCGAGCATCCCCAGCACCTGCTCGTGACACCCCTCTGCATGAGCTAAAAATGGTTCATCTTCTGCACTCCTCAACGTAAACGATAAAACGGCAAGAGTAACATCTCGCTCTCGTGCGCTGGATTATTAATTCGGTGAGAAGACCAAGAATAAGTCTGCGTACTGCCCGTGCACTCATCCTGGACAGAAGCTGAGAGCTTAAAAAAGAGTGTAAGCAAAAAGCATCATTACGAACCCCAGTGGAAGAGACGGCCTAACCGGGGAAGCCCCAGTGCGCTCCTCAGTACCAACTACAGCATGAACAATCTTCTGCCATTCATCTTCCCTGCAAACCCAACCATAGCACAATACACACGGTCACTTAGCTCCACGAAAACAAGTGCTACATATAAAATTCACACTCTTGCTAAGTTTCCAATGCACTGTGGGCCTTATGAAGCCACGTCGGTGGTCTGAGGGTGTATTCCCACTTGAATGGCGCCGTATCAGTAATCAGCGCCTGCGGATTCGTCAAGCATATGATGGCGGTAGCAGGTTCCTCTTCACCTTGAAGTCTCCTTAATGTCCGCCTTTCGTCGGTTTTTGGCAGGGCTGACGCAGCAAACCCGCTTGCTGTTGTGCAGGTCACGAAGACACAGCTCGCTACAGGGCTCGCCTGAGGGTTATAGAGAGAGACAAAGGAGACGGCCCTGTCGGTATAGACTTCAGACTGGTTCGAAGTTGTGTACGCTGGGGGCAGCTTGTTGTTGAAGAGTGAAAACCCGTCCTTCCAGTACTGCACTGCCGCCTTGCAGTCTTTTTTGCCGGCATAGTACGCGAAGGTCCCCTCTAATTTTTCGGCTTCAGCGCTGTCTTCTTCTTCCTTCACAACATAGAATGCAAACCAAGACAAACGTGCCATCTCTTCCTACTTCTGCCGTCATCTTGACGCTGACAGGCTGACAGAGGTGCGCTTGTGAAGGGACTAACCTCTGCTATTATTTTGCATATTTCGTTCCATAAATTGGTAGCGTTTACGGTCTCTTTTAAAGTGGGGCTCGACGGCAGCTTTTGCTTATCACTAGATGGCTCCCCAAACTTGGCGAGCCCAGCTGCTGTCCTGGCCTCGTTCATGTCGGCCAAACAATCAAGCGTCTCTGAAAGGGAGTTCCAGCACACACAGAAATATTTTGAATAAAGGAAGCTTTATATTTTGAAATAGGAAGTGTGTTGCCCCTTAAGCAAAGAAAAGACGGGAGCAACTTGCCTACCTGCTTCTCCAGTTGTGCTAGCACTTGCTGCCTCGTGTCCATAGAATACGGACACAACAGCGAGCGCAACACGAACGAAATGAAGCATCTTCGACCACTAAAATAATGTCATACAAAGGAAGGATTAAAGAAATATCTTCCAGAGGAGTTTGTGAGCACTGTTTCCTCGTCGACGAAAGGGTGTAGGGCACCTGAGGGCTGCGTCCTCGCGGCTGAGCCCACGATTGCAAATTTTCCCCCTTCATAGCCTTTTCAGGACCATGCAAGTTGAGTAACAGTATAACTTGTTTTGTTAGTAACTATGCTGCATATGGTTTTGCCCCAAATGATCTACGCCGCTTGCCGTAAATGTTCTGTTGATCCGGGTCACCGCTTCACCTCTAGAGATCTAGAGCGCCCACAACGCTACCAAAGCACGGAACATCTTCTTAAGAAGCCTAACTATACTGGCCTCCCGTAAATTGTATGCTTGTTTGTATTGACGTACCAGAGAGTAACAGACGCCGCCCCGCACGAGTGTATATCTGGAGTGCGTAACACACTGCGGGTCAAATTGATGCATGAGCAGATGCTACCTAAAACGTTTGTTTTAAGCATTTTGTTCTCTGGAGAGTCTATGAAGAGTAGAGCTGTAGGGAAACAAACCCATGCTCGAATTTTTTCCGGTTATGCGACGGCGTCGCCAACACATGGATGCTCAATACGTGAGGATTCCAAGAGAGGTAATTTATCTGAACGAGATAAAAAATTTCTTCAGTGCATTCCTATTAAACGGTTCCATGGCAATAAGGACACAGAGACAAGCAACGCCACAAGTCGCTCCCTTAAAGTGACCTCAGGAGTGACCTGGTCTGAAGCGGCTCAACCTGGCCAAAGGAGCAGCCACGATATAAGCCACCGGTACATCACCAATATCGCTAGACACACCTAAATACAGTCTAGGTATCGGCAAAAATCGAAGATACTTGGGGCTGGAGGCCATAAAAACGTCTGCAGAATTTCGGAAGTGGAACCTGATAGCACATGGCATGCATCATCAGCACCTGCTCGTGGCATATCTCCAGCAGTCTAAGAATGATTTATCTCCTGCACTCCTCAAAGCAGGCAATAAAGCACAGGAAGGCGTTTTGCTCTCGCACGCTGGATTAGTAGTTCGGTGAGATAGCCAACAGTAAGCTCGCCCAGTGCGTGCACACTACACAGAAGCTACAAACCTAAAAAAGACCGTAAGCAAAAAGCATCATGATGAATCCAATTGCCAATGATGGCCTAACCGGGGAAACCCTGTTGCTCTCCTCAGTACCAACTATAGCATGAACAATCTTCTGCCATTCATCTTCCCTGAAAATACAGACACAGTACAATACATTGATCAATTAGTTGGTGGGAGCAAGTACTACATATGCATGCCACACGTATGATAAGTTTACGAAGCACTTTGGGTCTTATGCAGCCAAATTCGTGGCCCTGGGATGTATTCCCACTTGAATGGCGCCTCTTCAGTAGTCAGCGCCTCCGGATTCGTCAAGCAGATGACGGCAGTAGTTGTTTGAGTCCCACCTTCGAGTCTCCTTAATGTTGGCCCTTCCTCGCCTTTCGAGAGGCCGGGGGAAGCAAACCCGCTTGCGGTTGTGCAGGTCACAAAGACACAGCTGGCTACAGGGCTCGTTTTAGGGTTGTAGAGGGCAACAAAGGAAACGGCCCTGTCGGTGTAGACATCAGGCTCGTTTGGAGCTGCGTATGTTGGAGGTAGCTTGTTACTGAAGAGCGAAAACCCGTCCTTCCAGTATTGCACTGCCGCCTTGCAGTCTTTTTTACCGGGATAGTACGCGAACGTCCCCTCTAATTTTTTGGCTTCAGCGCTATCGCCTTCCTTCTTCACATCATAGAATGCAAAACAAGACAAGCCTGGGGTCTCTTGTTACATGCTCCGTCATCTACAAGACTTTGATTGCCTAAATAAATTCCCGAACGCTGGTATGACGAGACTAACCGTTGTTATTATTGTGCAGATTTCGTTCCACAAATTGGTAGCGTTTACGGTCTCTTTCAAAGTGGGGTTTGGCGGCAGTTTTTGCTTATCACTAGATGGCTCCCCAAACTTGGCGAGTCCAGCGACTGTCCGGACCTCGTTCATGTCGGCCAAACAATCAAGCGTCTCTGAAAGGAATTTCCAACACACACATGCACATTTTAAAAGAAGGAGGCTCGTATCCCGAAATACGAAGAGTCTTGCCTCTTAACGAAAAAAAGACAGGAGTAACTAGCCTACCTGCTTTTCCAGTTGTGGTAGCACTTGCAGTCTGGTGTCCATAGAAGACGGACACAACAGAGAGCGCAATACAAATGAGATGAAGCGTTGTTGACAGCTAAAATAATACCGTTGACTACTAAAATAATATCATACAAAAGGAGGGTTGAAGGAATATCTTCTGGAGGAGTTGGTGAAGACTGTTCCCTCGTCGACGCATGGACGCATGATACCTAAGGGCTGCGCCTACGTGGATGCGTTCCCTGATTGCATATTTCCCTCTTCACACCGTTTCCCAGGATCACTCAAGATGTGTAACAACATAACTTGACTTTTTTGCAGCCGAGCTGGACATGGTTTGGGCCCTCGTGATCTACGCCGGGTGCCGTAAAGGTTCTGTTGATCTGGGTCACCCCGTCACCATATAGATCTACAGGCCACAACGCGGCCAAGGCGCAGAACATCTTCTTACGAAACCTGACTATGCTGGCCTGCTGAAAGCTGCGTGCTTTTTTTTATTGGGGCGCCAGAGAGTAAAAGACGCCACATGTCATGAGTGTTTGCCTACAGGATGTTGCATACCCGCGGGTCGAATTGTTGCATGCTCAAATGTTCCCCAAAACAGAAACTTTGCACATTTTTCGTTTACAAAGACGATAAAGAGAAATGTGGTGAGAAAATAAGCCCCCTTTAGAATTTCTTCATGTTAGGCGACGTCGGCAACCCATGGAGGCACAATGCGTGAGGAAACGCAGACAGGATATTCCTCTAAACAAGTAGATTCAACATATTTTGAGCACGCTACAATTAAACGCTTGCTTGACAATAAAGGCACAACAGCGTGCGACGACACAAGGCTGCGCCGGTAAAGTGACCTCGGGAAGTGACCCAGTGCCAATCTGGCCAAAGGAACAGCCAAGATATACGCCACCTGTGCGTCACCAATATCGCTAGACACACCTAAACATATATGCTAGGTATCGGGAGCAATATAGAAGATACTTGGGACTAGAGGCCAAAAATATGTCGGCAGAATATTCGAAGTGTAAGCTGAAAGCATATGACGTGCATCGCCAGCACCTGCTCGTGGCACAACTCTGCAGGGTCTAAAAATGGTTTATCGTCTACACTCCTCGACACAGACAATAAAACACCAGAAGGCGTCCTGCTCTCGCATGCTGGATCAGTAGTTTGGTGAGATAGCCAACAATGGGCCCGTCTAGTGCGTGCTCGCTGCACAAAGGCTAAAAACCTAAAAAAGACCGTTAGCAAAGAGCATCATGATGAATCCAACTGCCAATGGTGGCCTAACCGGGGAAACCCCGTTGCTCCCCTCAGTACCAACTATAGCATGAACAATCTTCTGCCATTCATCTTCCCTGAAAATCCAGACACAGCATAGTACGTTGATCAAGTTGCATGGGAGCACGTGCTGCATGTGTACATGACAATTATGCTACGTTTACGATGCACTTTGGGTTTTATGCCGTTAAATCTGTGGCTTTGGCCTGGTGTGTTTTCTCACTTGAATGGCGCCGCTCCAGTAGTCAGCGCCTTCGGATTCGTCAAGCATATAACGGCAGTAGCATCTGCCTCTAATTCCTCAAGTCTCCTTACCGCCCGCCGTTCGTGGCTTTTTGATAGGTCTGGGGCAGCAAACACGGCTCCTCCTGTGCAGGTGACAAACGAGCAGCTGGCTACGGGGCTCGCCTTGGGGTTATAGAGGGCGACAAAGGACACAGCCTGGTCGGTGTATATTTGAGGGTCATTCAATGCCGTGTATGTTGGGGGCAGTTCGTTTTTGAAGAGCGAAAACCCGTCCTTCCAGTGCTGCACTGCTGCTTTGCAGTCTTTTTTGCCGGAGTAGTACGCGAAGGTTCCCTCTAACTGCTTGGCTTGAGTGGTATCACCTGCTTCCTTCACATAATAGAATGAAAAGCAAGACAAGCCTGGCATCTCACCCTGATGCGCCGCAGCCTGCGGGTTCTGGGACACATTTCACAATGTGTCCCAGAACCGGTGATAGCAGTGTGCCGATCACGGGACTAACCCCTGCTAGTTTTTTACAGATCTCGCTCCACAAAGTTGCAGCTGTTATCTTTCTTCCAGAATCAGGGTGTTCCAGTAGCACTTGTGTTTCTTCAGATGCCTGCCTAAACTCAGGCAGTCCTGTAGCTTTCCTCTCCTCATTCATCTCCCTAAAGCAATCGATCGTTTCTGAGGAGAAACTTCGACATACACAATCGACAACTGCAATGCAAAATATCAGCAGCGTTGTAAGCTCAACAGCGCTTTTGGGAAAGAGAAGGCAACATGCTTACCTGCTGTTCCTGTTGTGCCAGCGCTTGCTTTCTTGTGTCCACAGATTACAGGCACGAGAACAAGTGGAATAAAAGCGGGACGAACCACATTCGGTACGAAAAGTGCTAGAGATAAAAGTGAAGAAGGAATGAGTTCTGAAAAAGGTTGATGAACGTTATTTCCCTCTGGACACAGGGATGAATGGCCGCGATTGGGACATCTGTGGGCCGGGTTCGAGCGGCTGGGTTTGTTGCTGATATCTTTATTTTCTTGTCCAACTCTGGTTTTGAAACCATTCATGTTAAACAAGAAATTGTACACAAATTCTAGAAGCAGTGCTAGGGGCAGATTTCTGCCTTTCATGATCTCCACCACCCGCGTTGCAAGTTCTGGAGTTCTGCTGTCACCGAATAAAGAATATGATCTACGCCATCCAGTACACCTCCAACGCACAGAAACCTTTTTTCTTGAAATGAAACTCACAGATATCGCCCGAATTGCTTGTTCACCTGTTCGAATTTCTTTAGCAGAGGACAAAAGCCACCGCAAGTCATGAATGTCTCTCCACTGCACTACACTCCAAGCGGTCGAAATTCGTCGCGAAGCAAGTATTTATCAACCAATATCTGAAAACATGTCTCATTGTTTAAGAAAACGATAAATAGTAGGGCAAGAGATGAAGAGATTACTCATTGGTCTTTTCCCCTTCAAATGAGGATTGCACCACCATGGCCCCTCGCTGCGGGACGCAGCCGAGACAGGATATTACTTCTCGATATTATGCTCATAATGCCTTTAGTTTGTGTTTTCCTCTAAGCAACTGGAAAGCAAAAACGTTCCATGACAGAAGGTTGCCCTCGCGAAGTGACCCGGCGTGACTATGTCCAACCTTCAACAGGCAGCCACGGTATAGACCACCACTAGATCATCGACATGATTACATACACTAGAAGATAAACGAAGTATTGAAGCTAGAAAAAAAGTGTTAGCCCCAGTAGGCATGCATACGTCTGGGAGGCATGAAAAATGAAACCTGGCAACACACGGTGAGTACCGCGTGCACATGCTCGCGACACCGCAATAAAGTGGGTATGAAAGGTTCGTTTCCGTCGCTCTTCAATACGAACGATAAAACATCAAGAGGGATTTTTCCAATTTTGCGCGCAAAATCATTTTTGGATAGAACGGGCATTGAAATGTCCATTCAGTGCCCTGACATTGCACAGAGGCCTGCAGCTGTGGACAAATTCTAGTAGCACTGCTGTACATGGATTTCTACCTTTCGTGGCTTCCACCGCGTGCCTTGCAGGTTCTCCAGGTTCTACGGCACAGCAACACTGGCTATAGATGAAGATCTACCCAGCTCGCCACATGTCCAGCGCACAAAACGTTATAGGTTGAAACGCAACTCATTAAGACCGTCTGCATTAGTTGTGTGCCCATTCCTGTTATTGTATCAAAGAAGAACAATCGACACAACGCACGAGCTTTTCATGGCACGGCGCTACACTTTAAGCAATCGCCAATCGACGCCAAAGAGGTGCTCATCAAATAATATCTAAAAAACTATTTCTATATCCAAGGAAAAGAGAAATAGGAACACGGGGGATGAAGGAACTATTGGTTGGGCCTTCCTTTCCCCTTCAAATGGGGCTTGTAGCTCCAGGGCGCCTTGTTGCAAGAGACAGCCGAGACAGGATACTTCTCCACGGCATTTCATTCGAAATACCTGTAATAATTTTTATTTGTAAGTTTCCCTGACCAGTAGGGACGCAGAAACGTGCCATGAAACAATCCTCCCCATTTGAAGTGACCCGGCGTTAGGGTGTCCAATCTGTTCTAACGGGCAGCCACGGTATAGACCACCACTAGACCATCGTCACAGCTACACAGAATAGCACGTAGGAAGAGTTTTGATGTTAGATGAAAAACGGTTAGCCCTAGTAGGCATGCATACGCCTGGAGACCATCAAAATAAAACGTGGCGGCACATGGCGTGTAGCCAGCGCCTGCGCGTTACACCCCTATACAGTGGCTATAAAAAGGTCCATCTTCATCACTCTTTAATATAAAAAGATAAAAAATTGGGAGATATCTTTTGCTCTTACGTGCTGGATTATTTTCTGGATACAACAGGCATTGCCATTGAGACATCCATTCAGTGCCCTCGAACTGCAGAGGCTGGCGGCTTAAAAAAGCCCGTAGGGAAAAAGCATCATTATAAACCCAACAGCCAATGACGCCCTGACTGGCGAAATCCCGTTGCTCTCCTCAGTGCCAACTAGAGCTTGGACAATCTTCCGCCACACCTCTTCCCTGCACATCCATACACCACAATGCATTGACCACTAGCTCTATATGAAAAAGTACTACATACAAAAGACACAGTCCTGCTATGATTCCGATGCAGTTTGTGTCCTATGCAGCCAAACCCCTGGCTTTGGGCTGTGCTCCTACTTGAATGGCTGTTGTCCCTTCGAGAGTGCCGCTGGGTTCGTCAAGCAGATAACCGCAGTACTAGTAGAAGCAGTATCCTCTTCACCTTGAAGTCTTCTTGTTGAGAGCCCTTTGTCTGGCGCAGTGGACTCGGTTGCTGTTGTGCAGGTGACGAAGGCGCAGCTGGCAACAGGACTCGCCTGAGGGTTATAGAGAGCGACAAAGGAAGTAGCCTGGTCTGTGTATATTTTGGGGTCATTCAACGCATTGTACGTTGGAGGGAGCTCGTTTTTGAACAGAGGAAACCCGTCCTTCCAGTACTGCACTGCTGCCTTGCAGTCATTCTCGCCGCGGTAATACGCGAAGGTTCCCTGTAATTTTTTGGCTTCTTCGCTTTCCTCTGCTTCCTTCACAGAATATAATAAAAAGCCAAACGAACGCAGAATCCCTCCGATGTGAGGCGGGGTCTGCAGAACATTGTTTGACCAAGTCTCCCAGAACTCTCGATATCAGTACGCACATAAAGCGGCTCACCTTTGCTATTACTTTGCAGATTTCGTTCCACAACGTAGCAGGTGTTATTGTTCGTTCAGTGCCAGGGGTTTTCGGCAGCACTTGCGTTGCATCAGTTGCCTCTTTAAACGCAGCGAGTCCCGCAGCGGCCCTCTCCACATTCATCTCGCTTAAACAACTAATCGTTTCTGAAGAGAAACTCGAACATGCACAAACAAAATTATCAGGAAATGACATACCTAAGTACGAAATATCAAAAGCGTTGTAGGTCCAAATGCGCTTTAGAGGGAGGTGAGAGCCTACCTGCTGTTCCCGTTGTGCCAGCACTTGCTGCCTTGTGTCCATAGAACACAGGCACGAGAACGAGTGGAATAGAAATGAGACGAAACATCTTTTGTACAAAGGATGCTAGCGAAAAAAAGAACAAGGAACGAGATCTGAAAGGGGTTGATGAACGTTATTTCCCCCTGGCCACTGGACAAATGAGCAGCATGGGGACATGGGCGGGCCCGCCTCAAGCAGCTGGGTTTGTTGTTGATGAGATTCTTTTCTGCTTCCCCTCGACTTTTGATATCATTCAAGTTAAACAAAAAAATGTAGGCAAATTCTGGAAGCAGTGCTACGGGCGAATTTCTGCCTTTCGTGATTTCCACCTCCCGGGTTGCAGGTTCTCCAGGTTCTGCAGTTCTGAGTACCGCAGCACCCGCTGAAGATAACGATCTACGCCGCCCACCACATGTCCACCGTGCAACAAGTTATATGTTGAAACGAAACTCACTAGCATTGACTGAATTAATTGTGTGCGTATCCCTGTGACTGTGTCCTGGAAGAAAAATGGTCACAACGCACGAATTTGCCTCAACACTGCGCTCCACTTCGAGTGGTTGAAATTCGCCGCGAAACAAGTGTACATCAGGCAATATCTGGAGACTCATTTGTTTGTTAAAGAAAATAGGTAACGGAGAAACTATCGATCGGGCTTTTCCTCCTAAAGTGGGGATTGTAACGCCGTCGCGCCTCGCTGCGGGACACAGCCGAGAGAGGACATAACGCATTACGCTTAAAATACCCACAATAATTTTCATTTTCGCATTTTTGTGATCAATGAGAGCACAGGAACGTGCCATGAATGAAGCTTGCTCATTTGAAGTGGCCCGGCCTGAGGATATTCAACCTGCCCCAACAGTCAACGACGGTATAAACCACCACTAGATCACCGACACAGCTACTAGGGAATCCACACAGTGTTGAAGCTACACAGAAAATAGTTAGTCTTAATAGACATGCATGCGTCTGGAGAACAAAAAAGGAGCCTGGCAGCACATGGCGTGTACCGCCAGCACCTGCTCGTGATACCTCTTTACAGGGGCTACAAAATAGTTCGTCTTCATCACTCTTTAATAGGAACAATAAAACATTCAATGAGATATCTTGGTTTTTCGTGCTGGTTATTTTTTGGATAAGACGGGCATTGACGTGTCCATTCAGTGCCCGCACTCTGCACAGTGGCTGACAACTTAAAAAAGGCCGTAGGCAAAAAGCATCATTATGAATCCAACTGCCAATGAAGGCCTGACGAGTGAAACTACGCTGCCCTCCTTAGTACCAACAATGGCTTGAGCAATCTTGTGCCACTCCTCTTCCCTGCGAATCCCCATACAGCATGATGCATTGACCATTTACCTCCATGAGAGAAAATGTTACATACAAAAGGTACACACATTCTAGGTTTCGGTTGCACTCTGGGTCCTGTGGAGCCGATTCCGTAGTCCTGGGGTGTGCTCTTACTTGAATGGCGCTCGCCCCTCAGTTAGCGCTTCCGGATTCGTTAAGCATATAACAGCATTATGAGTTTCCTGTGAACCTTGAAGCCTTCTTGGTGAGCGCTCTTTCTGGCTTCTTGAGATATCTGGGGCAGTAGACGCAGCTGCTTTTGTGCAGGTGACGAAGGCGCAGCTGACTACAGGCTTTGCCTGAGGGTTATAGAGGGCGACAAAGGAAACGGCTTTGTGGCTGTACACTTCGGGGGTATCCGACACTGTGTACTTCGGGGGCAGCTCGTTTTTAAAGAACGAAAACCCGTCCTTCCAGTACTGCACTGCTGCTTTGCAGTCCTTGTTGCCGGGGTAGTACGCAAATTTTCCCTTTAACTGTTCAGCTTCAGTGCTTTCCTCTGCTTCCTTCATATAATAGAATGAAAAGGATGACAGACCCGACACTTCTTACTACTTGCGCCGTAGTCTGCAAGATATTGCTTGGCTAAGCGTCCCAGAACTCGCGATGACAACGCTCACCCCCACTATTATTTGGCAGATTTCGTTCCACAGCGTGGCAGCTGTTATCTTTGATCCAGTATCCGCGGTTTTCGGCAGCACTTGTGCTCCATCAGTTGCCTCCTCAAACGCAACGAGTCATGCTGCTGCCCTCTCCTTATTCACCTCGCTTAAACAATTAGTCGTTTCTGAGAAGAAACTCCGACATACACAAAAAACTAAGATAAAAAGTGGCTAGTAGAATACGAAGTACCGAAAGTGTTGTATGAAGAGGATTTTTGCGGAAGACATGAGCAATATGCAAACCTGCTGCTCCCGTTGTGCCAGCACTTGCTGCCTTGTATCCATAGAACACGGGCACGAGAAGGAGTGGAGTAAAGAGGAGACGAAACGTCATTGGTACGAAAATGTTACAGAGAAAAAAGAAGAGGGAGGAATATCTGGAAAAGACTGGTGAATGCTATTTCCCCCTGGCCAGTGGACGAACGTGCAGCATGGGGACATCTGGACCAGATTCGAGCGGCTGGGTTTGTTGTTGATGTCATTATTTTCTCCTTCATCTCCTTTTTCGAGATTATTCGTGTTGACCAAAAAATATGGATAAATTCTAGCGACAGTGCTAGGGGCGGATTTCTGCCTTTCATGATTCCCACCGTGCGTTGCAGGTTCTACAGGTTCTGCAGTTCTGCGGTACCGCAACACCAGCTAAAGATAAGAATCTACGCCTCCCAGTGCCAGAAAAGGCTATATGCTGAAAAGCAACGCCTTGATATTTTCTGAATTACTTACTTGCCTATCCCTATTGGCTTATCAGAGAAAAATCGGCACAACGGATAAATCCAACTCAACACTGCGCTACATTTCAAGCAGTTGAAATTCATCGCGAAGGAAGTGCTCATCAAGCAATATCTGGACACCTTTTTTGTTCAAAAAAGCGAGAGAGGATGGGGCAGGAGACGAAGAAACTATTGATTGGGCCTTTCCTCTTTAAATGGGGACTCTAGCGCCATCGCGCCTCGCTGCGGGACACAACCCACAGAGAATATTTCTCCGAAGCATTAGGCTCAAAATGATTATAATAATTTTTATTTATGCACTTTCTTGACCAGTAACGGCGCAAAAATGTGGAATGAAATAAGCCTGCCCTTTTGAAGTGACCCGGCGTGGGAATGTTCAACCTGTCCCAACAGGCAGCCACGGTATAGACCACTACTAGATCACCGGCACGGCTACACAGGAGAGGACACAGGCAGTTCGTTACAGCTAAACAGAAAATCGTTAGCCCTTCTACGGATGCAGACGTCTGGAAAACATCAAAAATGGAAACTGGCAACACATGGCATGCATCGCGAGCACCTGCTCGTAGCACCCCTGCACAGTGGCTATAAACAGGTTCCTCTTCGTCGCTCTCCAATACTAATGATAAAACAGTGGGAGAGAGTTTTTGGTCTTCCGCGCCGTGTTACTTTTTGGATAAAACAGGCACTGACCTATTCATTCAGTGCCTCTCACTGCACAGAGACCGATAGCTTAAAAAAGAATATAGGCAAAGACCATTATTAAGAACCCAACTGCCAATGACGGCCTGCCTGACGAAGCTCCGTTGCTCTTCTCAGCACCAACTAGAGCTTGGACAATCTTCTGCCACACCTCTTCCCTGCAAATCCCAACACCACAATGCACTGATCACTTAGCTCCATGCGAGAAAATGTTGCATACAAAAGACACAGTCATGCTATGTTTCCGATGCACTTTGTGTCCTATGCAGCCAAGTCCGTGGCCTTCGGGGATGTTCCCACTTGAATGGCTGTTGTCCCTTCGAGAGCGCCACCGGGTTCGTTAAGCAGATAACGGCTGTTGTAGTATCCTCTTCACCTTGAAGTCTTCTTGTTGACCGCCCTTCGTGGCTTTTTAACATTCGTCGGGCGGCAAACGCGCCTCCTTGTGTGCAGGTGATTAAGGCGCATCTGGCTACAGGACTCGCCTGAGGGTTATAGAGGGCGACAAAGGAAACAGCTTTTTCGGTGTACACCACAGGGTTATCTGGCTCTGTATACGTTGGGGGCAGCTCGTCTTTGAAGAGAGAAAATCCGTCCTTCCAGTACTGCACTGCCGCCTTGCAGTCTTTACTGTCCGGGTAATACGCGAATGTTCCCCTTAACTGATGAGCTTCAGTACCTTCGCTGTCGCCCTTCAAATTATGGAATGCACAACAAAACGAAAGTTGCACCTCTTGCTACATGCAACTCAGAGTGCAAGCAAGATGCTCATTGTCTAGTCGTGCTCGTGGGACGGCTTAGGTTAACAATTTCTTCGCAGATTTCGTTCCACAAGTCTTCAGCTGTTTTTGCTTTTCCCTGAACAGTGTGTTCTGGCATCACTTGTTCAGTAGTAGTTGCGTTCCCAAACGCAGCGAGTTCCGCAGCTGCCCTTACCTCGTTCATCTCGGCCAAGCAATCAAGCCTTACTGCGGAGAACATTCGGCGCACATACACGAACACTATGGCAAAATCTATTGCCCAGGCTGAAATATCGAACTGTTTGCGTCAAATCTACGAAAAGACAGGACTACTGGCCCTACCTGCTGTTCCGGTTACGGCAGCACCTACTGCCTCGTGTCCACAGAACACGGACACAAAAATGATTGGAACGAGGGCGAAGCGAAACATATTTACTTTTTAAAAAAGCCAGACAAGACAAAATAGAGGAATAAATTCTGAAGGGATTTCGCGAACTGTTTTTCTGTCAAACAGATGAGCGCGAGGGGGACAATCATGGGTTGGGTTCGCGTGGCTGCCCTTTCATTTCGTGTCCTTCTTTTCTCCTTCATCTCCCTTTAAACTGCACGTTGCCCTAAGTACAATAATATTCAGTTTTGTTTCAAGCATGTTGCACGTGCTTTTTTCATGTTCGGAATTTCCGCAGGGCGCGCTAGAGGTCACTGCATAGCACGTAAAGATCTACACCAACGAGAACAATCTTTCTCTGCACCTGGCTTAAGTTCACGCCCATACATATGTTCAATACAACATATCGTAAAACGCATCCACTGGTCCGACGAAAAGAGAAGGAATATGAGAACAGACGAAGAAATCGTTTATCGAGCGTTCTTCCCTTTAAATTACGGTAATAGCACCATAGATATTCAATGCGCAAAACGGCTGAGGCAGGATTTGCTACCATCTCCCCTCACACTAGCGCCCAGGATATGCTCGCTGTGAGATGGGCCGCCCTGAGTTCATTTATGAGCGAGGACCATACAGGCTGCGTTATGGGGCACCCCAAGAGAAAGCGTGCAATAGCACAAACGAATTAGTAGGTACGCGACAAAGATGTAGGAATCCAAGCTACAGGAAATAGTAACACCGGAGATGAAAAAACTATAGATGCGGTCATCCTCCCTCAGATGCGAATTGTAACACCATAGCACCTCGCTCCGTGAAGGAGCCGACAGGGCACTTTTTCACGGCATTAAATTCAAAATACCTGCAATAATTTTTATTTGTGTGTTTCCCTGACTAGTAAGGACGCAAAAACGTGCCATGAAAAGGGCCTGCCAACTTAAAGTGACCCGGTCTGAGGGTGTTCAACCTGTTCAGACAGACAGCCACGGTATAGAACACCACTAGATCATCGGGCCAGCTACACACACTAGGATACAGGCAGAGTGTTGAGGTGAGAACGAAAAGAGTTAGCCTTCGTAGGCATACATATGTCTGGAAAATATCAAAAATGGAACCTGGCAGCACATGGCGTGCATCGCCGGCACCTGCTCGTTACATCCCTATGCAGGCACTATAAAAAGGTTCATCTTCATCAATCCCAAACATAAGACGATGAAAAATTGCGATGTGCTTTTTGGTTTTCCGTTCTTTATTGCTTTTTTGGATAAAAATGGCATTGACATGCCTACCCAGTGCCCTCACATTGCACAGAGGCTGACAGCTTAAAAAAGAGCATAGGCGGAAAACATTGTGAATCCAACTGCCAATGACGGTCTGACTCGCGAAACCCCGTTGCTCTTCTGAGTACCAACTACAGCTTGAACAATCTTCTGCCAGACCTCTTCCCTGCACATCCAGACACAAAACAATGCACTGATCACTTATCTTCATGAGAAATTATTACGTACAAACTACGTTTCCGACGCATTTTGGGACCTATTCAGTCGAGTCTGCAGTCTTGGGCAGCCCCTACTTGAAAGGCGCTTGTCCCTCCGTCAGTGCCTCTGGGTTCGTCAAACAGATAACGGCAGTAGTAGTTTCCTGTGCAGCTTGAAGTCTTCTTGTTGACCGCCCTTTCTGGCTTTCTGCAATCTCTGGGGAAGCAGATGTGCCTCCTTTTGTGCAGGTGACAAGGGAGCAGCTGGCTAGAGGACTCGGCTGAGGGTTATAGAGGGCGACAAAGGAAACGGCTTTGTCGGTGTAGACTGCGGGAGTACTAGACGCTGTGTACTTTGGGGGCAGCTCGTTTTTGAATAACGAAAACCCTTCCTTCCAGTGCTGCACTGCCGCCTTGCAGTCTTTTCCGCCGGGGTAGTAAGCGAACGTTCCCTGTAACTTTTTCGCTTCAGTGCCTTCGGTTTGACCCTTCAGATAATTGAATGAACAGCAAAGCAAAAGTGGAATTTCTTGCTACATGCAACCCTGAATGCAAACAAGGTGCACATTGTCTAGGTGTGCTCGTGGCATGGCTTACACCCGTCATTTTTTCGCAGATTTCAGTCCACAAGTTTGCAGCCGTTATTGCTTTTCCCTGAACAGGGTGTTGTGGGAGCACTTGTTCATTAGCAGTTGCGTTCCCAAACGCAGCAAATCCCGCGGTTTCCCTCACCTCGTTCATCTCCGCCAAGCAATCAAGCGTTACTGCAGAGACAATTCGGCGCACATACAGGAATACTGTGACGATATCTATTGCCCAGGCCCAAATATCAAACTGTTTGCGTCAAATCTACGAAAAGACAGGACTTATGTGCTCACCTGCTGTTGCAGTTACGGCGGCACTTACTGCCTCGTGTCCACAGAACACGGACACAAAAATGATTGGAACAAAGACGAGGCGAAACATCCTTATGTTTTTAACAAATGCCAGACAAGAAGAAAAGAGGGGAAAATTCTGAAAGGATTTGGCAGGCCCTGTTTTTCTGAAACAGGTGAGCGTGAAGGGGACAATCGTGGGTCAGGTTCGCACTGGTGTCCTTGTCTTTCGTGTCCTTCCCTTCTTCTCCATATCCCTTTACACGACAAGTTGCACTAAGTACAATAGTATCTAGGTTTGTACAATAGTATCTAGGTTTGATTCAAACGTCTTACACGTGCCTTTTTAACGTTCGTAATTTCCGCAGGGCGCGCTAGAGCTCACTGCATAACCCATACAGATCTACACCGACGAGAACACAGTTTCACGGCAACCGCTTTAAATTAATGCCCAGACAAATTTTCAATGCAACATATATTGAAACACATCCACTGGTCTAACAAGAAAGATTACGATAGCAGACAAAGAAACTGTTGGTTGACCTTTCTTCCCTTTAATGAAGGTGGTAACACCATGGATATTCAATGAACGAGACAGATGAGACAAGATTTGCTACCAATTTCCCTCGCACCAGCGCGCAGGATATGCTCGCTGGGCCGTGGGCTGCTCTGAGTTCATTTGTGTTTTATGCCCATTCAGGCTGCATTATGGGACACCCAGAGGGAAAGCGTGGAATAGCACTGGCGAATTAGTAGGTGAGCGATCGTTGACGTAGGAATGCATGTTAAGGAAACAAGATATAGTAACACCAGAGATGAAGAAACTATAGATCGTGTCGATCGCCTTCAGATGGGAATAGTAACACCGTGGCACATCGCCGCGGGACACAGCCGAGATAGGACATTTCTCCACAGCACTACGCTCAAAATGCCTAGAATAATTTTTCTTTGTGGACTTTCCCTGGCCAATAGGGACGGAAAAGCCTGCCGTAAAACAAGCCTGCCCATTTGAAGTGGCCCGGCCTCAGATGTTCAGCCTGTCCTAACAGGCAGCCACGGTATCACAGCTACACACAATAGGACGTAGGCAGAGGGTTGAAGTTAGGCAGAAAATAGTTAGCCATAGTAGGCATGCATACGTCTGGAAAACATCGAAAATGGAACCTGGCAGCACATGGCGTGCATCGCCGGCACCTGCTCGTTACATCCCTATGCAGGCACTATAAAAAGGTTCATCTTCATCACTCCCAAATATAAAACGATGAAACACTGGGAGGCATTTTTTGATTTTCCGTGCTGAATTTTTTGTTTGGATTAAAAAAGGCATTGACATGCTAATTGAGTGCCCCCAAAATGCACAGAGTCTGAAAGTTTAAAAAAGCGCGTAGGCAAAAAGCATCATTATGAACCCAACTGCCAATGACGGCCTGACTGGGGAAACCCCGTTGCCCTTCTGAGTACTAACTATAGCTTGAACAATCTTCTGCCACACCTCTTCCCTGCACATCCAGACGCAGCACAATGCATTGATTACTTACCTTCATGAGAACATATTTCGTACAAAGCTATGTTTTCGATGCACTTTGGGTCCTATTTAGCCAACTCCGTAGTTTTGCGGTGCTCTTACTTGAAAGGCGCTTGTCCATCTGTTAGTGCCTTAGGGTTTGTCAAGCAGATAACGGCTGAAGTGACAGTAGTAGGATCCTCTTCACCTTGAAGCCTTCTTGTTGAGCGCACATCGTGGCTTTTTAACATCCGTGGGGAAGCAAGTGCAGCTGCTTTTGTGCAGGTGACGAGGGAGCAGCTGGCTAGAGGACTCGATTGAGGGTTGTAGAGAGCGACAAAGGAAACAGCTCTGTCGGTGTACACCTCAGGAGTATTCGACGCTGTATACGTTGGGGGCAGTTCATTTTTGAAGAGCGAAAACCCTTCCTTCCAGTACTGCACTGCCGCCTTGCAATCTTTTCCGTCGGGGTAGTAAGCGAACGTTCCCTGTAATTTTTTTGCTTGAGTGCCTTCAGTTTGACCCTTCAGATAATTGAATGAACAACAAAACAAGAGTGGCACTTCTTGCTGGGTTCAAATCAGAATGCAAGCACGGTGCACACTGTTTTTTGGGCTCGTGGCATGGCTTACACCCGTCATTTTTTGGCAGATTTCGTTCCACAAATCTTCAGCTGTTATTGCTTTCGTCGGAAGGGAGGGTTCCGGCAGCACTTGTCCATCAGCAGTTGCGTTCCCAAACGCAGCGAGTCCAGCAGCTGCCCTCACTTCATTCATCTCGGCGAAGCAATCAAGCCTTACTGCGGAGAAAATTCGGGGCACATACTCGAACACCGTGACTCAATCTATTGCTTAAACTCAAATATCAACCTTTTAACGTCAAATCTACGAAAAGACAGGACTTATGCGCTTACCTGCTGTTCCAGTTACGGTAGCACTTACTGTCTCGTGCCCACAGAACAGGGACACAAAAATGATTGGTACGGAGACGAGGCGGAACATGTTTACTTTTTTTAAAAAGCCAGACAAGACAAAATAGAGAAATAAATTCTGAAGGGATTTGGCGAAATCTGTTTTTCTGTCAAACGAATGAGCACGAATGGGACAATCGTGGGTCGGATTCGCGTGGCTGCCCTTGTTCTGCGTGTCCTTCTTTTCTCCTCCATTTGCGTTTGCATGGCAAGTTACGCTACGTACAATAATATCCAGTTTTGTTTCAAGCGTGTTACACAGGCTTTTTTCACGTTTGTAATTTTCGCAGGACGCGTTGGAGGTCACCGCATAACACATAAAGATCTACACCAACGAGAACAATCTTTCACGACAGCTGGCTTCAATTCATGCCCAGACATATGTTCATTACAACATATCGTAAAACGCATCCACTGGTCTGAGGACAAAAAAAAATAATATGAGAGCAGGGAAAGAAATCGTTTGTCGAGCATGTTCCCCTTTAAATTGAGGTGGTAACACCAAGGATGTTCAAAGCGCTAGACAGCTGAGACAGATGTTGCTACCCTCTTCCGTCACACTAGCGACCAGGAAATGCTCGCTGTGCCATGCTAAGAAAAAGAGAAATACTACCGCCGGAGATGAAAAAATTATAGATCAGGTCGTTTCCCTTCAAATGGGGATTGTAACAGCAGGCACCTCGCTGCCAGACACAGCCAAGACAGGATACTTCTTCACGGCATTACATTCAAAATACCTGCAACAATTCTCATTTGTATGTTTCATGACTAGTAAAGAGGCGAAAATGTGACGTGAAATAAGCCTGCGCATTTAAAGTGACCTAGCGTGAGTGCGCTCAACCTCCTGTAGAAGCGAGCCAAGGTATTGGCCACCACTAGATCATCGGCACGGCTATATACACTACTACGTAGGTAGAGTTTTGAAGTTATACCGAAAATAGTTAGCGTTAGTAGGCATGCATACGTCTGGAAAATATCAAAAATGGAACTTCGCAACACGAGGCGTGAGTCGCCAGCCGATGCTGGTGATGCCCCTGTAGAGAGGCTATAAGAAGCTTCATCTTCACCACCCTTCAATGCAAACGATAAAACATTAAAAACGACGCCCTAGGTTCACGTGTTGGACTACTTTTTTGAACAAAAAAGGCGTTGACATGCCCATTCAGTGCCTTCACGCTGCAAACAGTCTGAGTGATTAAAAAAGCCCGTAAGCAAAAAGCATCATTACAAATCCAACTGCCAGTGACGGCCTGACTGGCGAAACCCCGTTGCCCTTCTGAGTACTAACTATAGCTTGAACAATCTTCTGCCACACCTCTTCCCTGCACATCCAGACGCAGCACTATGCATTGATCACTTAGCTTCATGAGAAAATATTTCGTACAAAGCTATGTTTTCGATGCACTTTGGGTCCTATTTAGCCAACTCCGTACTTTTGCGGTGCTCTTACTTGAATGGCGCTTGTCCATCCGTCAGTGCCTTAGGGTTCGTCAAGCAAATAACGGCACTAGTAGTAGTAGAGGGAGTTGGAGTCGTCGTACTATCCTCTTCCTCTTCCTCTTCCCCTTGAAGTCTTCTTGCTGAGGGCCCACCGGAGCTTTTTAACGGGTCTTGGGCAGCCAACGCAGCTGCTTGTGTGCAAGTAACGAGGGCGCAGCTGGCTAGAGGACTCGGCTGAGGGTTGTAGAGGGCGACAAAGGAAACAGCTCTGTCGGTGTACACCGCAGGAGTATTCGACGCTGTATACGTTGGGGGGAGCTCATTTTTGAAGAGCGAAAACCCTTCCTTCCAGTACTGCACTGCTGCCTTGCAATCTTTTCCGTCGGGGTAGTAAGCGAACGTTCCCTGTAACTTTTTCGCTTCAGTGCCTTCAGTTTGATCCTTCAGATAATTGCATGAACAACAAAACAAGAGTGGAACTTCTTGCTACATGCAACCCAGAATGCAAGCAAGATGCTCATTGTCTAGGTGTGCTCGTGGCGCGGCTTACACCCTTCATTTTTTTGCAGATTTCGGCCCATAAAGTTGCAGGTGTTATCGTTTTTGTCGAAGAAGAGGACTCCGGCAGCACTTGTACATCAGCAGTTGCGTTCCCAAACGCAGCGAGTCCCGCAGCTGCCCTTACCTCATTCATCTCGGCCAAGCAATCAAGCCTTGCTGCGGAGACAATTCGACATGCACACAGAAATACTGTGACGATATCTATTGCCCAGTCTCAAAAAATCAAACTCTTTGCCTCAAATCTACGAAAAGACAGGACTTATGCGCTTACCTGCTGTTTCGGTTGCGGCAGCACTTACTGCCTCGTGTCCACAGAACAGGGACACAAAAATGATTGGAACAGAGGCCAGGCGAGACATGTTTAATTTTAAAAAGAGTCATATAAGAAAGAGTAGAGAAATAGTTTCTGAAGGGACTTGGTGAACTCAGTTTTCCTGTCAAACGGATGAGCGCGGAGGGGACAGTCGTGGGCCGGTTCGCGTGGCCGCCCTTGCCGTTCGTGTCTTTCTTTTCTCCTCCATCTCCCTCTACACGACAAGTTGCGCCGAACAAAACAGTATCTAGTTTTATTTCAAGCGTGTTATCAGCAATTTTTTGGCGTTCGTAAAATCCGCAGGGCAAGCTAGATGTTACTGCCTAACCCGGAAAGATCTACACCGACGAGAACACCGTTTCACTGCAACTGGCTTAAATTCATGCTCAGACAAATGTTCAATACAACATATCGTAAAACGCATCCACTGGTCCGACGAAAAGGGAAGGAATGCGATGATAAACAAAGAAATTGTTGATTGGTCCTTCTTCCCTTTAATTAGGGTGGTAACGCCCTGGATAATCAATGCGTTAGAGAGCTGAGACAAGATTTGCTGCCAGCCTCACACTAACCCCCAAGATATGATCGCTGTGCCATGGGTCGCCCTGAGTTCATTTATGAGTGAGGCCCATTTATGCTGGATTATGGGGCACCCGGAGGGAAAGCGTGGAATAGCACCGGCGAATTAGCAGGTGAGCAAACGATGATGTAGGATTATATGCTACTCATTAAAAACTAGCAAAAGCTTTGAGAAATGAAGGAATGGGTCGGAATGGAGCTTCCACCAGCGATTACGGAAACGCCGCTGTCACCTACCTACCGAACGCAGCACCCACTGGAGACATTAAATCCAGCGGTATCACCTTCAATGGCTATGAAATATAAAATTAAACATTACTAGAAGTGCAATTTTGACCTGATCTAAATGTTGCATGACGTATTGGCTGCAAAGACACGTCCTGTCCCGAGGTGCAGATCCCTGGTTATGCAGGCTTCCTCTGCAAGCAGTACTCGGGATATTGTGCGCCACGTACATAAGTGTCAACACTAACGCCAACTGATCGATTTTCTAAATCTAAAACGCTCAACAAAACTTTAGCGAGACCCACTGAGAGGGCGGCTGCTGTTTTTTTGGGACGTAAGCGTGTGTGCGCTGTGATCATCCCACGGTGCTGTTCTAGTTTGCAGTCAGTAACGTACTCGTGAAGACTCTCGCCTGGCATATTTCCCACCAGACCCTTGCCAGTTTACTATCAAATAAAAACCTATGCGTTTGTGTATAAAAGGTGCCAATACAGTGAGACAGAGGGCTGAAGTGACCGCGGCTGTTGGATAGCAAAACCTGCGTCCGCTGGGAGTGGTCAGCCCTGTGCTGGGATTGTAGAGAACATGCATGAGGTCCTAACCGAAAAATCAAATGTATTTGTGCGCAACTCAATTATTTTGCAATTCACGAAAGTGTATGCTGGTCCATTAATCGTGCTTAGCCTGCACTGCGTAGCACATGTGTTTTCCTGTTGCATTGTCGGTGTTTGACTAAGCAGCTCCAGGCGCCAGCACTACAGTTTGGCCTCAGTTTGAAAGAGGAGAAATTTAATACCTAATTTTCCCATGAGACTGTGTGTACAGAAATAGGACGAAAAGGAGTCGCACCACTCCAGCAGCCACAAGCTGGCAAAGCCGGCACCTGCCCCCATGAGCTTACCTCGGCCGCACTTCTCCTATTCTGAACTCCAAAAAGGCGAAACATTGTACAACCTACAACCTATGACTCACTAGTCCTTGCCTGTAGGATATTTCAACTCAGTCGGTAGGCAGAGTCGAGCAACGAGCCTGCTTGCCTTAGTGCAACATGCAGCGTTTCGTGACTTGCCGGTGGCTGCAGGTGAGCGCAGCGGCTCCAGAACAGTACCTACGGGTAACCCCACTGTAAAATGGTGTACTATTTGCTACGGGAAGAGCACTACTCCTAGCAAGGGGCTGAGAAAGCGCTAGGCTTCCTGCCTCAACGGCGCGGCTGTGACGCTGGTGCGGAAACCCAGACACAGCGGCACTTTGCGCAAGCAAAGGACTAAAGTGGGGGTCTGTGCAGGCCTTGCGTGGCCTCCGTGTTTGGAAAGCTGCGGCAGAGGTCAGTCATGGGTTGTTTTTGGCGGGGTGGGGGGCGGCCTGCGGCGGATGAGAGCGTCGATGCTGCAGAACTGCACCAAGTCTGTGCACATGGGCCAGGCAAACGCCACCATGAAGCGGCGCAAGGCCGCGTTGTCTCTGTGGAGTAGCCAGAGAGGCAGCGCGACGAGGGGGGCGAGGGGAGCGGCCAGGAGGGTCAGCAGCAGCAGCGTGACGAGCTGTGCTGCAGCGACGCAAGCCAGCAGCACCAGCAGCTGCTGCAGATACTTGCCCCAGTGAACGCCCCACAGCGCTGCAGCGCGGCGCCTGGGGCCAGCCACCTGCAGCGAGTCTGGGGGGCTGCTGCTGGGGCCCACAACTTGCAACTGGCAAGCCTCAGAGTCCTCCCAAAAGCCAGCTTCTTCTGCTAAGTACTCTCCTTGTCTGTAGCCGAAGAGGCTCTCGGCTTGCCGCAGCAGAAACTTGAGAGTGAAGAGCCACAGCAGCTCCTCTATGAGCAGCGCTGCAGCGTACTGGTCGCAGGTGTCCGCAAAGGCCCCCTGCTGCTGCTGCTGCTGCTGCTCCGGCGGCACCCGCAGCTCGAACGGGGGCAGCAGCTCCAGCAGCTGCCCCGCAGCCAAAGTGCTCACAAAGTCCAGCAGCAGCACTTTCCGTGGCCGCAGCGAACGGTCTGGCCGCAGCAGCAGCTTTGCTGCCAGCAGCCCCAGGGCCCCCCAGCTCAGCAGCTTCCTCACCCGCAGGCCTGTGCTGCCGCTGGAGAGGGCGCATGCATCCGCGCTGCTCAAGACTTGCAGAAAGCTTTCCCCGGGGGCAGCGTCTGCTGCTGCTGCTGCTGCTGCTGCAGTCGCTGCAGTCGCCGCGCCGGCTCCAGTCGCTGCAGCAGCGGCGCCAGAGACGCTGCCTGCGGAGGAAGGAGATGCAGCAGCAGGCAACTCGATGTGGGCCCCCACAACTGCGCTGTGGCTGCCAGCCGAAGACCCACTGGGCCCACCCCCCACGAGAAACTCCCCGTGCTGCTGCTGCTGCTGCTGCTGCGGGCCTGCTGCTGCTGCTGCTGTTGTGCCCCCTCCCACGTCCCACGCGTCGTACGCTGGCTGAGACACCCGCGAAAACCTCACGCGAGACCTGCTGCTGCTGCTGTCGCTGCTGCTGGGGACTTCGCCTCGCGTGGAGTCCCAGCGGCTGCCTCTGAAGAAAACAGTCCGCGGCCTTTCCGAGCCAAAAGTAGACAGAAATGCCATTTCGAGTGTCGCGCTCGCTGCAGCTGCCACTTCTGCATTTGTTGCAGCGAGATGCAGGGGCCTGGGACTGCAGCTGGCATGCACAGGAATGCCTCAACTGCTGCAGCCCCGTTCCTTCAGACGGCGAGGCCCTGCGGGGAAAGCTGGCTTGCCAATTTGTGGGGAAAGGGCTGCTGCTGCAGCGGCTGCGCCCCAGGGGGTTGGCTTCTGCTGCTCCAGTCTCAAGGGGCTACAGAGCCAACGGCGACGGTCGCAGCCGTGGCAGCAGCAGGTTGCTTGTTAAGGGAAACAAAAAGGCCAGTACTTATGCAGTGATATTCGAGTGAAGCTGCGCAGTTGCTGCTCACGGTGAGTCGGCGGTGTTGGCGGGATGTCCGTCTGCAGGGCTCCTCAGTCATGGCTGTTTGGTTCATGATACCCCCAGGTAGTGGGATTAAGCCCCAGAAGGCTAGAGAAATGATTATAAAATCCAAAACACCACTAAATAATTTTATGCGACGAAAGTAACGGGCGCTTTGCTGAATGATGCTCTGGGGCACTGAGCAGCAGCGCGAGGCCGAAATAAACTACCGTGCCCGTTGGCGCCGCTGGAATGCGAGTGGTGGCTAAAAAGGAACTGACGACCGCTTTTTACACTTTGTTTTCAGAATAAGTTCAAGAAGAATTTGAAACTTGCTGCTCGAATTTTGCTTTCAAGGTGTAGACCTCCAGACATGGGTGGCCATGCTTCAGAAGCGTACCGCGGCCGTCGAGCTTGAGCTCGTAGACCTTCCATCTGTTCGCGTCCTCATAAGACTTAGTTGTTCCTCGTTAAAGTATTTTGCAATATGCTCATATTTACGCTGCCTAATGGACCCGAGTTCAGCCAATCTGCCAGCTTTAGTTCATTTGCACTAGGGGGCCGCAGTTGGCTGGCCCCAAGTTCGCCCTCCTTAGAACCAAAAACATCTGAAGGATCCGGAAGCATCTCTCTTTGCATGCGAATTGGGTTTTTTCCTAATGTTTTTGGCTCAGCGGGGTAGTGCATTTCTTCCTGAACGACGGAGTGGCTCTTCTTGGCAAGCTCCAAGGAGGCCTCGCTCCAGTTCAGTACCTGCTTTCTCCTGCTCATTATGCACATATAAAAGGCATATTTAGGGAGCCAAACTCTTATTAGACGCACTTGTGAGAGCCAGCTCGATTGACCGAGCTCTTCGCTGTAAATATACGGCCACAGCATCCGCAGAGTCCAGTTGGCCCTTAGCCAACTGCAACCTTGCGAACACTGAAATACATCATTTTGATTACAAAAGAGAAGCACGGGAGCTATTTGGCGGCAGTTTTACATTATTTTGGCACATTAACTGGCAAGCATTAATGACCCTTGGGAACTAGTGTGGTGCGGGGAAAGAGGGTGTTCCTCGATATTTCTGGGTATTCGTACTGCATGCAAAGACATCAATACGATGCTTGGCAGCGCCTTAATATAAAATTACATTCAAATTCGAAAGAAGAAGTTTGCTACCTTCGTTGCGAAGGTGCTTGCTAGTGGGACTTTTTCTTTCCTGGACAACAAGTAGCCCGCTGCCGAAGCACAACTCGCTATCTTTTTTTTCTAGAGTTTTGTATTATGGTTTTTTTGCCGGTACAGTACCGTTTGCATGTGCAATTAAGATGGCTGACGGCTCTGCCAGAAAACACTCATAACACACTTTTAGCTAGAAAGCAAAAGAGCGAAGCTTCTACAAGCTTCACCTACCCAAGTATTTCCAGTATTTCATATCTCGCTTTAGTCAGCGCAGCAAACCCAAGAGAATTAACTACCTAAGGTGGAGCTTTGCAGTTTGCTCTTGTGGCTTGCAGTTAACACGCAGCAGTGGCACCTGGAAAGTTCAGGTTATTTGAACTACTTCAGTGCTGTTTTCTTCTATTCTTCCGCATGCTTTATTTATCGCAACTTTTCGTCCCCAGCTCTAGGGTCTTTCAGGTGTCTGACGAGCCTCGAGGCTTTCCTATACCAAAGGATGCCTGCAATTACACGCAAGTAGGTACAGCCCCAGCTAATCAGATGTTTTCCCAATTACATTTGAAGGAAATATTAAGAAAATGGATGCTGCGAACTTTGCCTAAAGGCAACTTTCCCCGCTCCAGTGTAAGAGGAAAGGCAGGAAGCCTGGAGGCGCTCAGAGTGAAAACCCAGAACTTAGCAGGACGTGCATGTGCTGTCCTGAGTGGCGCATCACATCCCTAATTTCTGGGATTTTATTAAGGAAGGCCGTTTAGGATTCATAAGTTAGGGCTTCCAGGGTTTAGGGATTAGGTTTTAGGTTCCCACTGCATATCATCAGGGCGTAATCGTACCGTTACGACGGCAGATGATGTACTGGGGAAGATTCCTCGTTCCTGTTTTGCAGAATAAGGCCAAAAGTAACCTCAGGTGTTTCTTGACAGCAATCTAACAGCGGAAGTTCCCTTATATGAGCGTTTAAGACTGCAAGACGCTGGGGCTCTGCCGCTTCCCCTAACGCGCATGCTAAGCACACTGGCTGTTAAAGCTGCACCACTAAAAAGGCTACTTCACGGGTTTAAACTTGCTCTATTTTATGCACCAGCGTTGGCTGTACAGGGAATTTGAGAATTTGGCATACGGGGAAGTGCCCCTAGAGCCCACACAGACACTTGATGTGAAAGTATGGAGGCGTTGCCTAAAAAAAACCATTTACTGCTGCGAAAGTCACTCTAAGCATCGGTGCAAATTAAAAGAAAGACTTCTATGTACTGTGCACTGGCAATGAGCTCCTGTCCCGGGCCTTGACCTTCCTTTTGTCTTCAGCAAAGCCTACTTCAGCCCTCACTGAATTGCATCTCTGCCTATCTACTGGTGTCTAGCAGGCCGTGGAGCCTTTAGCTGGACCGAAAAGTTGCGGGAGCTGCCTCATTAAGCTGAATATTATGAAGGCTGCACTTGTTTTTGAATTCAGATCCGCCCGTGACGGCCTTCTCTACGCAAGAGCGTGGTGGTTGTTATTCTGTGTCTTTACCCCCAGTTGACTTAATGCATTCAAACATCAGCAAATATGCCTAAAGCGTACTATTCTGAGTGCCAGAAAAAGACTTACACTCTTCTCATAGGTACGAATTTGAGTGTGTGCTTGGGGAGCGGGAGACAGGCAGCAAGAGCCGGCGTGGACAGCGTCTAGTCGGGGGCCGATTTAACAAATTGAGCATCGTTTGCGCGTGCCTTACCTCTAAATCCATGAGAAAATCAGATGTATAATTATTTTACTCTTTTTCTGTGGAAGCGTTCGGTGGCTTTGGCTTGGGTCGCCGGTGTGTTGACTGGTGGGCAACCCCACCCCAGACGCAGCTGCGTAGATTCCACTACCGGGCGAGAGCGCGGAAGTCTTGTTTGTCCTTTCTTTGAATGGATGTTTTGTCTCAGCGAAAGCAGTAAACTGTCTGCGGCGAGCGCTACGCCGTTGCGTTTGCCGTGTGGCCACGCAGGGCCCCGCTGGATCCTCCTCCTAGACGTAAAACCCTTTGCGCAGGTCGCTGTGGCCGCCCCTGCCGCCATTCCCAGCCTTCCCGTCTTCGATTTTTTGTCAATTTTGCCTTGAGGCGGCGCGGGAGGTGCGTGGGTCGCGTCTGCGGCGAGGGATGAGCAGCAGTTCAGGTTGTTCGCGTGTGCTGCGTGGGTGATCCGGCGCGAATCCGGGGTGCAGCGGGCAATTTTGGGTGCATTTTCGCGGGATATTTGTCCGTTGTTCCCCCCGGAGCGTTTCCGAGGCAGTGTGGGGCCCTCGGAGGCCTTTGGGGCGGCGCGGGGCCGGGAATGAGCCTGTGCGGAGCTTCGCCGCCGCCGGGGGGCGGCGGGGCGCGGGAAGCAGACCCCAGCAGCGTGGGAATGATGGAAGGCGCGTTTTTCGTGGGACGGACGGAACTGCTGGAGTGGCTGAACAGCAGCCTGCAGCTGAAACTCTCGAAAGTGGAGGAGTGCGCGTCGGGGTGCGTGTACCTGCAGGCGCTGGACTGGCTGCTGGGGCCGCGCAGCCGCGTGGCCATGGCCAAGGTCAAGTGGGGCGCCAAGCTCGAGTACGAGTTCGTGCACAACTACAAGCTGCTGCAGGCCGCCTTCGACGCCCACCAAGTCCACAAGCACATTGAAGTCAACAAGCTCGTCAAGGCCAAGTACCAGGACAACTTGGAGTTTCTCCAGTGGCTCAAGGCCTTCTGCGACAGGCAGGCGCCCCTCTACGCCACCGACGTCCCCTACGACCCCCTCGAGCGCAGGCGGGTCCGCTGCTGCTGCTGCTGCTGCTGCTGCTGCTGCTGCTGCTGCTGGTTGTGGTGGTTGTGGGATGGCCGGGGTAATCAGGGCGGTGGCGGGTAGTCTGGTGATGGTGGGGACGGTGATCGTGATGGTGTGCTGCTGCTGCTGATGATGGTGGTGCGCTGCTGCTGCTGCTGATGCGGCTGCTGCTGCTGATGATGGTGGTGCGCTGCTGCTGCTGCTGATGCGGCTGCTGCTGCTGCTGCAGCAAGTCCAGTTCGCTTCTGCTGCTGGCGCCCGGCCTGCGGCTGGCCGTGCGTGTTGTTGAACACAGGTGCACTAGCTTGAATTCTTTTTGCTTCCTGTGTTTATTATTTAGTTTATTTATTTATTATTTAGTTGTTTATTTTTGTTCAGCTTGGCATCGGCCCCTTCCCCGCGTGGGCCCCCGTGGGGCCCGAGGGGCCCCCCAAGAAGCCGGCTGCTGCTGCGTACGCGTCCTCAACAGCAGCAGCCAAGCCTGCAGCAGCAGCACACGCGTCCTCCCGCTGCCGCGTGCAGCAGCAGCAGCAGCAGCAGAGGGCCGGGCCTGGGGGCTCCGGCGCGAGCGCGGGCTCCTCGCAGAAGCGGCAGCAGCAGCAGCACGCTCAGCAGGAGCCGCAGCAGCCTTCGCAGCAGCGCTTCCGGGGCGACGCTGCAGCAGCAGCAGCAGCAGCAGCAGTGGAGACGCTGCAGGGCGAGCTGCAGCAAGCCGTGCTCGAGCGGGACTTCTACTACGGCAAACTCCGCAGAATTGAAATTCTCTGCGAAGCCCCGGGGCAAACAGCCTTGAGTGTGGAGCAGGTGCAGGCCATTTTGTATGCAAAAGATGACCCCGAGGAGCCCCTAGAGGGCACCAACTAGCTGCTGCAGCAGCAGCAGCAGCAGCTGCAGCAGCGACAGCAGCAACAGCAGCAACAGCAGCAGCAGCAACAGCAGCAGCAACAGCAGCAATAGCAGCAGCAACAACAGCAGCAGGAACAACAGCAGTAGCAGCAGCAGCAACAGCAGCAGCAGCAGCGGCAGCTCGGGCTGCAGCCGGCGAGAGGAACACAGGCAAAAGAGGCGCTTCTTGCGGCGCTGGGGAAAGGCAGCAGCAGCAAACGAATTTGGAATGGAATGCCGCGCATGCATGCAGAGCCACAGAAGAGGCCAGTGTCTGTACACCCCGTGCATGCAAACCCCACAACTTTCGCCTTTTGCAAATATCCCTTTTGCTGCTGCCTCCAGCAGCACGCAGAGCAGCAGCGCGCTTTGTTCGGGTGTACGTACACCTGCATGCATGGAAAGTGCACACACCCATACACATGGCACACATGCATATATATATATATATCTACATATACATATCTATATTAGATATATATACATGTTCATTTATATAAATGTAATAAATAAATATATTTAGATGCATGCGCATAGAGAGGCACTTATTAGGAAAGGCGCTTTTGCCCAGGAGGCCTGGGCAGCAGCAAAAGGGTTTGGGGCTGCTGCTGAGTGCATGCAAATTGTCTGCATGCATTTCCGCGGAGTGCATGCACTGAGACACTGTGGGGTCTGGGGCTTCACCCCACAGCTGCTGTTTTGCTGCTGCTGCTGCTGCTGTGGCTGTTTTGGTGGCCGAGGGAAGAGCAAGAGCAGCAGCAGCAGCAGCAGCAGCAGCAGGGCACCGGCAAGTGTGGATGCAGCAAAGGTGGTGCCAGCAGCAGGAGCGCCAACATTTGAGGCGGCGGCTGCAGCAACAGCAGCGCAGCAGCAAGAAACAGAATGCCCGCAGCAGCAGCAGCAGCAGCAACCAATTTACGTGGGAAGGTGGAACGGATGAGTGACCCTCAGCCGCTCGAAAAGCGGGGTGTAGAATGGGCGCCCGCAAGGCGCGTTTAACAGCTTTCTTTTCGACTTAAGTGTAAACAATTAGGGTTTTGCTGTGCAGGGTTTAGGGTTTAGGGTTTAGGGTTTGGGGTTTAGGGTTGCGGCGAGCCTTCCAGCGAGGAACGGGCGCCGCCGAAACGCTGGTGCGGAACAGTGTTGCCTGTCTTGGGGCGGCAGCAGACTTTAGCTGAAAGTAATTGAACTTCAATTTAGTTAAAAACTAAATATTTTGAAAATATAAATAATAAAAATTAGCAACAGAAGAGATACTGGGGTGTACAGACTTCTGCTGTTTTGCTGCTGGCCTCATCGACCCCAGGGGCCCCACGCAGGGGCCCCGGGGGGCCCCTCAGGGGCCTCGAAACTGGGGGCCCTGTTGGGTTAAATAGGTCAATTTCAAAGTAATTTTAAAAAGTTTGTATTTTGTTTCCTAAATGATTTGCTGCTGCTGACTGAAATGTGAAAATTATGGGCCCGGGGCGGCTGCAGCAGAAGGCTGAGCAGCGAGCAGAGGAGCAGCAGCAAGTGCTGCAGCAAGCCCATGTTTTCCTGGGTAACCAGCAGCAACAGTATTTTTTGCTGCAGCAGCAGGATCTGCAGCAGAAACAGAATCAATAGCAGCAGCTGCAGCAACAACGCCGGCCAACGGCAGCCGAACCAGCGGCAGCACTCCCTTGTCCTTGCTGCCTGCCCACAGTGATCCACAAATGGCAGGTGAAGTTGCTGCTGCTGCTGCAGCAGCAGCAGCAGCATCCCCTCCACCTCACGCAGGTGCAGAGCTGCCCCTCCCTAGAGTTGCTGTCGAAACAGCAGCCGGTGGCGAGTGGCTTGAGCTTAGAAGCAGCAGCAACAGCAGCAGCAGCAGCAGCATCAGCAGCAGCGACAGCTGCAGCAGCGGCAGCATCACAGACAGTGACAGTGACGCAGAAGTGAGCAGCAGCAGCAGGAAGAACAGATGCAGCAGCGGCAGCAGCTTTCTGCCTTCGCATTCTTTCAGGTGGCACCGCGTCTGCTCCCCGGCAGCAGCAGCAGCAGCAACAGCAGCAGCAGCAGCAACAGCACCGTCAGAAGCCGCAGCAGCAGGCCCCAGTGCAAACGCGGCCTCAACAGCAACAACGACAAGGGTAGCAGCAGCAGCAGCAGCAGCAGCAGATGAAGCAATATCTCGGCTCGCCTCCACTATTTGTCAGCAGCCCACTTTGCTGCTGCATCCCGACGGGTTTGGTGATTATGTGCTGCTGCTGCAGCAGCAGCAGCAGAAGTGGCTGCGGCGCATTTGCAGCTGCTGCCATGGAGGCAGAGACACGCAGCTGCACCATCTGCTGCTGCTGCTGCGGGACGCCTTTGCCTTCACATTCTTGAAAGAAGCTGCTGCAGCAGCAACAGCGGCTGCAGAGGCAGCAGCAGCAACAGCAGCAACAGCCAGCGGAAAGGAAGCAGCAACAGCAGCAAGCGCAGCTGCTGGTTCATTCAGAGCAGAGGCAGGAGAAGCAACCACTGCTGCGTCTGCTGCTGCGTCTGCTGCTGCTGCTGCTGCTGCTGCCAGTGGTCAGGCCCCACCCCACGGATTCCTTATCGAATGTGGCCCAGGCAAGCCGCAGCAGCTGCTGCTGCTGCCCTTGCTGCTTATTATATTTGCTGCTGGAGTTTCTGGAGCCCACGGCACCTGCCACTGCTGCAGCTGCTGCCACTGCTGCTGCTGCTGCCACTGCTGCTGCTGCTGCTGCAGGCACTATGGCTTTGCTGCTGCTGCTAGCTGCTGCTGCCTGGTCCTGTTGAGGCCCCTAGCAGCAGAAAGCCTGGCGTCTAGATGGTAGGATCTAGGGTTTAGGGTTTAGGGTTTAGGGTTTAGGGTTTATGCTGCAGGCCAAGGCGCGCGTCACTTTTGCCGTGCTGTGGCTGCTCACGCTCCCTGGTTGCCCCGCCACACAGCAGCAGCAGCAGCAGGGGAAGCAGCAGCAGCAGCAGCAGCAGCAAGTCAGGAGGCAATTGTTGAGAACTGCGGCTCCGCTGAGGGCTGCGGCGCTCGGATTATTAACTTAGGTCTATACGCCGGCGGCGTGCTGCCTCCGGTCAGCAGCAGCAGCAGCAGCAGCAGCAGCAGCAGCGGCACTTGCTGCTGCGGTGCAGGCAAGCAGCAGCAGACTCAACAGCAGCTCTGCCAGCAGCCTCAGCAGCAGTTTGATGCTACTGCGAAATGCTCCGCTGCAGCACATGCACTGTGCTGCTGTGTAGCGGAGGCCCTCTGCAGCAGCAGCAGCAGCAGGAGAGCTGCTGCAGGGGGCTTATCACTGCAGCGCCAACTATCCGCAATAATCGCAGAGGCGCGGGCGCGCCAGATTCTTTTTCGGAAGAGTTTGCTGCAGCTTGCCCGGCAGCAGCAGCAAGGGCAGCAGCAGCAGCAGCAGCAGCAAGGGACGCAGCAAGAGCCGATTACAGAACGACAGCTGAGTCTGCTGCTGTCGGGCGGCGGGGGTGTCTTTGTTATATTGGAGGGCATGCATTCGCTGCTGCAGCTGCAGGCAACGAGCAGCAGCAGCAGCAGCAGCAGCAGTCGCGTCAACTTGAAGAGCCTTCTGCTGCAGCAGCTGTCGGCGTTTGCGGCGACCTGCAGCAGCGAAGGCCTCCCCGTGTTTGTCATGGTGCCTTTCGATGCAGCAGACGCTGCTGCTGCTGCTGCTGCTGGCAGTGCTGCTGCTGCTAAAGGCTTGCTGCCAGTGCGGCAGCGGCTGGCCGAGCTGCTGGGGCAGCAGCTGCTGCAGCCATTCCTTATAGAACGAGTTATAGCGCTGTCAGAGTCTCTTTCGGAGCAGCAGCGAGCAGCAGTGCTGCTGCTGCTGCTGCGCCGCATGTACGCTGGCGCTGCAGCAACTGCAGCAGGTGCAACGACTACAGCAGCAGCAGCAACTGCAGCAGCGTCAGCAGCTGCAACAGCTGAAACTGCTGCCGAAGCCACACAAATCCGCCGACTCGCAAGGTAGGCAATCAGCTGCTGCTGCTGCTGCTACTGCCGGAGCTTGCTTAGCTGCACCTTTTGCGCTCGCTGCAACAACTGCTGCTGCTGCTGCTGCTGCTGCTGTTGCGATGTGCATGCATAGCATTGGCGCTCTGTGGACCTGCGGCTTCTCCGTAGCCGACCTGCGCAGTCTTCTGCGCGCTGCCGTCACGAACTGCATGCAGCGGCAGCTCCGCAGCAGCAGCAGCAGCAGCAGCAGCAGCAGCAGCAGCAGCAGGGTGTTGTCTGCTGCAGACTTGCGCCAGGCGCTGCTCTCTGTCAGCCCGTCAGCAGTGCGGCTGCTGCGGGTCGGCAGTGTGCAGCGGCTGCTGCCTCCTGTGTCGGCGCCGCAGGATGCAGCAGCAAACGAGATCTTTGCTGCTGCTGCTGCTTCCCCAGCAGCAGAGGGGCGGCTGGCATACCTCACTTACACGCGCCGCAGCAACGGCAGCAGCAGCAGCAGCAGCAGCAGCAGCAGCGAAAGCGACACTAGCAGCGACAGCACAAGCGGCAGCCACTGCAGCAGCGACAGCAGCAGAGGCTGCTGCAGCAGCAGAAGGTGCTGGTGCGGCAGCTGCTGCTTGCGGGTCCGGCAAGGCCTGAAAGCTGTTTGGGGGCAGCAGCAATTAGTTGAGCAGCTGAAGAGGGAAGTTGTGGGGCCATTCAAGCAGCAAATAAGAGCAGCACCAGCAGCAGCAGCAGCTCCTTCAGGTGCTGCTGCTGCAGCAGCTGCTGCTGCACTTCATGCGGCACCTCTTGGTTGCATTCTCGAGGGGCCTTCGGGCTCAGGTCAGCACAGATCAGCAGCTGCTGCGGGTTGCTTGCTTTCTTTTGCTGCTGCTTTTTTTTTGCTGCTGGCCTCTCTTTGGCTGTTTCCTCTCTTCTTGTTGCTGCTGCTCTGTGTGCTGCTTCTGGCTGCATGTTTGCTGCTGCTTCTGTTCGCGGGCCCCCGCGTCTTGCAGCTGGCTGTACGCTTCACACGCTCTAACAGCGACTCTCTGCTGCTGCTGCTGCTGCTGCAGGTAAGTCGTTCGTGTGCGGCTGCGTAGCTGCTGCAGCAGGCGCTGTGCTGGTGCGTCTGTCTGCTGCTGATCTGCTGCGGAAGGAAGTTGCTGCAGCAGACAAGCAGCTGCTGTCGGTCTTCGCGTCGCTGCGGCGCTGCACTCCTGCTGTGCTGCTCATTGAAGACGTGGACATCCTGTGCAGCAGCAGCAGCAGCAGCAGCAGCAAGATAGCGGGGACTCTGCTGCAGCAGATTGACGAGCTCGCGCTGCTGCGGACTTTCAGCGCCGACGAGGGGCAGAGATTTGCTGCCTCCAGTTTGCTGCTGCTGGCCACAGCAACTAAAGCAGCAAACATTGACAGCAGGCTCCTGCGAGTCCGTAACTTGCTGCTGCTGCTGCCGCTGTTGCAGCTGCTGGTAACGTTGCTCAACTGCTCGCTGCTGCCGATGCTGCTATCGTGCAGCTCTCTGCGCTCCAGTGCCGCTGCTATTGTTTCGTGTGGCGCTGCTGTCTTCCGCAGCTGATTGCTGCTTTTGCTGCTGCTGCTGCTGCTGCTTTGCGCATTTGGTGCAGCCTCACCGTTTCAGCAAGGTATTCAGTCTGGCCAGCAGCAGCAGCAGCTCCAGCGACTCAGCAGCAGCAGCAGCAGGGCTGCTCCAGCGCTGCCTTATTGGCCGCTGCAGTCCGTCAATCAGAAAGAAGGATTTGCTGCAAGTTGTTCAGCTGCTAAAGAGCCGCAGCAGCAGCAGCAGCAGCAGCAGCAGCAGCACAACAGCACCATGTGCAAGTTTTTTGTCCCCGACACTTTGCGTGTCGCTGTGTCAAGAGGCAGCAGTTGCTGCAGTGCGCCGTCAGCAGCAGCAGCAGCAGCAACAGCGGCAGCAGCAACAGCAGCAGCACAGTGGGTCAATTCAGCTGTGTGATATCATAGAGGCAGCGAGATGCATGCGCCTCTCCTCGTGATGTCTGCTGCCAGCAGCAGCTTCCCTACTTTGCTGCTGCTGCTGTTACTGCAGCTGGCGTTGCTGCTGCTGTTACTGCAGCTGGCGCTGCTCTAACGCTAGACGCGAGCACACTTGAAACAGTACAACCTGCATTGCTCTTGCTGCTCTCCTTGCTGCTGCTGCTGCTGCTGCCGCTATTGCTGCTGCTACTGTTGTTACTGGGGGCGCCAATTCTTGCGCTCAAAAAGAGTTCGCCCCCTCTCGAGCCCAGTCTGTTGCTGCTGCTGCTGTTGCTGCTGCTGCAGCACCGAATGCACGCTGAGCAGCAGCAACACCGCGCAACCTCGCACGGCGCAGCCAGCAGCAGCACAGAAGTGCGCTGCAGCACTCGCTGCCACTGCAGCAGCTGCGGCGCACGAGCTGCGGGCAGCAGCAGCTGCTGCTGCTGGTGCCCGCAGCTCCACTGCGTGGACCGGCAGCAGCAGCTGCTGCTGGTGCCCGCAGCTCCACTGCGTGGACCGGCAGCAGCAGCTGCTGCAGCCGCTGCAGCAGCAGCAGCAGCAGGACTTACCGGTCTGCCTGCCTCCCCTTGTCTCCCTCGCAGCACCACAGAGTTGCCATGGCGGACTCGCCAAAAAGATCTGTAGCATCAGCTTCTTCGTCTTCGTCTGCTGCTGCTGCTGCTGCTGCTTGCTGCTGCTGCAGCAGGCCGGCGAGTTCGCGGAGCAGCGCAGCGCCCCTGCGGCGCCTCTGGGCGGCCGCAGCAGCAGCTGCTGCGGCCTCGGCGCTGCTGCTGCTGTCGCCCAAGAGCGCGCCCCTGCGCAGCAGGTCCTGTTCTGCTGCAGCAGCAGCAGCAGCAGCAGCGTGGCAGCCAGCCAAGTCCATCATAATCCCAGAAACTGGACAAACTACAAACCCCAACTCTCCTGCTGCTTCCATTCTTGTGCAGCCCCAGCCGCACAAGTGCAGCAGCCCGCTTTCTGCGCAGCGGTAGAGGTCCGCCCCCACTGCGGAGATGCTGCAGCGGCTGCCTGCGCACACGTGGCCTGCTGCTGCTGCTGCTGCTGCTGCTGCTGCTGGCGGGCCTGCTGCTGCTGCTGTGCCTGGGCTTGGGGCTGCTGCTGCTGGTGCTGTGCCTGGGCTTGGGGCTGCTGCTGCTGGTGCGGCGGGCTGCGGCGGCGGCGGCGACTCACGGCCTGCTGCTGCAGCTGCGTGCTGCTGCTGCTGCTGCTGTTGCTGCTCAGCCGCCTGCTGGCCGTGGCTGCGCTCCTTGTGGAAGAGCCTCTGCTGCTCCTGCAGGCGCTGCTGCTGCTGCTGCAGCTGCAAACGCACTTGCTGCTGCTCCTGCAGCTGCATCGCAGCCTGCATTTCCGCGAACTGCACTAGCGCCTCGTCGATCTCGCTGCTGCTGCTGCTGCTGCTGTCGAGTCGGCGCTTCTTGGGCGTGCCGAACCACTGCTGCTGCTGTTCTTGCTGCTGCTGCAGCAGTAGCAGCTGCTCCTGCTGCTGCTGCAGCAGCTGCGACCGCAGCTTCTTCCGCTGCACTTCCTCCCTGCACTGTGCAATGAAGGCGTGCCTGGATGCGGCCTTGCTGCTGCTGCTGCTGCTGCCGGCTCGTGCTGCAGCAGGCCGCAGCACCTGCTGCCACAAGTACATGCATGCAGACACACGGCGCATCCGCCGACACACCAGGGGAATAGAAGCTGCCAGCTCGAGGGGGGGCAGCAGCAGCAGCACAGACAGCAGCAGATCGTCGCTGAGGCGTTGCAGCATCGTGCAGTCCGGACCAGTGGTCTCTTCCAACACGCTGCTGCAGCTGCTGTTGCAGCTGCTGCTCTTGCTGCTGCTGCTGCTGTCGCTGCTGCTCTGGCTCCTCGCGCTGCTGCTGCAGGCCGCAGGTGCTGCAGAACAATCGCTGCTGCAGCGGCAGCTGTCGTCGGGGCCCCACTGGGGCTCCCGCCCGTCGACTTCCATCATGGCTGCTGCTGCCGCTGCTGGTGTTGCTGCTGCTGCTGCTACTTCCGCTGTTACTGCTGCTGCTGCGGGTCGTTGTGCAGCGACCAAACACTAGTTGCGGCACTGGCAGCACATGTGTGCGGACCCACTGCTGCTGCGCTGCTACAGTGCTATAGCTACTGCGGCTACTGCTGCTGCTGCATTTTCATCGAGCAGCAGCAGCTTCGGGTCCTACTCAGAAGACGCTGCAGCAGCAGCCCTGTGGGCTGAAGCACTACGTGCTGCTGTCGATAGTTCGCTGAGACTCGACTGCTGCTGCTGTTGCTGTTGCCACTGCTTTCGCTGGTGCCGCTGCTGGCGCGCGGCCTTGAATGCTGCAGAGACGAGCCGCGGGTCGAAGAGAAAACCTTCTCCAGTCCCCACACTACACTTTAATCTAAAGCAGAGTTTCCCAGCTATTGCACACCAGCAGCAGCATCAGCAGCTGCTGCAGCAGCAGCCGGGCGGCGGCTCGCATGCATTGGAGCCCAACCACCGCAGGCGTGTTTCTGCTGCTGCTGCTGCAGCTGTTTTTGGCGCAGAAGCAGCAGAGTTTCGTCCCCAAAATACGAATTGTACATTTTGCAAGTCATACTTCTATGTGTGCGTTGAATTCTGCAGCAGCAAGCTACTTCAGCGGTCGAGGCAACTTGTGAGCAGCGGCAGCTGCAGCGAAAGCAGCAACAGCAGCAGGGCCTTCGTTCCTTCCCGCGAGATCATGCAATGTGTATGAGCGTTATTTAGTTAAAAAGTCCCTTAGGAGCAGCAGCAGCAAGGAAAGAAGCGGCAGCAGCAGCAGCAGTTTGCTCCTCCACCCGGCCGACGCCTGGGCTGTGTAGCCCTCCTCCCTCCCCCCGCCCTCAGCAGCAGCAGCAGCAGCAGCAGCAAACGCTGAAAATGAAAGACTTTGCGTATTTCTTTTTGCCTTTTGGCGGGATATTGGCGGCTTTGCTGGTGTTTGTGCCCACGCGGCGCGTGCACCGCGCCTGCGTGTCTTTGTGCTGCCTCCACCTGCAGCTGGGGCCGCTGCACATCGGAATAGCAGCTTCTGTGTGTCTATACTCTTCAATTCGTCTTTTCTTGACAGCCATGAAGCTGCGGGAGGTGTACGCAGCAGCAGCGCGGCCGGAAGCTGCTGCTGCTGCGCTCGCCGGGCTGCCCCCAGCAGCAGCAGCAGCAGCAGGCCTCAAGGGCGGCAGCAGCTACCAACTGCGACACGAAAGGAATCTTTGGATTGAACTCTTCTGTCTCGTTTTGTGGCTGTTTGTCTGGCGCTGCGGGAAGCTGCTGGGGCGCCAGTGGCAGCGCATTGACGCCCTCAAGGCCGAGCTGCTGCTGCTGCAGCAGCAGCAGCAGCAGGACAGAAATGAACGGCAAGCAGCAGCCAAACTCACAGGCCCAGAAACGGCAAAGCAGCGGGAAGAGGAAGCTGCTGCGAAGGCCTCCAGCCTAAAAGAGGACAAGTAAGTGCAGCAGCAACTCAGCAGCAGCAGCAGCAGCAGCAGCGGGATAGTTCTGTCTGCAGAACATGGCCCAACGGGCCAGCTGGGCTTGACTCTAGCTGCTGATGTTTCTGTGCCAAAATTTTCTGCTTCTTTGTCTTCTAGTGTCTTGTGCTGCTGCTGCTTTTGCTGCTGCTGCTCTTGCTGCTGCTGCTTTTGCTGCTGCTGCTTTTGCTGCTACTTCTTCCTCCTCTGAGCTGCTGCTGGCGCGCCTTCTGCGCCTCTTTGCGTCTTCGCTGCTGCAGCTTGCTGCTGCTGCTTGCTGCTGCTGCTTGCTGGCGGGCAGCGAGTTTCCTGGGTTCTTTCTTGTTTTAAAATTTTCTTCCGTTCAACTTACTTTGATTTATTTTTGTTTTTGTTTGCTGCTGCTGCCGCTGCTGCTGCTGCTGCAGGGCCGGGGGCTCCATAGAAATGATGCGGCTGCGGAAGACGGCAGGGAGCGCCGAGGCGAAGGAAGACTGAGCTATTTGCTTCTTTGAACTTATTTATTATTTATTTACTATTTGTTTATTTATTTATATTTATTTATTTATTTCTTATTTATTCGTTTGTTGTTTGCTTCTTGCTTTTCTACTTCCTCTCGCCTCTCGCTTCGGCTCTCAGTGCCCACAGCAGCAGCAGTTGGGGGCGGCGGGCGGCGGATCCCGTTGCTGCTGCTGCAGCAGCAGCTGCTGCTGCAGCAGCTGCTACTGCCATACGTAGCTGCTGCTGCAGCTACGTATGGCAGTGCCGCCCCAGAAGCGGCTGCTGCCGGAGCAGCAGCTTTTAGGTGCACGTTTTGCTGCTCTTCCCGCTTGAACTGTAGCCGTAGCTGTTGCAGCAGCAGCAGCAGCAGCAAGAGCAGAAGCAGCTCTTCGCGGGTGAAAAGGCCCGCTGTAAGGCCTGCCCAGTGCATTTAGTACAGGATGCTCCGCAGGCTCTCGCCGCTCTTTCGTTTCAGGGCTGCAGCAGCTGCTGCTGCTGCGCTGCTGCTGTTGCTGCTGCTGCAGAGCAGCCGCAGCAGCTCGTGCTGCTCGTGCATCACCGCAACTGCTGCTGCTGCAGCGCTGCAGCTGCTGCTGCAGGTTGTTTTATTCTGTTGAAGCTGAGCTTTGAGTGCACAGTGGCCCCTCTGTGCTGCTTCAGTGTGCGGGGGAGGGTTGAGAGTTACAGCTAGCTAGCTAGTTTGTTAGCTAGCTAGCTTTTAGCTGGATAGCTAGCCAGTTAGCTAGCTAGCTATCCAGCTAGCTGGTTCGCTGTTTAGGTGGTGAGAAGCGGCGCAGCAGCAGGTGGCAGCTAGCGATGGCAAGTTGACTAGTGCAGCAGCAGCAGCAGCAGCAGCTAAGCTCAAGAGGCTGGGGCTCCCCCCCAGATCTCTTGCTACCGTGGCAGCACTTTGCTGCTTCTTCTCAGCAGCACTTCTGTCCGGCTCTGCTGCAGTTGCGGCCTAGTGGGGTGTACGTACACCTCATTGTGGCATTAGCGGAGGTGTCTTCGTGCGGCAAAAGGAGGGCAGCAGCAGCTCTCGGTGCTGCAGCAGGCGGCTGCCGACGAGCCGCCTGTGCTGCTGCTGCTGCTGCTGCTGGCTGCAGGGTTAGCTGCACCAGCAGCGGGCTCCTCGCACCCGTGGCTGCCCACGTCAATTAAAGCAGCAAAATCTCTTTTAACTGCCCCGTCACTGCTAGACAAACTTCTGCTGCTGCTGCTGCTGCTGCTGGGGCCCCACAGCTGGGGCTGCGCAAAGTCGAGGCGCAGCGCCTTCGTCGTGGGGCTGCTGCCGCCGCCTGAGGCTTTTCTTCCTTATTAGTTAAAGTCAAAAGAAATATTTTTCTTCTTCTTTTTACTTTTACTTTTATTAATAAAGTTTTCATTGCCAGCGGGCAGCAGCAAAGGGTGAGCCGCCTACAGGGCAGCTGCAGGACTGGTCCCGGTGCTGGTGCCTCACGCCAGCTGCTGCAGCAGCAGCTGCCGCCGCAGCAGCACAGCAGCAGCAGCGGGGAGCAGCTCCCACGCTGCTTAGCTGTGGCCAGGCTGCTGGAGAACCAGCTTTGCAGTTGCTGCAGCAGCAGCCGGGAGAGCAGGAACACGCGCGCGAGCAGCAGCAGCAGCAGCAGCAGGAAGTGCAGCAATGGCTGAGCAGATCGAGAGCCGCCTGGAGCAGTGGGCGGGCGAGCTGCTGCTGCAGCAGCGGCTGCAGCTGCTGCAGCAGCAGGAAGTGCGGATTCTGATGCGGCGGCGCAGAGAATTCGAATATGCCATTTCTGCAAGAAGGGCCCTTCCCCCGCTGCTGTTTCTGCGCTATGTGTCTTTCGAGTTGTCTCTGTACTGTTTGATAAGGGGCCGCAGCAAGCAGAAGCTGCTGCTGCTGCGGCAGCAGCTGAAGCAGCAGCGCAGCCAGCAGCGGCGCCGCAAGGCCGCCAACAGCAGCAGCAGCAGCAGCAGCAGCAGCAGCAGCAGCAGCAGCAGCAGCAAGGCGGAGCGGCGGTACAAGGCCATGCGCAGCAGCAACGTGGCCTTCTTGCGGGCTGTGGTGTCTCGAGTGAGTTCGATCTTCGCGCGTTTGCTGCTGCGGCACAGCAGCAGCAGCTTGTGGTTTTGCTTCATCGACGTGCTGCTGCAGCTCGGCGCCACGCGCGCCGTGCTGCAGCAGCTCATGAGGGCCCTCGCGCTGCACCCCTGCTGCTGCAGCCTCTGGCTGATGGCAGCAGATCGTTTGCTGCAGCAGGGGCAGCTGCAGGCAGCTCGCCGGCTGCTGCTGCTCGCGCTGCGCTTCTGCCCCAAAGACAGCAGCGTGTGGCTGCAGCTGCTGCGGCTCGAGGCTTCTGCTGTTTACAGACTCTGCGCCAGCAGGCTTTCCAGCAGCAAACCCGCAGCAGCAGCAGCAGCAGCAGCGGATGCTGCTGCTGGGGAGCGCGACCCGAAGCTCCCAGAAGATGGCAACGAAGAAGACCTCGACGTCCTGCAGCTGCCAAAAATCAGCAGCAGCAGCAGCAGCAGCAGCGTGAACAAGGCAGCAAGCATGGCGGTGGAGCAGAAGGTGCTGCCCGTGTCGCTGCAGCCCTGCAAACTCATTGTGACCGCAGCAGCAGAGCGGCTTGCTGCAGCTCCTGCTGCAACAGCAGCAGCAAAAGGCAGCAGCAGCAGCAGCAGCAGCGCGGACACCAGCGAGAGGGACGCGTTCCTGCTGCAGGCCTTGGAGCTATCTCTGCAGCTCGAAGCCAGTGCAGCGCAGCAGCTGCTGCAGCAGGAGACAGCAGAGCTGCAGCAGCACTTAGCAGCACAGCTCACTGAGGCGGCGCAGCAGCAGCCGCTGTTCGAGCCCCTGAGGTGGAAGCTGCTGCTGCTGGAAGCGGTGCAGCAGCAGCAGCAGCAGCAGCAGACTGAAGCGCAGCAGCAGGAGCAGCAGCAGCAAGAGCAGCAGCAGCAAGGCGTTATGGACTGCTTTGAAGCAATCACTTTGACAGCTGCAGATACACCGCAAACTGCAGTGCTGCTGGGCCCCTTCCTTTCCACCTTAGAAGCAGCAAGCCGCAGCAGCAGTAGCAGCGCCAGCAGCAGTGCCAGCAACACCGGCAGCAGCAGCAGCAGCAGCGCCGGCAGCAGTACCAGCAGCAGCAGCAGCAGCAACTGGTTCGACTCCATCGAGGTGGTGATTGATGTGGAAGGCGAAGATGCGCCCATTGAGGTCCATGATGGTGAGCAGCTGATGCAACAGCAGCAGCAGCAGCAGCAACAGCTGCAGCTGCAGCAGCAGCCCTGTGGGCTGAAGCA